GTGTGTGTGTGTGTGTTTGTGTGCGCATGCAGAATTTCAGCTTTCTATACAGGTGGAATGAAAGAAACAGGGTTGGCTTGACGCAACATGCAGAGGTCTAGAAGCACAGGCCCGCGGAGCCAGCCCAGCCCTGCTTGGGCCTCAGCCCAGCCTTTCTTGGTCCCTGGAATGCTTTTATGCTTTTCCGCCATTCAAAAAGGTTAAACTGCCTTTTCTAAGGCTTGGTTGGTAATAGAGGCTTTCGTCTAAAATATCCTGGGTTGCTTTGGATTTTGGGCCCCACCGCTTCAGCCGTACCAACCATGGATTTTGGCCCCAGGACCTTCTTCCCAATGGACCCCGACCCTCAGGCTGAAAGAGGTCCCACACACACACAATTTGGACTTCTGCATGAGGCACCAGAATTGCCGGCACAGCAGGATAAAGTCAGGGAAATCCTCCAGCTGGGAGACATGTGCCGTGCAGAGAAAGTGGGCAAAAGGTTTCTCGCAGAGGCCGGATCCCAGAATCAGAAAATGGCATTGATTAACGGTAGAGTCAGGCCAGGAAACATTTTTAAGTACTTTGCACAGCGCATAATCAATGAATGGGATTTCCTGTGCCAAGGCATGGCGAAGTCCATCTGCCAGCTCAGAGAGCTTTCAGAGGAGATGAAGCGTATTCATCGAGGTTCAGTCTATCAATGGCTAGTCTCACGACTGCTGTTTTGGAGACAAGATGCAGACGAAAGCAGACGGGGACGGACCTGGCTGGGCTGCTGTGCGCAGGAGCCTGAACGCCGGAAGACAGGTCTGCCCTAGCAGGGACCTTTCGACCTTCCCGTTGGGTCATGTTCTTGTCTGTGCTGTCCACTCATCGCCGACATATGGCGACCCTGCTCAGCTCTGACAGACTCAAGGCTGTGGCTGGCTTTCTTGAGCCGGTCTAGCTTGCATCTGGTCTTCCTCCTCTTCCTCTTCCTCTTTCCATAGCAGGATGATCTTCTCCAGCGAATCTTGCTTTGTCGTGATGCGACTGAAATAAATAAAACCTCCAGGTTTAGAAGCAGTATACCAGGTGGGAGCAGAGGTGAAGGGGCTGTTGCCGTGCTCACCATGTCATGAGCGTCTCAGGGACGTCCATCTGGTGGCTTGCTGGGCTGGGTGGACTCTTCGTCTTATCCCGCATTTGTCATGCTGAGAGGGAGATGAAGAAGGAGGAAGGCCAGTTGCACACATCCTCTGATGAAATGCTCCTTTTTATACCCCTCTTCCTTTCCCACTGCTTCTCCCTTGTGTGTCATCGTAGGGTAAGGACTAAGGGGGCAAGAACTGATTGTGTCCATGTCCTGGTTGGGGGGGCTGGATTTTGTTGGATAGGAGAACGTATGCAAATGTCCTTGTTAAGTGGTGACAGCTAAATCCAGGTACAGTGACGGCGTCTCCTGAAAGAGCAGGTGGTGCAGGAGAAGCAGCCATTGCCTCTCTGCCTGGCTTGTGGGCTTCCTGGGATGCATGTGGCAGACTTCTGAAGGAAACAGGCTGTGGAGTGCGATGGACGTTTGGCAGGGTCCCACAGTGCTCTTGCTAAGGTCTCTCTCTCCGCCTTCTGGCTCCTAAAGATCCAGGAAGTCTGAGCAGGCTGCAAGATCCATTTCTGCTTAGCCATGGTGTAGCGGAACTGAGATGCACAGGGATGAAGTACCAGGATTGCTTGATTAGCAGGGATGGGAGAAGCCTTCTGACACTTCCCTCCAGGTTCTCCAGTCTAGCTGCATCCTCACAGTAGCTGGTGGGGAAGTAGTTTTTCCCCCAGCAACGACACAATATTGTGAGAGATCCCTCTTAGAGTGCCAAGTATTTGGGGTTGGCTTGCTTTGGAGTGGGAAATTAAGACCCATTTGCTCTACAAAAGGCCTGCTCCTCAAGGGAGGGAGCCGCTAGAACTGGTTTGTTGATATGAATCCCCATGGATGCCTTTGGGATCTTCGGGGTGTGGCTATGGGCCTGCATTTCAGAAGCTCCCCCTGCTGAGTAGGTTAGCAATACAGACTAAGTTAGCTCTGAGTAGGACCCACTGATCTGGAAAGCCTTTTCTGAGCTCCGCCGTTTTGAACTTAGAGGCATCATTCCCCCTCTCTTTCTTCTCTTATGAAACCTTTTCTCTAAAAGGTTACTTTTGTGTTGTTCCAGGGAATACTCTCAACCATTTCTGTGTTTGACAAGCAACATGGCTTTGAATGGTACAGCTGATTCTCCTCTTTCTGCCTTTAGCCTTCCGTCTGCCCCTGCACTGACTGATCAATTATAGCTGAACTTAAAGGTCTCTGGTTTAATTCTGTCTGTGTTCAGAAATGCACAGCACCCCTGTGCTCTAGAGAAGTCTCAGAAACGTAGGTGCTGAGAGGGGCTTTGAAGCAAGTGACTGAATATTTAATTTTTTAAAAAAGGAAATAACAAGCTGGGCGGTATTTGGAAAAGGAATCTTGGCGTGATTTATAAACATTCCCCTGGGATGATCTCTTCCCATGTAAAAACAAGGAACAGGGCCTTCTCAGTCGTGGCCCCCAGTTCTGAAAAAGGTCCCCACTGGGGCCTTCCTGGTGTCAACACTGCTATCCTTTCAGCACCAGAGCAAGATTGTCCTCTGTGGTGCGCCGTTTAGCAGCCCTAAGAAGCACATGAGAGCTGGAGTTTAACTGGTCCAGTTGCATGAACCTGTGTTGGTTCTAAATTTCTGCAGTGGCATTGGATCGTTCTTCTGGCTGATGGCAATTTATACTATATTTTATTGCATTTTATGAATGGTGACCTGCCCAGACAGCTTTGACTCTTGGGTGGTATGGAGATGAATGAATGAGAGAGTGAGTGAGTGAGTGAAAACTCATCGGGATTAGAAATAGGCAGCAACAGACTTGCCGTGTCTGATAGGGGAATTGTTCGCCTCCTGGTGCCAGGTTATCTGGGAAAGCCGCATCTGTTGATAACACCCTGTCTTCTCTGCGCCAGACCTCAGTCTATCAGCCCGAGGGAGGTTGTGATGCCGTTTTATGCTTTATCTTATGAAGCTCCCGTAATTCAAAGTATAGTTAAGCTCAGTGTGCTTACTCCGTGTGTGGAGGGGTTTGTCGGATCCCCGTGGTCTGATGTTTTCCAGATGGGGCACCCTCCATCCATGCAAGAAAGCTGTCAGATCCTAAAAAGAGGGCATCCCAGAATATTCTGGCTATGAGGCTCATAAATCTTTTCAGCGTTGTTGGCATAGTCCTTTTAAAAAAGCTCTGCCTTCCCCAGCTCGAGATATGTCGGACTATGACTCCCATCACTCTGCCTGGGGATCATGGAAACTGTAGTCCAACCCATTTGGAAGTGGTGCCCAGTTGGGAAAGGCTGTTCTAACATCGGAGGATGTCAGCACACCCCGGACTGGCATTTTCTCCCATTTCTCCTTCCACTGCCTTTCCCGGCCCTCTGCTCCTGGGGTGCTTGAGCCAGGCGGCCTTTGGAGTCTCGCTGCTCCCCAGGCTTGGAATAGGCTTCCGGGCTGCCGGCGCACTCTGCTTTGACACGTGATTCCCGCACTTCTGCTCCGGGAGTGCCCCGAGGAGCAGCGCAACTTGCACGGATTTACCCTGCAGTCTTTCTTATTCTAAGCAGCAGCTTTAATTGATTGCTGTGTTTTTCTTTCTGATGAAGTAATTATTTTCCCATTAGCGCTGGGTTCCTCACATGGCATTAACGCTTTCCCCATTCTCCCCTGCTTCATGTCTCTGGATGATTCTGACTGCAGGCCAAGCAAACCATCTCACCATGTTCATTTGCACCAATTAATTTTGGCGGGGGGGAGGCGGAAGCTTGTACTTCCCCCAAGAGAGATTCCGGGAGCTCCATCCTTGGCATCTCAAGTGCATCCCCAGGTTTGGGGGGCCCCGGGCCATGGGCCTCCCTCCTCAGTGCAACACCCTTCTCACTGCCCTTGTAACCAGCCGCTCTTTCCCGTCTTGGCCACCACTGGCTTTCTTGGCTGGCAGCAGGGAGCAAGCTGGCGGGGTGGAGGGGTATCGACCGGGCCTTCCCCTCCACAGTGGAGGGAGAAGCGGGTGGAGAAGCCAGCTGCCATGGCAAAGAGGAGGCACCGCTCCAGGGGGCCCCTGCTGGAGCCTGACTCCTTGGCGGGTGCCCTATCGTGCCTACTCTTGGCACTGGCCCAGTATAGCGCCCCACAAGAGGACTGTCCTCAGACAGCCCTTCGAATGGAGGACTGCCTCTGTAAGGGTGGACACACAGCCACGTTCATCATGAGAGAAGCCCTCAGCGCAAGCCGTGCTTTGCTCCACAAGGTTTACAGCCACGGCACAAAGTTCCCGGTGCCCCGATCCAGACAGCCTTGCCTTCTTCAGGAAGAGATGGTGAAGCCCCCTTGTCCAGCATCGCTCACTCCTGGTCCATCTCTGGGGAGTGAGAAGGGCTGTTGCTCTTGGTATGCTTTCTCCAGGCCTGCTCCTTTGGATTGCGGGGGGGGGGGGGGAGGAGGAGGATGGTGCCTTGGAATGTGGGCCAGCTGCAGACACTGAGATGAGAGAGGCGGAGGTGCTGATCTCAAGGCCAGGCTCCCCAGGTGGACAGGGGAGTGACCACGATGAGCAATCAGCGGAAGGGCACTTGGGACGGGGAGCTCCCCAGACACAGATGGGGCCGACTTGGCTCCTGATCCTGCGATGCATCAGCAGCAGAGGAGGGCAGCCCAAGCAGAGGATCTGCGTGCAGAGCGGAGGCCGGCCCGTTTCCAGAGGGCCCCTGCGGAAGGATGGGGCCAGGCAAGCTCGTAAGGAGAGTTCCTGGAGGTGAATGGTAGACTGGGTTCGACAAACCAGCTCTGTGCATGCTCAGAGACCCTTTCTGGGTGTTTGTGCTTCTGGGAGAGGCTTTGGTCAATCAAGAACACTTTGCAAGGAAGGCCTGTGGCTCTGAATGTGCGGAGGGGGGAAGCCGGGCTCACGGCGTTGTCTTGTGCTTGCGCAGCTCAGCCGGACGTCGTCTCAATGGCTGAAACCACCATGATGCCGGAGGAGATAGAACTAGAGATGGCCAAGATCCAGAGGCTTCGGGAAGTCCTGGTCCGAAGAGAGTCTGAACTCAGGTTTATGTAAGTAGGAAACAGGGGGTCCTATGGGGCTGGGGGGGAGGTGGTGGGTCGGCCCTGCCATGAGGCAAAGAGAGGCGGCAGGCTCAGACACCCTTCTGGGAGAGGGCAGGGAGAGGCTGTGATGTGCGGCAGACGGAACCCGGCGGGTCACGTCGCTCGCCCTCCCTCCCCGTGCGGAGAAGGGATGCGGCTGCATGGTCAGCGGAGGGGGAGCTGTGGCTTGCCAGCCCCTGGCCCTGTGATGAGGCGCTGGGAGAGAAGAGCTGGCCCGATGGACGACTTCCGTGGGTCTTGCCAGCTGGCTGCCCACCAGTAGGGGCCACCCCAAGGTGGAGCCCACCGTGTGAATGAAGGGGGAGGCCGGGGAGAAGGTTCTTGTTTGGGCTCAGCATGCACTCTTTACATGCTCAGAGGCCTGTGGTTCAGCTTGCTAGAGGGCACTTGGAACTGCAGGTGTCTGGAGTCCCTCCCCTTAGTCCTTGGCTCCGCCCATCCCTGCCATGTGGCTGAAAGAGGTTCCGCACCCCATTCTTCCTGCTGCCGAGCCTTCTACCGGCCCAGGCTCCACGGCGTGCCGTCCCGGCCGAGCCCGGCTGCTTACGAAGGCGGCTGCAAGGGCTGCTGCTTGGGGATGAGGCACGCTTTCATCGTGCAGCAGATTTATTGCTGCTGGACCAGAAGCGTTGGGCAATTAAGCACCTTGTCAGCAGAGCCGTGACAAATGCCACGGCGGAAGAGGAGCTGGGAGGGATTGCAGGGTCTTAAGCGAGGGGGGAATTAGCGTCCTCACACCTGGCGCTGCAGAACCGAGCAAACACTTCGCTGCGTAGACTCCGAGCCAGAATCCGAGCCTTCGCCCAACCGCCCCAGATTTCCCTGGGCAGTTTTCAACGGCAAACAGCGCAAAGGCTTTGTAATAAATCCTCGCTCCCCGTTCCAGGAAAGGGTACGGAGGGCGCCATCTGCCCATCAATGCTGCTTGTCGGCTTTTTCTCCCCGGCCTGTTTGTTCCTGGTTTCCAGTTTGCCCTTTTAATTTCCCCAGTGTTTTTGGCTGTTGCAACGCCTGGTGTGGCTCAGCAGCACTTGGCTGGCCAAACTTAAGACGGACTCTCTGACGCAAACCCTCCAGGGAGAGTTTGGCTCACAGTCATCCTCTTGATGAGGGCTTTGCCTCGCTTCTCATAATTCACTCTCCCTGCGAAGATGGAGCCCTCTGCTTATTCGCTTCAAACAGCTGGAAAGCCTTGTCATCGCAAGGGGGGCACACCAGCTTATGCAGCGGCCAGAAGTGGATGAGCTGCTGGCACGGATCCTGCCACGGTCCTTCGCTGTAGCCACCCCCCACTAACATTTTCTGCCCACTCCGTTCCACTGAATGTGGGGGAAACTGTCCCAGGACAAGGCGGAGAGAGAAACCATGCGACTTGGTGACCCGCTCCGCATGCCTGTCGTAGCCCTTGGTGGCTTACGGAGGCCGTGGTCAGTTGTGGCATGACCTGGTGGCCATTTTGACTGTTCAGCCCTCGGTGGGGGATCGATCACTATGGCTTGGTCGTGTCATCTGGATGTGGGTAGCAGGGCTCCTTGAGGATATGGTATCCCTAAAATGGACCCTGGGCTGCTTGGGGGTTGTTTAACCCTCAGACAAATGTACTCCAGGTTTTGTGAGAGCTGACAACTCCGTGTCGGCATCGAATGTCCAAAATGGCCACTAGCATGGGCCAAAACCCACCTGAGGGGACGTTGTGACCTGGCCCCGTCTTTGACTCTCTTCGTCTTCCCTGGTCTCAAACTAAATCACACGCCAAGTTCTGTATCGGTTAGAGAGTCCTACCTTGTTTCTATGCGTGGCTGATGCCATTCAAGCTACATGAGAAATCTCACTCAGAGAAGAGTTTCCTGCATCGGATTTGGAACCTGCACAGATGCTGAGCCTGGAGTTGTTTCTCGCCACACCTTGGATTTCTTTCCTAAATGTTTTTGTACTTCTGTAAACTACCTGGGCTTCTCCCTTCTCAGCCTGCTGACAACATCTGTTTCTCTCTGCCCCTGCTTGGGCTTCCCAGTCAGCATCCCAGTTTGCCGCCCTCGCCACATCGCATTCCCGCCCCACCGTTTTCCCTCGTGTCGTCGCTCCCCACTCCTTTCTTAGCAGCAGCCCTGCGAGGTAGGCTTGGATGAGAGTCCACAACTGGCTCGAAGCCACCTAGTGACTTCCATGGCCAAATGGGGAGTAGAACCTGGATTTCCCAGTTCCTCAGTGCAAGGCCTGCAACGGCCTGCCCTGCCGGCTTAGAGGGCACTGTGGAAGGACGACGGGGTTGCTGATAGGAAGGCGGCTTGTGCCCGGCTGACCTGGGTTCTGCATCAGGGCTGATCATTCATCCCAAGCATCACTGATCTCCTCCCGTGTCAGGGGGTTATGTATCCACTCCATGCTTCAGCCTGAACTGTCAACAAAAACTATCCACAGTGTTGCACCTAATTTGGGAGTAGGATTTGGCACTGTGGGCCAGAAGTCCAGAGAAAAACCCAGAGTGGCTACCCCCTCCCCCCCACTGGTCATTTCAGTCTGCAGGCGGGAGTGAAGTCAGATTCCTTTGCCAAACTGCTCCTCCTTACAAGACTGCACATTGAAAATCTAGTAGGGAAGGCAAAAAGGAGTAGAACCTAGCAAGAAATGCCATATACTCACCTCCCTCCAGCCCAGATCACATATTCTGCAGTTCTGGCTACTGCCCAGGAGAAAATAAGCCTCATTTGGGTTGGGGAAGGGAAGGGGGAAGGGGGAAGGGGGAAGAAAAAGGGCAGGCTGCCAGTTCTGATCTCAGCAACTGCCTGGGTACATGATGAAGATGCTCAAACCGCCAGCTGGTGACGGCTGCTTGTAACATTGCTAGGTTTCTACTGGAACTTGCACGGAAGCTATTGGATTCCACCTTGCATTTCTGAGTTCGCCATCCAAACATTAAGCAGAAGACTCATCTGCAGAGCCGTCCTCCAGTAGGAATATTCCAGGCTGCCTTAACCTGTAAAGCGCTGGCAATGCTAATGACCTAGATTCAAAGCCGGGAAAAAGAATAAGAAAAGACAGGGAACATTAGAAGAAAGGCTTTGCACAAATGCGACATGGAAACACGCTGAGGAAAAGTGTCTGATTTCTCACATTAGGTTTAATTGGTGCCGATGATGTCTGGGAAATGAGTATTGTGAGACCAGCCCCAGCTACCCCGGCGGCCATTTTGTGAATGTGCCCATGACAGTCTCTTAAAATTCCAAATGTGCTCCGCTAGTCCCAAAGTTTCGAGATTCCATCTGCTTTTACCTCCACTTCTTCACTGAAACTATTTCTACCCACCCTCTCCTGATGCTGCTGTCACCAGAGCCGGAACAACGGAAACTCACAATCGGGACTGTGGGAAAGAGACCTGATCCTTTTCACCCCACCATCAGCCCAGAATAACTCCACCAGCAAACAGACAAACACGCACGCTGCTCTTGGGCTGCTGGAGAATCTGCAATCTATCCAGATGAGTTCAATTTTCTGTGAAGCCAGTTTGTGCCGTCTGGAACAGGCTGGCCTTTTCTGATACATGTGGGTTCACAGAATGGCAGGCTCTTCCTGTTCCCGTTCCCGTTCCTGTTCCCTCTTTCCCTTTCCAGTTCCCCCCTTCCCCTTCCCCTTTTCTTTTCTCTTGAGGGGGTGGAATCTCTGGTCATGAATATTCATGCAACGTGGAACAACATTCTCGTACATCCCCAAAAAAGGAGAACATTAAAAGATCCAATTCTGTTGATTAGGGGATGACAAAGCGAAAGATGCCTGAGGATCTGTGAAAGCAACAGGGGCTGGAAACCTGAAAAAAGAATGAAACTGGCATCACTTTTTACGCTTGCAGAGCACACGGTGTGGTCTTTTGGCCCTCGCTGACATCCTAGTATTTGTCATCACGCCGACTGCGATGACAAATCATGGCAAGGCAACATGTTCCCTTCAGGACGAGCTGCTTCTCTTAATTCAGCACTGTCACTTTGATGAATTAGCATCCCGATGTTCTTCCACGGAGCTCACAGCCACTGGGACCCTCCTATAATTTCTGCCTACAAACAAAGAGTATTGGCCCAAGCAATTCCCTGGACGTGCCTGATTCCCCAGGAAGGGAGCTCTTGCAACCATCGCTTCAAGAGTGGCCTCCATGATCTACCCTCGAATCCTGCACAGACCCTTGTGGGAGCTGTAGGTTTCTAAAAGTGGAGGACCCGAAGAGGGTCCATTGCCCTGCAAAGGCTTGAGAGCCATTTCTGGTTGCCCAGACTGGGTACATAAGAACTTTAAAACTCCCTGCTGGATCAGACCCATGGTCCATCGAGCCCAGCACTCTGCACACACAGTGGCAAGCCAGCTGCCCGCAGGATCCCTCCAGCAGGAGGGGGGCAAGGCCTCCACCTGTCCAGCAATTTAGCAATGGGTGCGTGCAAGCAGGCCGCCGCTGGTGAAGGAGGGAACACACGGCCAGCAGGGCTAGTGGCCACAGATGGCTTGTCCCGCTGGAGTCTGTGCAATCCCCCTTTTGAAGCCATCCAGAGCGGTGGCCATCACCGCCTCCCAGGGCAGTGAATTCCGCACAATTTAAGGATAAGCGGTGTGAAGAAGCACTCCCTTTTATCTGTCCTAAACCTCCCAAAACTCAGCTTCATGGGGTTTGAGTGTTACGGGAAGAGGAGCACCATGCATTATCTTAAACCCTCTGTCCTCTCAACCCTGACTCAACCTTTCTCTAAGCCGAGCAGTCCCATTCATCATCGCTGCTCCAGCCCCCCGATCGTTTCTGTGGCCGTCAAGACAACAGAGTGACACAAGCCCAGTCTTGCTGGACCGAGCTCTGCTCCTGTTCTCCCCGGGCCGGCCAGCCAGCTGCTGATGAGGACCCCATAAGGTGACTGTCATCCTCAGTGCCTTTTTTGTAAGGAAAAATGGTGCCGGAACTCACGTCTTGGGGTCACACTTTGGCACTAAAAAAGATTTTCAGCTCACCAACTCTACACACACATAAACATAATGGTCGCCGCGGCAGTAAGCACTCAGAGCGCGACCACACGACCGATCCCAAGCCGAGCAGCGTCCCGAGCCGAGCAGCGCCCTCACAATTCCGCAGGCACCATGTTAATGATTTCTGCTGCCGACCTGCTACGCCCAACAGGGCGATTCACAATCCCTTGGAAAAATGTGTCAAAAAAAGGTGCCAGAACGCCGTTCCGGTGCGTTCTGTGACAAAAACGGCCCTGGTCTTCATTCTCTCTCTCTTGCTCTTATGCTCCCATGACTGGTATTCGTGGATGCTCTGGAGCCTGGCCACCAAGACCACTAGAGTTCAGTGGGCGAGAAACACATGAACCCTCAACACTTAACGCAAGTTCTAGAACACTTACTTTTGACAAAATACACTGAGATCGCGGCTGTTCGCATTTGCTCAAACTTCCCTGCTGTTGGTGTGCTGAATCAGGAGGATCCTCTGACTGGGTATTCCAGGGGTGGGCAGAAAGTAGATCTCCAGATGTTTTGGATATCCACTCACAGCATTTCTGACCAGCAGCCATGCTGGCAAGGGCTTCTCGAAGTCCCAAACACCCACAAGTCTATCTTAAGAGCAGAAGAGCGCCAGAAAAGGCCAGCTTCTGCCCACCCTTGGGGTGCTCAGACCCAGGAGGCGGGCCGAATACCAGCAGCTTCTTTCGGATGCTCGTATCTTGCTCAGGCTACTTGAGGGGGGGCCAGAGGTGGTGGCAGGGGAACAAAATAACAGCCTGTTTTCGCTTCGAGCTCTTCCTGCCAGAACTAAGCCTTCAGAAAGGACTTTCAACCTTTAAGAATGATTTAAAAACTGCACGGAAATCGGGGAACCAACAAGGGATCTGTAGCTGGGGAAAGGGAAAGGGTGAGGCCAGCTGGGAATCCCTGGAGGGCTGGCTTTGGGCACCGGCCCTGAGATTTTGCATTGCTGAGCTTGCTGTCCGATAATGGACACATGTGATGCTCTCCCTTCTTGTTGTCCCTGGTTCCTTAGGATGGATGACATCCAGTTGTGCAAGGACATTATGAACCTTAAGAAAGAGCTGCAGAGTTTAGTAGCGGTGCCAGGTAATTTCTCTCTCATATTTCTTGCATGCAAGTCAAAATAGCATGTTCCCCCCAGCCAAAAAATAAAATAATAAAAAAAGAGAAATCTAAGAACATCCAAAATCCAAGCTGTATCCTACTGGAATGCCTTTTGAGCAGCTTGCAATCCCCCTGATCCCCTGAACAGAGGCTGTTGAAAAACGAAAATGCAACTGGATAAATCGATAGCAACGCTAAAGGAATACAGACCCCTCCCTTCCCCCAAGTCTGGGGGTCCCTTGGGGCTCTCCTAGGAATAATCACTCCCCACCCCCTCCTGCTGCAGAATCACAGAGTATCTTGGCTTTTGTGAATTTCTTTTGCCCCACTTTTGAAGCTAAGCAGATTTATTGCCAGAATGCCTGACAGGCCTTGTTGCCTCCGACCGAAAGATTAAGCTGTAATAAAACAACTCTTCCCAAAACCCTGCATTATTTAAAAGCATCTTAAAGGCTTGTAAAATTGGGCATAAAATATATACTGGTGGCATCAGTTTGCACCTTGCCTGATACTTGATTTATGCCCACCTTCCCAGCAAAAATGGGCAGCTGGGGCAGCTTACAAAAAGAACTTACGATGGATTAAAACAAAAGAAGATATTAAAAGTGCAATTCAGTTCCACAGCAGCAACCAGCATTTCATATGATTATTGTGTTGTAAGCCGCCCCGAGGCTTCGGCAAAGGGCGGCATAGAAATGTAATAATAATAATAATAATAATAATAATAATAATAATAATAATAATAATAATAATAGTGAAAAGAATGCAAGCCAACTGCAAGCACAGGATTAGGTCAAGTTGGCTGATGTCATTCATGATTTATTATTCTGTATTCAATCATACACGTTTTTAAATGTAATTTACAGTGCAAGCCAGCATCCAGAGAGCCTGGGATGGTTCTTAGGTGTAAGGTTGGAACAACACTCCCAATCTCAAGCTGGGGATTTGCGCTTAGATTCCCTCCCTTTCCAGGGAGTCAGTGTAGGAAGAAACATGTCTGCCTCTTCTCCAAGGCTGCTTGGAGAAGGGCATTTATTTATTTATTTATTTAAACATTTTTATGCCGCCCCATTCGCCGAAGCCTCAGGGCGGCTTACATCACTAAGTTAAAATAATTATAATATAAATTAAAAATATAAATATTAAATTAAAAATACAACAATACAGTATAAAATAAGCCTCCCTGGCCAGATAAAATCCAATAATATTAACAGTTAAAATGCCGCTTGAATAAAAAGGTCTTCGCCTGGCGCCGAACAACAAATAACGACGGCGCCAGGCGGACCTCTCTGGGGAGCGCGTTCCGTAACTTAGGCGCCAGGCGAACTTTTGGGACTGTCTTGTGGGATGGGGAGGGGAGGCAGCTGGCAGCTTCCAGAACTTGCCCGTGTGTCCCACACGGAGACCCGGAGCACAGCCATGAGCTGCATTGTGCTTTTCATATTATTGAAGTTCTAGTGGATTCTTTTCACGTGATTCTCCCCAGCATGCATGTGTGTCCCAGAGTGAAATCGACCTAATAAATAGTGGCAGCAGAACTGAAGGTGCCTCAGCTCCTTAGTTATTGGGAATAGAAGATTTAAGCTGAAAGAGGTGATTATTTTGGGCCCGGTTCCACTGGTGTTTGGTCTCACCCCATGCTGGAATGTGCCTGCACAACCAAGGAGCATCTCCAAGGTAGAATTTGGCTCTTTGCCCAAAAAAGATGCTTGGCAAATGTTCTGCCTTCCTCCAAGCGTTGTTGAGAAAGCCAAACTTTGCTGTAGAACCGGAAGAAAATGCATTTAACTGCTGCTAACCTGCCCACTGTTGCCTCCCCTTCTTTCTTGGACAGAAAAAGACAAGACGAAGCTGCAGAAGCAAAGGGAAGATGAATTGATTCAGAAGATTCACAAACTGGTGCAAAAAAGAGACTTTCTTGTCGATGATGCAGAAGTGGAGCGATTAAGGTAGGCAGACTGAAGGTTGCAGGGAACTGTGCCCCTCCAGATGCTTTGTTGCTGTTTACTCAGAAAGTCACACCCCACTCTTCCCGGTACTCAGAGTTGCACCCGTCTCATGGACAACATTCCTCCAGGCTCTCCTGTCCTCCGCCAACCCCTGGAGTCCACCTAATGCCACACCGACTGCTTCAGTGACTCCATCCATCCAGCCACCTCAACCTCTGCCCTCCCCTTCTCCTTTTGCCGTCAATTGTTCCCAGCATCAGGCTCTTCTCCAGGGAGTCCTTCCTTCTCATTACGTGGCCAAAGTCTTTGAGTTTCATCTTCAGGATTTGGCCTTCTAAAGAGCAGTCAGGGTTGATTTCCTTTAAGATTGACTGGTTTGATTTCCTCCAGATGCTGATGTACTTCAATTCCCATCATCCCTGACCATTGTCCATACCATCTAGACTGGGAATTGGAGATAAAGCATCAGAAGGGACACATGCTTCCCACCCCTGGCAGAGAGGGAACCTTTTATTGAAGGACAGCAAGTTTTGTTTGTGGTAAGCATTTCTTTCTTGCTGATCCAAGGCAAAGGAGAAAACAATCACAGCAGCAACCCAATGAGCTACAAACCAGAGAGGGCATCAGAGCTGGACTTCGCAAAGCGGAGACACAAGTCACAATGAAGAACTTGTCAGCATCCGGGGCAAGGGCGGCTGCCTAGCAGGGTAAAGGCACCGGGACCATAGGCAGACAGAGCACAGCAAGAGGAAGCCCGATACTCAGTCCAAGTCCAAGCCGGAGGCTGATCTACTGGGCGAGTCTGTAGAGATGGCAGTGGAGCCCAGAGCGAGCCAAGGGTCAAAGAGCCGAGGAAGGGAGAGAGACTGGCAGGGAGAGAAGAGGTGCAGGCAGGACACAGGAGCGGAGTTCCAGGTCTAACAGAGCTCCAGGTCAGCAACAACAGGAGACCCTCCTCACCGAGGCAGCTTCTGAGGGCAAGAACTGGTTCTTATATAGCTCTTGCCCAGGGCTCCCCAGGTGGACCTCATGAGCGCCCTGGCAGCTACTGTGGGCTGGGGACAGAATCCTGCAACCAACAGAGCTGCTGTGCCAGCCCTTGGCCAGCAGAGGGAGCCCTCAAGCTGCCTCGGGTCTTGACAGAACTCCATTGTAGTCATTCCAGTAATTAGCTATAAGGCTTACTGTCCTGATGAAGACCTCCAGAGAACAGATCCACCGCCTTGGCCAGAATCCATTCATGAGCATCACAACAAAAGGCCCTTTCAGCCCTGGGGAGAGCACTCGGAATAAACACCAAGTCCCTGTAAAGCTAGAACTCTTTGCAGGTTTCCAAGGCATTGCTTTTCATCGTTCTGATTCAAACAGAGGGCAGCTGAAGCTCACTGTGGGCCATTTGATCCCGGCAGGCACACCTGGCTCCAGAGTGGTTGCCATAGGCATCCATGGATGCCTTTGTAGCATCCTTTTCGGTTGATGACGCACCAAAGGAACGGCCTTTCTTCTGATGTTGTGTTCCCAGGGAAGACATCCCTGGTCCAAAGGCAGGCACCTTGCTCAAGAGCAGGTCGCAGCTGCACAAAACAGGCCGGATCTGCATCCAGAAGGAGGCTGCTTGTGTGGGACTCACCAGGAATGGAGCTCGCCAGGGATGGAGTCCCGTGTGACGACTGCCCAAGCAGCACTCCTCTTCCACCCCACCTGCAACAGCCTTTGTCTCGCTGCTCCGGATGCAGAAGAAGGTCGCCATTGTGCAGCCTTCATTCCGTGAGCACTTCCTCTCGGTTTGGTGCACTTTCCAAGACTGGGCTGAACATGAGAGGAAGCCTTCAAATGCTGGAGGGATGGGTTCCCATGAGTGCCGTCCCAACCCTAGATCCAAGTTCTCCTGGCTGCAAAGGCAGCGGGAGGCATGGGAGAACTCGGACTTCTGAACTGGACTGGTCCAGCATTACTAAAAGTTTGTTTGGATTGCAACTGTTCCCTTCACTGGACTGGCATTTTCTTTCAATCGCGAGTTTTTCTTTCCGCAATGATCATCGTTTTTGTTTTGTCTTACACATCAAGCATAGAGTGGAGGTATGGAGACAGAGCAGAAACATTGCCTGCTTTACCATGGGAGGAATACATACGAAAGCAAGAAGGGCACAGGCCTGCGTGTGGATCCATCCTGCCATCTTTCGAGGCAGACAAAGGTTCTGGGACTCTTAGCAATTCTAACTTGTGCATAGTGCTAGTGTTGCGACTTGTGTGTGATGGAAATTGTACAGCTCTGCCTAAATGTGCCTTAGGACAATTCAGTCCAGGGTCTAAAATAGCCCAATGGTGTCAAATATGAAATTGGGGATCTCTCCCCTCCCACCCTGTTTCAGGCAGCGATTCCTTCGTCCGACCCTGCGCTGAGCCTTCTGCGGACTTCGTTGAATTTAGTCACTCCTTGGGTGCAATATAAGGATACCCTTCCTTCGATTTGTCCTGCAACTTCTGCTGCTCCTCACTTCCACTCTCTCTCCGCTACGCTTTTTAAAGCTGCTGTTGTTTTCCAGGTCCCAGCTAAATTATTGTAATTTTCTTTCAAACAGGGAAAAGGAAGAAGACAAGGAGATGGCGGAGTTCCTCCGGATCAAGTTGAAAACTTTAGATAAAGTCGTTCGATCTCCTACCAGTGAGTGCTCTCTTTAAAATATCCTTGCAAAAAACACTGAATCAAACAATCCGGGGATTGCCTGAGGTTGGGCACCAACCCTGCATGAGGGTGTGACAGCTTTGGTGCAGAAGCCATGTGCATAGGACCGTTTCACCTTTACCTGCTGACAGGATGCCCGGTGTGTGCATTAAGGGCTCGGTGCCACCTTAAAACTCCGATCAAGCTATTAATGATGTTCTCCTGACCCTTGCAGGTACGCCCACAGAGAAGAAGGCGGAACCTCCTCCGCTCCCGCCCGACAAACCCACCATCGCCAAGACAGGAATCGCTCTGATCAAGGATTGCTGTGGGGCTGCCCAATGTGCCATCATGTAGCACCCCGTTCTCTGGGGCACACCTTTTTGACACACATAGCTAATGGATGAAAAACTGCAGGGGGTGTGTGTGTGTGGGGGGGAGAAAGGACGCAAGCGCATCCAAATATCTTGATAGTTGAGTTTCCCGTACAGTTTCTTACAGTAACTGTTGTAGTGCTGAATGTACCACTTGGTCAGTCCTTCACTGTTGCATGGATCACTCAGCAAGCATGCTTAGGTTAAGACAAGGAGTATATCTAAATATAACTATATCCAGGGAACAGAGAGGACTTGTAAAAAAATGTTACTCTTACACATACGAGAGGGATGACTCGCAGGGAACAGGCAGTGCCGATTTTTATCCATATTTACCTATCAAGGTTGGGACACTTCAGGCCTGTGGGCAGACCCCGCTGCCTGGGACTCTCCAAGGCCACATCTCTTCTCTCCTGCCCACCAGATATTTGGCAGTTTCCTTTGTCATGGTTTCCCTCCCTGTCCAAGATGGTTGAGCTGCCTTGTCTAAGGCACAGTTGCAGGCAGTAAGAGCTAAAATGTGCTTGCATTTTTGTCTCTTGGCCCATCCTCTTTGCCTTTGGCTCCTTCCAGCACTGGAACGTGCCCCAAGAGCTTCTCCAACATTGAATCCAACGCTCAGGGGGGAAGGCTCCACACCCCGATAGAGGTCTCTATAGATATATCGATATTAGATAGGTGTACATGGGGAGCAAACATCCCCTACCAGCTGTGAACTAGAAAATCATACTGAGTAATATATAGAATAGCAGTTTTAATAGTCTGTGTGTGTAGGATACATTCCACACTTCTTCCCTCGGCAAGCAGTGTTTGAGCGGTGGGCCAATCAAGTGGGCCGATCAAGCTGTGGGCCAATCAAGTGGGCCACTTGTTGCAACTACAGGTGTGTTAATAAAGATTGTAAATATGTGACGCAGCTAATAGCTGACCGGAAGCTGCTGAAGAATTCCCGTCTGTCTCTTGTGACTTTATTTATTAGACTTGTCATGCTTGACATGAGCAAGCCACTGGTGGGGGTGACATGCAGAACAAACGCCAGGAACCCAGGCCCAGAAGCCAAACTTTGCCCAGCTGGAGGCACATCTGGTATCTCAGCAATGTTTTAGTATCTCGGTGGTCGGTCAGTTGTCTTCTGCTAAATGCATGATGCGTCCAGCTCTGGGGGAGGACAGCCATCTGTCTGAGAGGCCCTTGGCACATGTTGCTCTCTGGGGGGGTGAACCGACAGCCAGTGGGTGGGAAGCACAAGCCAGGCGCTCATTAAATGGCACTTGTTCTTCAGCCTACTCAGGATCATGCCAGACAGATGGGAGGTACCCCAAATACTGAGATACGGATAGACCTTCATTCCAGGGGAGGGGCTTGGATTGCGGAAGGTCCCCCCACCTGATTGTTGGGGAGCTGCTTCTCCCCACAGTTCGCTTCATTCAGCAGGATCCCTGGATTCCATGTGCTGCTTTCAGGAGTTACCCTAGGAAGGCGAGGGGGCAGACGCCACCTGCACCCTCACAGCTGATCCTGCGTAAACCCGGATCTAACCTCCTGAGCAGACATCTTCACATGCTTTGTAAAGTAAGAAGGAAAATAAGCAGATGAACCATGGCCATTTTAGTTCCAAAAAGGGTAGGCAAAGATGGACACCAGCCCCCTTCCTGCATCCTTTGCTCTCTCTGATTAAACACGGCCCAACACAACTTGGAGATGGACGTGAAACGTGGAATCACCTCTTCATCTAGTGCTGAGGAATGGACTTGTGCTTGGAACGAAGGTAGCTCCAGGTCCAATCCCTGGCAGGACTGAGCAGCAAGGAGATGCTGGGAAAGGCCTCTGAAGAGCTGCTGCCAGTCAGAGCAGCCAGCACTAGACCAGGCAGACAAGCAGTCTCACGTGCCGAGAGGCCACGGGGATGCAGCTGGTGGTGGCGACGTGGTGCCCTCCGGATTCTAGCTTCCATAAGCACCAGCGATAATGGGATACGGGGAAGACAGTTCCCCTGGGGACAGAAGAGCAGGGTGCTTTCAGCTCCACAGCTGGACTTGGGCAAAGGCCCGGAGATTGGGACAAGCGAGCAGCTAGAGTCCTTAATTATGCCCCGAATCCTCATTCAGCAGAAAGGGGGTCCCTGCCTCAGCAGAAGAACTGCAGCTGGGAGCTGCACCTCCTGCTTTGTGCAGAGAAGGTCCTTGGTTTAGGCAGTGGCGTCTCCAGTTGAAAGGACCCGGCAGCGAGGAGTAGGCACATCTCCACCCGAGACTTTGGAGAACCGGGGCACGCTGGCATTCCGGGACTGCGGACTGTGCCCCAAGCAAACCTGTCCTATTTAGTTTGAATGCTAATACTGATTCAGGTTTTACTCAGCCACAGGATGTCTTGAAAAATTGCAGTTAGAACAAAAACCGTGTGGTATCAAAAATGCATGATTTGCTTTTAAATTATAGATTTGAGAAAGCCTGTAAAAAGCCACGTGCTTAAATGGGGCTTGGTGAGTCTAACATCTTCAGAGAAACAGGAACGTATCTTCGGATTCTGTACTAACATCTGGTGACCAGTAGGGAAGGTAAACATTCTAACTGGAAGGCCTGTTCCAAGTGATCTGGGAACAGAGTTCCTCCTTGACATGGTGTCTTCCAGCTGTTTTGAACTATAACTCCTAGCAGTCTGGACATCCTGGCTAAGGCTGACCATAACTGAAGTCCAAAACAGCTGAACAGAAGCCCCAAACAGCTGAAGGGCATCAGGTTAAGGAAGGTAGAGAAGGCAGTACTGGATTAGATGGACAAATTGCCTTAATTTTTAATTGTAACATTTCTACACAAGGGAAATTCTTTCTTTAAAACAGTTCTGTAAAGAGAGGGAAATTGTAGCTATGTAGATTTGAATGTATGAATTTGCTGTGAACCATGAAGAGCACTTTGGCTTTTGGACTGTATAAAATTGAAAATAACAACAGCAGCAGCTATTTCAACTCATAGATATGAAAATACAATTTTCTAAAAATGATACATACATTTCAATGAAGATGGACCTAGTATCCACCAAACTTTCCATTCATAAGCAGTGTCTGTATAAGTTCAAATGCAGAAAGTGTTGTTAGGTTCTCAATCCATTTCATTGCAAGGGTGCGTGTTTATCCTTCTGATGGTGTAAGATGGGTCTTTTGCTGATATAAAAAGACATGGCGAGCAATTTTGTGTGTTAACTTCCAGGAAACTAGCTGACAATTCAATATTTACTGAGGTACTTGTCTTCTCAAAGAGTGCTCCAATACAAAGTTTATTTGTACAATAACCTCCTTCCCCAAAGAGGCAACTATTGGGCATTGCAAAAAAATATGGTTAAAAGAATCAGTAGTCAGTCCACTTCCAAGGAGTTAATGCATCTCCAAACAGGAGGTGGAATGACTCCCTAAAGGAAGGCAGAGCCTTGAATTTACAGAAGCTCAGCAGGGCTGTGCTGGGCAGGACACTGTGGAGGGCATTCATTCATGTTGCTGTTGTTAGTCGCGAAGTCGTGCCCGACCCATCGCGACTCCATGGACAACACTCCTCCAGGCCTTCCTGTCCTCCACCATCCCCTGGAGTCCACTCAAGTTCACACCGACTGCTTCAGTGACTCCATCTTGCCACCTCATCCTCTGCCGCCCCCTTCTTCTTTTGCCACCAATTGTTCCCAGCATTAGGCTCTTCTCCAGGGAGTCCCTCCTTCTCATTAGGTGGCCAAAGTCTTTGAGTTTCATCTTCAGGATCTGGCCTTCTAAAGAGCGGTCAGGGTTAATCTCCTCTAGCACTGACTGGTTTGATAGCCTTGTGGTCCAAGGGACTCGTAGGGGTCTCCTCCAGCACCACAATTCAAAGGTCTCAATCCTTCGGTGCTCAGCCTTCTTTATAGTCCAGCTTTCACAGCCATACATTGCAACTGGGAAAGCCATGGCCTTGACTATACACACTTTTGTTGGCAGGGTGATGTCTCTGCTTTTTAGTATGCTGTCTAGATTTGCCATAGCTTTCCTCCCCAGGAGCAAGCATCTTTTTAATTTCTTGACTGCAGACCCTGTCTGCGGTGATCTTGGAGCCCAGAAAGATAAAATCTGTCACTACCTCCATTTCTTCCCCATCTATTTGCCAGGAAGTGAGAGGACTGGATGATCTTAGTTTTCTTAATGTTGAGTTTCAAGACAACTTCATTCATAGGGTTGCCTTAAGTCAGAGATGGCACGGAACAGAAACGAACATTTTGTGGTACTCCTCCAGCAATTAGTGAACTTAGACAAACCCTTATTAAAAAGACAGTGCAGCATCCACTCAAGACAGAACAAGAGTTTTTGCTGAATAAGACAGGACCTAAGATCCAGATGCTCAAACAGTAGTCCATCGATTAGACCTAATGGAACAATCGAGTTCCCTACTCTATTCCAGTAGAATATTAGTAAATAAGTATTTATTTACTTATAAGTATTTATAAACACGGATCATGGATCAACTTAATTGATCAGCCTCACTAAGTGTTTCCAACAGCAAAGGAGAATGAAGCTGAAAAAGCAACAAGGCCAAACCGGCATCTTAACAAATGTTGCAAGTCCAAATATTGGTATTCATCCGTAGCAGCCAATCATATACAGCTTGGAAAACTGAGATAGACAAAAACTCATAAACACCCATGAGCTGATCCAAGGTAAGAATTAACTTATCTATCCAGGTCCACCAGAAAAACATTTCCTTACCTGTTTTTACCACAGAGAGTCGGTTTAATGTGAGAAAATGGATAAAAATGTAATGAACTGGAGGCTATATATCATATACTGCAAACTGCTTTAACTGTGGGGAAAAAAAACAATATGCTTGATGCACTGAGAACCAAATGCCATCCAGTTAGAGAGAAGATCCAGACAGAAAGATTCGAAAACTGCCCAAGGTGGAAAACGTGATTTAAGCGGAAAAGACGGTCATTTTGTAGAGGTCAACAAATAGGCCCAACGATAAAAAGCAAGATCTGGGAATCCCACCTTTGCTGACTGGAAGTTGCAACCTTTTCAAGGAAATTCATGGTGGGGAGGAACAGCTTCCCCCCAGATTTAGGAAAGAGAGCATTGAGTTTCTGAAAATATTTGCTAGGCATAGATAGTTGAATCCCATGTGTAACAAACAATGAGAGTGCTTACCTTACCCCAGAACCTCAACCTTTAAGATGTCCATCTACCCGTACCCTGTGAGACTTCATTAATCAATCTGTTTAAATTTAGCTTGATCATTTGAGATTTGTCCCTGGAAATAAATGTTCTCAAACATCTGGGCACCACCAAAATCACCAATTAGCTAATACACCGTGACAATTGTATTAATTCAGACTTTGATCAATTAATAGGCAGACAAATCACTAAAAATATTAAATACATGCCTCAAAGCTGGAAGAGATTACTGGTGTTTCAAGATAAGCAATAAGCAGTCATCAGTATAACTGATGAATAATTTTAATTCCAAATTTTAAATGCACAGAACTGTGAACAATGCTGTATCTCTGTCTGCTAACTCTCCAATGTAAAAGAATGCAGAAAAGAGATGGTTAGTCATAAATATAGTTCTTGGGGTTGAATGTAAGATTTTGCCCAACATGACTCAATGTAGCAAAAATAAATTTTCCGTGAATTTGGCCCAAGGATTTCTCTGAGTCTAAAGAAAGAAGGGCACCTGGACCCATAAACTTTATGCCTACCCGGCAGGCAACTAATCTAACATGATCAGTGTTATCTAACCTGGCATAAGTTCTTCAGCAGTCTCTTAGAAAGAGACCTTTTGTCATACTGCCAGAAATGATGTTTGTTCACTTTGTACTAGCAGCCACAGTGCTAAGACCAAGGTCTCAAGGACCATCAGACCCAGCCAAAGTGAGTCATGATTTGGCACAGTCACAGAAACAAGACAGCATGACTGGTGAAGAGTCTTTTGGTGGACTTCCTTGATTGGTGGCATGAATATCCAGAAACGGAGAAGATGTCAGGGCCACATCAAACCCACCTCAATCCATTGGTTGTATAGACGTCACCACTCCAAACGTTGTTTTGATCTGGTTAGAATACTGGCCTTGCATCATTTCTGAGTAGGCAGTCATGAGTTTTGAACTTCCTAACGATGATGAAGGAATGGACTCCCATTTAGCCTCTTCTCATAAGACAAGGATGCAGAACTTCAGACAATGGGCCAGGTACGACTCTGACTCCTGGTTGTTTGGTTGCCTGCCTTATGCATGGTTTTGTTTCCGTTTTAAGAAGTTAAAATGCCACCCCTGAGGAGCACTGGCAGGTAGTAAGAGCTTACACAGATCCTTTGGGTACTTTAGCCGCACCCCTTTGCTTTCGGCCTTGTTCACTCTTGGAATGAGCCCTTTCCAAGAGATTCTCTGAAACTGAACTTTGCCTTCAGGTGGAAAGTTATGCAACACCCCTTTCTTAAGACGTCGTCCTCTCGACTCAGACCCCCTTCTCCTGAAGCTCTTCCTGTTTCTCCTCCAGAAGGGGGTCACCTTGCACTACCACCTCACCCAACATTTCCTGGACAGGCTGCAAGGTTCAGCTGCAGGGTTTCCTCAGCAGGACTGTCCTCTGTTTGGGTTGTTCCTCCAAACAAGGGAGAATTGTTCACAGGGAGGCTGGAAAACTCTCCCAGGTGTGGGTTCCAGAGTGGACCAACCTTTCCGGAATCATGGACTTGCAGACTTTGTCAATTTTTTGTGGGGTGGGAGGTGTTAATTGCATCTAATGTAGATTAGTTCATTTGGGACCGTGTGTATTAGCACTAATGTGAATTAGTGCAAGAAAGAAAAACTTGAGTAAAAACCCAATTCTGTCAATGAGTAGACAGCATGAAAGATGCCTGCTAATCTGTGAAATGCAAACAGAATGGATTTAACAAAATCCATACACGCTTCATTGCTCATCAAGATTAGTCCCCTGTCAAAGCCTGAGTTTACTTCCCTGACTGTTAAGGAAGGCAAGCGAGTGCACAGGGGTGGGCCTGCCACCAGCTTAGTCCTCTCTTGCTGGCCTTTCCCCACACACGGGCTCTCCAGCTTCCATCTTTCCCAGTTCTTCCAAATCTTCTCTTGGCTCCATGTCTGCCTTTTCCCTTTATCTTTTGCTCTTCTTCCAGCACTCCTCATGCCATCCCTACACCTCTCTGGCACCCTCCTGTGTGTGTGACTTCAGGGTCTGACAATTCCCACCCATCTCCATTCACTTTGCAGCTGTAACTCATCCAGGGAGTTAGAACAGGCCACAGAGGCTCATCCATCTTGCTGGTCAGATTGAACCATCCCTACCTGACCCTACTGCAGTGGGAGCCTGGGCGAAAGCGGCAGCCCAGGAAGATTCCCATAGGAGAGTTAAGAGGCTGGATGTTGCAGTGCCAGAATTTCAGCCTAGCGAGGCAGCAAGTTCCTGCTCACTAGACTCTAGACGCAGAGTCCACTCTTCCTTCTAGGAAGTGCAGACAGTCCTCATTTTATTTTGACAACCATCCTGCAGATCGGTTGGGCTGAGGCTGGTGGTGAAGCAGGCGGGAATCCAATGCGGGTCACTTCAGGACAAGCACAACAAGCTGTCCCATATACCGTGCTGGCCTTAGTCTAAGCCACTGCTGGGAGACGAGATTGTCTGCCCAGCAAGACAGAGTGCGCCCTGTGAAGAGGCCCACAGGGACATGGCATGCAAATGCAGCTGGCTCAAGTAAGCGAGCAAGGCCAGAGGCCGAATCAAAAAACAGAACAAGCTGAATGAACGCTTTCCAGAATCCATTTGGTCATGGAAGGATGGGCTGTGTTTTCAAAAGCAATCAGTTCAGATGTCTGGCAAGAGCAAATGGTCTGTACCCCATCTGTGAAGGAAGTGGTGGAGAGAGAGAGAGAACAGGGGATCAAGGGAAAAAAAAAAAAAGAGAGAGGCATGGGAGCGAATGAGGGGAGAAAGAGGCCAATTCCTAGTTTGGACCACCTGGATGTTTGTACCATGTGAGGAGGCTGAGGGGTTGGGGTAGTTTTCTGTACAAACTTTGCCAGCCTGTTACAGTGGGAAGTGTTGAAGACTTTCATTTTTATGTGGGTGGGGGTTCTAGGGCATGGACCGAACAATATGACTTTACATATAGTACATTTCGGCATGGTTATCAAAAAAAGAGGAATGCTTCTAAAAAATTTACATGCTTGCTTGAAAATTTTATTGACAACTGTTTGGTCCCAACACACAGAACAGAATTTGGAGCCACAAAGGTCATCCAAAGGAATTAGACAATGCAGGAGAAAGATGAGTGCTTGTCTCCTACTGTATCCCATCCAGACAGTACACGAGTCAGGAGCTTCAATGATACTTAAAAAAAAAAAAAAACCACACACAGCCGAGAAATCTAAATTAGCCAAGTACAAATTAAAGAATTTAATTGTCTTAATTTTCAAATCTGTCAAGTCACATTATTTCTTCAAGCCTTTGTAAAAAGAAACATTGAATTGGATGGCCTTGTTCTGTGAAAAACAAATTTCTCCCAAATCGTATTCTCACTTTCAATCAGCAATTTTGGTCAGAATTACACATGAATCCAGAAAGATTTCTCATTTTCTACAAAGGGCATAACCACATCTGTATTTCAAGTACTCGGGAGTACCATAGTTCTCTAGGTTTCACCCAAGCCTGGCCTAGCACATAATTTTAGATGACTTGCAATTCAAAATGATGACTGATTCTGCATGCCATGACGAACACAAAGTGCCCAGGTTTTCTTTTCATGCAGTCTACACATCAGGAAAATGGAAAGATGATCTCAAATAAATTTATGTAACGGCTAAAATAACTAAGCATTTATTCCTACAAACCCCATGTCTGCAGAGGAAATGTAAGGATCTGAAACACACTGTGCCTTGCCATGATATCAGAAAAACCTCCAGTATTTCCCTGCATTCACAATGGCTATATAATTTAGTACTGTTTAATACTTGCTTTGTTTAAAAGTCTTTTTTTAAACAAAATCAATTTTATTCTTTTAAAAAAGGTTGTCTATAGCCATCGAGTGGCATTTTTCAGTTGCTGACCATTGGATCCAAGCCTATTTCTCGATCTCTCATGCATTAGAAAATACGGTTGAAAAAAAATACATATCTGTCCAGCCAGTGGAAACCTGCGCTGCATAGTTTCTTTCTTTTAACAAGCGGTAACAATCCATGCCTGGCAAATACAACCCATTGTAAGTGCCAAGTTTACCCAACAGGGGTATAAAGCTTCTGAAGACGTTTTAGCTCAATAAAAAAGAAAGTTCGAGGACTCCACTGACTTGTCTCCTTCAACAAAGGCTGGCCTTTCTAAAAGCCAACAAAAATACCACCAATAGGAATTGGAAGCAAAAAAGTACACACAGAAGAGCAGCTTTGAACACTCGAAGAAAACTTCAGAATAAAAACCAGACACAGTTAAAAACATACTAACTCGAATTAAGCTTCCCATTTACTACTTTAAAAAGTTAGAAAACAAGGTTAAGTACAGTAACCTTGGCCTTTCCACTCACTGCTCTTATTTTTCTGCTAGTGGATGCAGCATTGTTACCTTCCATCTTAAAAAAGCTCCTCTAACCCCTGGTTGTGATTCATAATTTATGCACTTAAATGCATATTTCTGAAATCCCAAATACTCCTGTAATCCCATCAGCAGAGGCAGCAAGAAGCACCTGAACATCTACTTCGAAACGCATGCCATTTTTCTCAGTCCAAATCAGCATCAACTTGGAGCTCTCATAAAAGGGAAGCTTAAAATATCCTCAACTTCCTGCAAGATTCCTCAGTGGTACTAAGTTATTACAGAAGGCATTTAAAAGGGGTTTTGTAATAATCCCAACATAATCTTCTACAGTCATCTTTTGATAAGAGTTAATTACAAGTCATCTAAAAAAACCCTACATTTTGCCCGTATCAATTTAAGGCTGAAGACCCCATATTTCAGGTGTTATTCCAGCCTTACAATGACAGGTTGTAAGGTTGGAATAAAACCTTCCTGAACAAGAAGAACTCTACGGGCTGGTTCGCAGGAAAGATTCAACAGTGGGATATTATTGCCTGCAAAAAATTCAAACTAGAAACAGCCTATAGATGAATATGTTGTATGTAGGATTATATCACTTAGGAGGTTTCAGAAACTGAAGATTTATCGTTTACTTTCTGCCGGCATTCAACAGAATGAAAAGGAAATGGTAAAATGCTAAATTATCCTTGACAAACGCTTGAAGTACAAATAAAAATACCTGCCCAGCTGAATTCAGTGTAAATTGAACAAAATCCTCCCAGAAGGCAGCCAACAGTGACAAGCAGAAGAGAAGTGACCACCCTCCCGCTCCAGAATTGTGATTAAAAACAGAAAGGGTAGCCAACAGCTTCATTTTCTGTGCAGTCGAACAAGGTGTTGCCTTTCATACCACAGCAGGACTTAAAGCTTGGTTACAGGTGCAAGTGAAAATTTTGCTGCCAACTTCACCCGGTTTTTATGCTGCTTTTTGGCTGGGCTGTCCGTGGCTTCTTTGCTTGCCTGGGAATCGGGGGATGGGTAGGGACGTGTTGAAGTCTTTTCTGCAGACATGTGGCTCAGTTCTTCTTTTGCTTGTAACGAGCAACCGGCCTTCTCTTCTTCCTCCGTTAGAATCATCATCTCTAAACATGAAAGCAAGTTTAGCCTTTAAAAAATATTACTCAGACTACAGCACACATTAGTCCATTTTTTTAGAAAGCTGGGGAATGTCTGAAAACCTTCCACTTTCTCCCCCAAGGGTGCTACTGCATGTAAACTGCCCAGAGAGCCTATGGCCTGTGGGATGGGGTATCAATCAATCGATCAGTCCCAAAAGCAGTATTATTTGAGCGCTTAGGTGAGCTTTATATTTTGCTGGTCTACACATACCGAGAAAGAGGTTGTAGCTGGGGTGGGTTTAGGGTTTGTTTTTTTTTTAAGAAAAACAAGTACATTTCCTCCTGTAGAAAGCAAACAAGCTAGAAAAAAGAACAGGCCAGAATCTTGTCTGTCTGATATGCTAGCTTTCTGCTTATAAGGTTATTTATCTAGGAAAGGATTCAAAAAGCGACACCAGCAGGTTCAAGTGCCGCACTCTGTGCATGAAGACCGGGCTTCCTCATTTAGCCTTGGGGGTGGGGGGCGGGGAGTGATCGATTTTGAAGCTCATGTGATAAAGAACATCTTCTAATGAAGACACTCTTGCCCTGAACTTCTACGAGCGCCTCAAGGCAGGCATCCTTTCAGACAGACTCGCCTTTACCGGAAAGGGTTGCTGGATGTTCTTCGAACTGAATGAGGTCTGCGGATTCAAGGATGACCGGGTCTGGTCGCAGCTGCGGGGAGGGAAGGCAGGACGGGACTGGCTCACACAAGAGATCAACAGCTGACGTGTTCGTGAGGCAAAGGAGCTCTTCATCAGTTTGATTAGGAACTGCAGGAAAACAAAGGGGAAGCAAGACGATCTTTTTAAAGTACTGCACATCCCGTGATTCAGGGAGCTGTTCTAGGCACCTTGTGAGTTGCCATGGCTTCTGAATTTTCCCTGAAAGCAGAAGCCTTGCGTACGCTGCACTATTCTTGGAACTCACTGGAAATTCTCTGCCGCAGCTCAAAATAGAAACCAAGTCATCCACAAGTCCTTCTGGATCATAATCCCAGAGCTTACACTTCTATAAGGTTGTGACAACAGTGCCTGAGCGAATCTAGTTTTGCAAGTTGTCCCCGAATCATTGTGCCAAGGTACTTGTGACGCGATTTGTCGTAACAACTATGAAACCATGGAACTGCACAACTCAACAAATTTAATTCTTGAGTCATTCTAAGTAACAGGGGAGAATACATAATCTGGAAAATTCTCTGCCATACGTCCACCAAAAATACGGACTCTTAAGACCGAGTGGGATTCTTTAGGCATCGGGAACATCTCTTCAAAATAAAGACACTGGCTTAGAAGAATGCCCGTGAAGATTTCCCCCAAAGCCTTGATATGGCTGGGAGGGGGAAGCTCTAATATTAGCAGACTTAGCTAAGCCCAACCGGATAAAAACATCCTTGACCATTTTAAAAAATGCTGACATTTTGTCACCACTGAGGTCACATCAGCAAAAATAATTAGGGGATAAACCACCGTGAAAAAAGAGTAGTGATGAAAGAAATACCTCCTGTGGGTTAATTCTGAAGAAAGACTGGGTGGAGCACAAACGGTATCAAATGCAGCGATGGCAAAAGACTGCCATTTGACAGTGATGCGGTTGGAAGCCACACAAACCCAAGCAACTTGGTTGCAAATACACCTACTTTATTTATTTATTAAAACATTTTTATGCCACCTCGGGGCGGCTCACATCACTAAGTTAAAATTACTTTACAAGCAACTCCTCATCCACTTTTTGAAACAGGGCAGCAGCAACGTCTTATGAGACATGAATTTACTTCCAGCCAGAAGCAGCCACAGCCTAGCACACCGACGGCCACCTGGGTTCATGCACGCCCAAGGCCATACTCCTCGCTGAGGAGAATCGACAGCAACAAAGCTGGGGAGGTGAGAACACCCAGCAGCAGCAGAGCTGTCTCAAAGCCTGAGTGGGACCAACCAACACTGACAGAACCACTGCAGTCCCAGGGCCGCTGAGCCGAGCTGCAAGAGCATTAGATTGGGACTCGCCCCACTCGGAAAGAGGGCTCACCAGGAAACCTCAGCACAGTATTTGATTCTTAGCCTGCCATGCCTCACAGGGTTGTTGTGAAGATAAAATGGAGGATGACAAGCACAGACACTGCCTTGAGCTCCTTACAGGGAAGGCAGGGTTTTAATGTAAAATGGAGTGCCGAAATTGACGGATACGAAACCAGCAAAGGAACCTGAACGGACTACATGGGAGCAAGGAAGATACGGGTGCATCTGCCATGGGCAAGGAACGGGCACAGCAGGTTCATCAACGGCTCTTGCATCTCAAACCCACTTTTTCTTTAAGCAATTTCCATCTTGATCCAATCAGCTTCCTCTGTTTTGTAACACCGAGTTACATACTTCCTATACCTCTGACACACTTTCTTTCTCCATTTATTTTGTTGTGTATCCTAGAATTCCGCTAATTTCAAATCTTTAAGCAGAGAATGGCCAGCTGTACTTAAAAAAAAAACAACAAAAAACAAAAAACTGAGACATTTTATAAACCCGTTATAAAAAACACGGGTACAAAATTAGATCTTTAAGAATGCACATATGGTTATAGGCCAGGACATTCAATCCGGCACCCCATGTAAACCTACTCCTGTTGACTCATTTGAACAGCCAGACTTCCTGGCTTGTCATGCCAGGCAAAAAGTGGGCAGCATTTAGCACAAGGGTCTCTACACCTATGGCGGCAAGTTGTGGGTTTCCCCCAAAATAGCTGTACCAGGTCTGACAGGGACACTGAGGGAGTGGGGGGATGGATGCAGGCAGGGCTTTTTTTTGTCATAGAACGCACCGGAACGGTGTTCCGGCACCTTTTTTGACAGATTTTTCCAATGGAGTGATTTTGAATTGCCTGAGGGCTGATTGTGTGTCCGTGCTGATTGTGAGAGTGCTGCTCGGCTTGGGACACTGCTCGGCTTGGGCTTGGTGTGTGTGGTCACGTGCTGCGGCGGTGACCATTATGTTTATGTGTGTGTAGAGTGACTGGCTATGTGCAAAAGGTAATTAAGTTCTTTATTTCAAAAAAAGTTGGTGAATTGAAAATCTTTTTTCGTGTAAAAGTGTGACTCCAAGACATGAGTTCCAGCACCTTTTTTTTTTTTTTTTTAACAAAAAAAGCACTGGATGTAGGGCTGGGCGGGGAGAAGTGGTGGCAACGACAAACACAATCCTAACTGCAGTTAGCATGTGAGAGATCATAACTTCCTCAGACGGCTTGGCTCTCAACTCTCCAATTCATGTGCATTAAAACCATTTCAACATGTACAGCAAACTGGCCAACAATGTATTACCAGCAGTTGGTGTTTCCAGTTTTAATTCCAAGGATTCACTTGCTCTCGCTGCCTCTGTAGCTCGTCTGTCGCTATCGGCAAGCTGACCTCCGCGATCTTCATCGGCGAGGGGGAGACTGGGTGAGCTGAAACGAGCTGCGGGAAGACGGGGGGGTTTGCCATGTTGGTCCTTGGCCAAGAAGCCTACTAAACTTAGTGCAAAAAAACTTGGGCCAACTCAAGACTGGTACTTACTTTTCATGTCATTCTTTAGGACAACAATTCTCTTATGACCATGGCCTTTTATCCATACTACCTAATTAAAGGCAACAATGACAAGAAGTTCGAAATGAGGAAACCCAGTTAAATTCTTTCTATTTTAAAGACAGCACTCGGCTTTTTTCTCCTTCCTACATCCTTCCTTGATAATAACAACATTTAACCTTACGCTGGATTCCAGCTATTTCTTGTTTTAAAAAATCACAAGTATTCCACCCACCCCAAAGAAACCTGAATTAGGCAAAAAGTACTGCTGTCTTTTTAATCCCTTCATTGTATATCCTCTATGGCTCCATGGGACTCCCAGCAGAAATTAATGCTTATGAATGGTTATTCGAACACATTAAGACCAAGGAGGGTACTTTTGCAGGGGGCGGGATGGAGAGCACAAGAGAGAGAACTAGATTGTGAGTGTCCACAGAAATATGTTCTCAGGCATAAATCTGGGATTGCTCCTCTAGCCCAGGAGTGGACAACCTACCGCCAACTCTTGTTGCAGGTGCAGGGAAGGTGCAAGCCTGAACCAGCTGGCTGGGCATGCCAGGAGCTCTAAGCCCCTTTACTGCCTAAACTTGCACAGGGCAGTGGCCTAAAATAATAAAATTTCTCTTTTATTAAATAGCACAGATGAACCTTCCCTTATTGGAAAATTCTTTAAAAGCCTTGGGTGAGCTAAGAGATGCTTCCTACACCTGTCACCACGGACGATCTACAGGTGAGAATTTGTGCCCCCCCCCCCCCAAATACTGAGTGGGCCACGCTGCATTTATGCAAGAAAAACCAGGACGTTTTGAACAGATCAGGTACATCACAACTTAAAAGATAAATGTTCTCCCTCTAACATAACTGCCAAAGGCGTAAGAACAAAGCTGGTAATCCTAACTGGGTTGCCCAAGCTCCTAGTTCCCTACCTCTCATCAGAAAATTAGGACTTCCAGCTTGGAACCAAAAGCCATCAAGTTATTCAGCACATGCCCAGCAAAAATATCAGTGAAGAGGACACACAACTTCATCTTGATGCACTTAAACAGAACTTAAGTGGATCCAGCTTCTTTTGGGCTGCACCCATCAAGGGTAAGACAGAAGGAAGGAAGTTGCAGGCTCTCTTTCCCCAGGAGAAAGAAAAGCCTGCATATTAACTCGTGTGTCAACACAAGCGCTTTCCCAGCCTGGTACCCTTCAGTTGTTTGAGACTGCACTGCCTATGCACCCAGACCATCTACCACAGTGCTGGGGAAATTGCAGTCCAGACACCTGAAGGGTCCCCGGGTGGAGACAGCTGCGACGGATGCACTGCACTGGTTAGTGTCTGGCTGACCACAGCACTGATCCCTCAAGTTCCACCAAAAGGGGGAATAGCTTTGCATTTAGAGAGGCATGATCAAGTTTACCCATCCAAACCAAAGGGAGGTGTGCTAGTGAGTCAGCAACTTCACTCTGACAGCATCTTCCACCAATGCTGTAAGCGCTGGCACTCCACGGCATCATCCGTAATAACAACACCTCCAAAGTGACAGCTGGGAATCTCAGGATTAAATGTAATTATACTAAACACAACCACAGCAGCCACAAACCGGTGGAATTGCTCCCAGGAGTTCTTCAAGGTTATTGTAGCCATATGCTTTGGGCTGCAAAACTTCGCCTGTGTATTTGCTATAGGCAGTGGAGAACTCGTGAAGGAAGATCTGTTGATAGTGGTAGGTGTGAAGCAAAGACCTCACTTTCTTGGCAAACACGTACAGGCTTGTCAGCTTCACATATTCCGCCTCGCCATCAGTAAAAACCTGAGGGGGGAAAACAGAGGCGATCAGGTGGCATTTCCAACACCTGTGTGCAGAGGGGCATTTAAGAATGTGGATCTGCCCATGTAAGCCAGTGCTTTATGTCCCAGCAGGTGAGTCAGTAGTGTAACGTTAGACTGGGACAACCACAGACAATAGCCAGATAGGGAAAACAGTGGCCCAGAGTGGCCACAATGGCTGCTGCTGACTCTCCACAGACTCAGTTATTGGCCACTGGAAGTTTACTCCATTCCCTTCTGCTGCAGGGAATGGCCCAAATTAATTAATTAATTAATTAATTAATTAATTAATTAATTAATTAATTAAAAACATTTCTATGCCGCCCCATTCACCAAAGCCTCGGGGCGGCTCACAACAAAATTAAAATACATTCAAAATATAAAACAAATTAACAATATAAAATAAGTCGCCCTGGCCAGATGAAGACTCAATTCACCTGGTCCAGGCAATACACTGAAAGGCAAGGCAAGGGGGAACTGCCTTGAGCAACCTACTCCAAGCCGGAGGCCTTCCAATGCATTTGGGCCGCAACTCCCAGAATTCCCATCCAGCAGGGCCACTGACTGGGAATCCTGGGCGTTGCAATCCAAGTGTGTCTGGAAGGCACCGGGTTGGGGAAGGCTGGTCTTTAGAGCTGTCTCCCAAGTTGGACATGTGGCTCTGGGCTGGAAATCAAGGCAGTTTGTCCCTGCATCCTGCAGCTACCAGGAGCTGCCGAGAGAGAGACTCAGACTCACCTACCTGGATCCTTCCTTCCCTTGCTTCGACCCTGGCATCATCCATTGCTAGCCAGAAGCCGTGCCTCTACATAAATTACTGGCTAACTTTTGACATCGGTTTCATGCCTCCTCATCTTGTTTCAATGCCTCCAGGGGCTAAAGACATCATCTGCTGGGGCAAGGCTGAGTACGCCCCACTCCTGCCATGCAAAGGGCCTCACACTCAAGACCCAGCACATGCAAGTGGAAGGATCCAGTGAGTGGAAGCTGGGAAAATCCCTCTGCCTGAAACTTTGGGGCAGCCCCTGCCAGTCAGGAGAGACCATACGAGCCATATGGAGAGAATCCCTGTCTCCTGTGTCCAAAATTGCGCTTTATGGTTCGGCTGTGTGATCCCGTCCCCATGGACCATCACAGGAGGCCCTCCTCTGTATCAGGCACGGTACTGGCAAAGGAATGCTTCCTCCAGTGCTTTCTCAGCCTGTGATCTTGGCCTACCAGTCTGCAACCAGCAACTGCTCCGCCCACGGTTTCCTTGCTTTGCGTGGCGCTTATTTCACTTCAATGGGATGCCTCACTTCCGCACGTACTGCAGCGGATCTTTATTTTGAAGGGGGGGGGGGGGGAACTTAAGTCATCATCAACAACCAAACTGGAGAGAGTCACGTGGGGAGAGAGCGCGAGAGTTATGCCGGGCATTGAGAGCCACATCACCTTCCTTACCTCAATGAAGTAAGGCACACTTATCAGCAGGTCAGTAAATGTGATGAAGCCATATTCACATGGATTAAGGGCAGTCCCGTGGGTGGTTTCATAATGATTTTTAAGCTCTTCAACAGAAATAGAGGTGGTTTCATCCAAAGTCATCAGGAGGACCAGCAGCTGTGCAGTCAAGGCCCGGAGAGACTTTTTATTTATAAGCTGAAGCTGTTTCCCGGATTCTGTGTCAACAACCTGAAGAAGTTTGAATAATGGTGTTTATAAAAAAGCTGTGCCAACGTATATTCAAGGTTTCCTTAAAATACAAAATGCCTGTTCTCCCTCAGGATTTAAATGTTATACAACTGCCACAAAGAAAGGCTGTGCACCTCTAAATATGGCTGGAGTGATACCTGGTCCCCGGCAGCTCTCGGGAAACCCGGACAGCGGCTGCCCGTCAGCGTGGACCAGACAGAGCCAGGTGAATCGGTACCTTGCCTCAGTATTAAGGCTGCTTGCCATGATCCAAAGGATTCCTGGAAGCAAGAGGCAAGCTGAGGCGGATCCTTCAGGGGGGTCCAGCAGGGAGTGCAGCTGACAGTGCTGGACTTGGCTGGGCAGATACAGGATTGGATCCCCTCCAACACTATCAGGGTGGAAACAGCCACATCAGTGACCTGCTGAACACCACAGAACCCTGCAGAAGAGGCCCTTCAAAGGAGCTAATAAAAGGGCCGGTTTATTAAATTCTGCTGCAAGGTAAGCCATATATTGGACACGCTCTCCAAGGGGTTTGACAAAGAAGTATTTCTCTGCACTTAGTACAATTTCTTCCTATCCAACTGTGCACCCATGAAGCCAAGATGTTACTCATTAAGAAATCTGGAAGGAATTCATTTTAAACGAGATTCCTGGGTTTCTATGACGATCCTATTTCACGGGACGTGTGTGTTCTCACACGGGCGCACACAGACCACATACTGTGTATGCCTTAGGCTGAACAAAAGGAGAGGAACATTAACGAGCTCTTCAAATTAGCCAGCTGTTTCAGATCTTGGCACCACTTCATCATGTTCTGGAGATGGGACAGCTGTTCAACAGCCCCCTCCCCTCAAGTCCTTTTTCTTATGGGCTGCACCAAAACATACCTTGATAACATGGCACAGTTTCTGCAGCAATGCAGGGACAGAGCCAACATCATAGTCCTGGAGGCGCAACGGGTAACCAAACGTTTTAGCGTATTCTGTGAGCACATCCGCCATCATAAGGCTTTTGTCTTTCTGAGACCGGAGCAATTTAACAAACTGGGCAGCTAAAGCTTTGACCTGCTCCACATCTGTCAGCGCAAGGATCTTCTCTTCTCCACATTCCAGTACCTGGGGGTGGAAGTCAGTTCAGTTAGTGAAATTATCTCAGAAGGCCTTTTCTGGCCACCGAGGCTGGCAATACGTCGCGCTCCCCCTCACCAGTCACAAGATACAAGCTGAAAAATCACGCGCGAACCATTTCTCCCACACTGTTTACGTGAACAGTTAGTGGCCCATGAAAAGAAAACAAGAGCTCAAGGTTTGCGCATGTGGGACAGGACTATACCGCACCCTCCCTAAAACGAGGAACCGAAGGAGGCTCACACAGTCCCCCTCCTCTTCCCTATTTCATCCTCACAGCAATCTTGCAAAGTAGGTTAGGCTGAGAGCTGGGGACTGGCCTGAAGTCGCACACGGAGCTCCATGGTCGAGCAGGCACTAGCACGCGAAGCTCCCGAGTCCTGGTCCGGGGCTCTTAAACAGCCAAAGTTTTGACTAGTGCTGCTATGATGGCCACAAGTATGAGATGCCTAGCATGGAGCTTTGGGATGGCTGACGGCCCACTTCTGCCCTGAAGGACCTGCTGACTGACCTGCAAGACCTCTGGTATGGCTTCAAAGAGTTCAAGTAGTTTGGTGAATCCATAATAGGCCAGTTTGCACTGGCGCCCAAAGTGATGGTGGTAGGATGGGATAAATTTATTAAAAGACATGCGAAAATAGGGCTGGTGACGCAGCAAATCAATGACCTCCTTGGAGAACTGCTTTGTCCTTTCGATTTCCTCCTTGGTACGTTCTGAGGACAGAGAAGAGGGGTCAATAAAGAAATCACTTAGAGGGGGAAAATGGAATGTGAGGAGGAGAAAAGACAAGATGCTTGGCTCACTGTCAACTAGACCACCAAACAGCTAGTCTATCCCAATGGTCAGTGAAACACTTGCGTTGTTGTGCAGTGTTTCTGGGACTTCATCCTTGAAAAGAAAAAGCCACATCCTTTTTCCAAAGGCTCGCCTTTGGGGAATGTAACCGTTTAATTTTCCTTGTCTTCCCAGGAGCCTGGAACTGTGGTATTCTTCTGCTCACCTGTGATTTGGAAGCACAGGGAAGGCTTCACACTTGGTAGCCAGGTGATTTCCAGGTGACCACGTTGGGGGATTCTTGCCCTCTTTGATAGCCCCTCCCCACAAAAGCCTATCTAGTCCCTTCTGCTTTTTAAATATTTTTATGCAGTTGATAATCTGGAAACCTGGATGGAAGTGTCATCGGCATGCTGAGGTTTAGCTCTATTCCTCCTTAAGGACTCCATGAGATGAGGCTGATTCTGTGCCTGGACTCGTAGGTTGAATAAACTGAAGCTCAGTCCAGAGGAGACCATTCATATGTCCATGTGAACGATGTTGTCGCTACACGGGACTGCACTCCAAACTCCCCTCACCCAAAGGCTCAGGCCCACAGCTTGGGAATGCTTCTGAATGCGAGGCAGCCAAGTAAACACCAAAGCCTTTTATGAGAGGCTAGTTGGCAACCCAAGCTTCTCTTGGACAGGGGCTGCCCTGACTCTTGGGGCTGCTTTTGATGAGATTTCGGAAAGAGCAGGTAGTCCCCAATATCACTGCCTATCATCCTGTTCAGATGTGCCAATGCTCTTCTTCAGGTCTTCCTGCTGCATGCAAGAGAGGTAGAAACTAGGAGTTGGATTATCTTCAGCTACAGCGTGCTGCTTATGGAACTCCTTCCCAGAAGGGACCCACCTGGCACCAGCTCCGTTATCCTTTAGGCATTAGGGCAAAACTCTTTTGATCTCTCCCAGCATTAACTGCTCTTAATTTGATGCTTTAACTAGTGCCCTGCTGTTTTCATGCCTAACATTTTTACTTAATGTTATGGAAACCTCCCTAGACTCTGATAAAGGGCTGCATATACATTCTCTAAAGCAACAAATAAAATAAATACAGGTCATAGCTTGTAAAACAAGCCTTAATTCACTCACAAAAGTTACATGAGCCAAATGCCCATCTGGCACTGGTGCAGCAACAACCGTCAGACTGGTAAAAAGAAGCAGAGTTCTGAAAAGTGGGGACATTACCTCTTTTGGGAATACAAATTACCATCTCACTATCTTGCTGAGACAAACAGATGGTTGTGTCTGGAATTTCTGATATTAGATCTACCAGCTCGCACACTCCGTATTCAGTTACATCCCAGTCTTTCGAGAAACACCTAGGCATTGAGAGAGAAAGCAGCTGCAGAAAACATATCATCAAGAGTCCCACTATCCTAAGTGGGAGCACAAAAGGTACAAAATGAAAGTCTTTCCCACTGCCAGTATCCCCAACATGAGAACCGAGAGAAAACCAAAACATTCTCAGGGTTTAGAAACCAACACTCTGGAAGATGTTCTCCATGAGGTGACCAAAAACACCAAACTTCTCTTCTTATAGGGATTTTGCAAGAGATCTTCTGCAAAAAGACAGCACAAGGGCAAATAGCTCTCTGTGCCTGGGAGTTCTTTGCACAGGCTGTAGGACTTGAGGAATGACTGGGGTGCCAAACAGTCAACAGATTTGGTTAGTAAGACATTTGTCTACCCTTGCCTCAAGGTACCAGTCTAGGAAAGCCCCATTTCTAGTAATAAATTTTAAAAACCATCTGGTTTAAATTCTACCCTATCCCTCCATTCTGAGTAGTTTCAATTACTACTCTTCAGATGATTCTGACTCTTCTCTTCAGAATTGCCCCTCTCCTGTCTGTGGGGAAATACTTTCACTGAATCCACAAAGCATTAAATTAAAAAATCTTGAAACTTCAGTGATCATGATACATACCAGTGATAAGCGTGTAAGAAGTCTCTCACAACAACTTGCTTACTGGCTTGGGACTTGAGAAGCTTCAATAAATCTTGAGTGAATCGCTTTACTTGGGCCCTGTGTGTCAAGGTTAATAAACGCTTGGTGCCTATTCCGAGTATCTAGAAGAAAAACAAACATGCATAAAATGTGCGTTTCCTGAACGGTCCTAAGATGAAGCCACATTAGAGCTGCATAACCAGAAAGGGTACGGGGTGTGTGTGTGTGTGTGTGTGTGTGAGCACAAATGCATGAACGCAACCCAGTGAGGATCAGAACAGCCCCTTGCTGGTTCTTCACATCAGTCCTGACGCTTTTTTGACAAGCAGCCATGCAACTCAAACAGATGGAAGTGACCTGGATGCCCCTGGATCACAGTAATAGAGCTACCTACCAAGTGGCTAAGCAGCAGGCAAGGTAACAGGGGCTTTCTCCCCTCCTCTTGTCCTAAGGAAGTTCTGTGTGAATTAAATTTGGACAGCAGCTTCCTCAGAAGAAACATAAAGAAGAGTCTTGTGGCATCTTAAACACTTGCAAATTTATTCTGGCATCAACTTTCGAGGGCTCTGCCTCTGTTAATGTGCCTGTCGAAGTAGACTATGTCCACAACCTGGACACTTTTCTTAGTGTTCAAGGTGCCACACAACTCGTGGTTGTTTTTGCTGCAGCAAAATAACATGGCTACCCCTCTGGAAACCATTTCTAAGAAGGGAACCTGTAATGTTCTTGGCCAGTGAGAGGCTATGGAAGAGACTGGAGACATTTACAGGTATTAACCTTGCATGCAAAACCCCCTAGCTTGGCATCACTTGCTCACGGAAAGGCCTTCTCATTCGAAGCCAGCATCTGGACAAAATGGCGATGCTAAACTCACTTGCAGCACATGAGGCACGGCTTCCAGCAACTCCATTAACTTGGAATACCCGTAGTCAGACACACGACACTGCTTTGCAAAATGGTGATGGTATGTTGGGATGAATTTACTGACAGGTATGATACACGATGGCTGGTTTTTAAGGAGATCGATCACTTCTCTGCTGAACTGAATGAGCTGTGGGTTACCCACAGGACTTTTAGAACGTAGAAGCCAAGGTTCTAGAAAGGGAAAGAAACACACACGTGCTCGCTTAGAAGAAAGGGACACAAATGGAATGGGATGAGCACTACAGCAAAAAAGAATAAATCGGAGTAGGAACACTGTGGAATTGGGCAAGGCTATTACATTGCTGCAGACCAAAAGCCACTAAGATGAAATGATAGAAACAAGACCACCAGTAGCCTGAAGGCCGCTTTGCATCCCAGGGGAGGAAAAATATAACCGGCATATCCAGGAGCTTGCAAACACTTGGTGGGGATTGTCTTCATCTTTGAATGATGGATTCCTTATGCTTTCCTACATCCAGCTTTTGAAACTATCTCTGCTTCAAGAGAAACATTCAGATAGTGAGGGGGAAGCTGTTGTTTACTATATACAGTAAGTGCAAACCCCTTTGGGTGCACTGGATTAGTTGTTTTTTAATACCCTGAAAATGGGGAGACATTTACAGTGCAATACTAAATATGCTTCCCAAGAAGTGCCACCTGTTTTCATCCAAACTACATTCCTACACTGTAGCTTCAGAAACTTCATAATGGATGTCAGGTGACTCTAAAAGACACAAAATTAGTTTGTTGCTTAGTATTTTTAATATTAGTTTTTCCAAAACTCTAGACCCAAGCTCTCCACAGGGACCACAGTGTTCACAATTTATTGTGGAATTTATGAGTTTTGTCTCCACAAAATAAGTTCAATATAGTGTTTGGTTGATGTAACTATGTGAAAGATATAGAGAGGTTTAACATTTGCTTTCTAAAATTAATATGACTGATAAAAGATTTTGAAGAGGCTCTAAGCCACCTGAAGTTGGATCGTACAAATGTGAGTTTTGCCCTTATGGGTGCGTGTCCCAATCCTAGCATGCTGGATTGTTACTGGTTAAAATACTTCAAGGGTGTAAATCTCAGACTGGATCACTTGGCTTCATTCCAGCAGGAACAGGAAGCAAATAAAGGGAAGACAATATAATTATGTCCTGTTTTCTACATCTGGCAATCTCCAAACATCATAATTATTTAAACTATTTATACGGCACCCTTCCTTAACCACACTGTAGGTCCGGAAAAAGTTTCCAATGAAGAAACAAGTTCTTTAAAAAAAATAATGAGATACGTACCTGCAGTAGGAGGTGGTGGTTTGTTATGTATCCATTTTACAACTTTAATACCATTTTGTGCAGTGGATATATTAACACCAGGAACACAAGTGATGAGGTGTTCCAGAGGAACTCCACCCTGGCCTTCTTGCACGACTTCTAGATTGCTAAATTCAGAACCATAGCAGTCTGGAAAGCTGCAGGACCAAAACAGAAAAGTGTCTGACCAGTCTTTATAGGTGCTACTTCACAGATGGCCAATTAAGCCTCTGGTAAATAAGTAAAACAGATGCAGATATGTATTAGCAACCTTTAAAGATGTTTTGAATGTGGAGTATACTTATTTGATATCAGTCTGTCTTATTATAGTTTATGGTGGTCACAACCTTAATTTGGCATGGCCAGCAGTTAACTCCTGAGTCAACGAAAACAAGCAATTGGATAGGAATTTGGAGTCAGATGTGAATCTGCAAAAACCTAGGACAACTTTGCAACAGTTAACACAGGTCAGTATACATTTTAAGATCTAAGGACCAAAACAAAAAGCAAACAAAACTCCTACAACAAACAACAAAAAAACCCCAGTTGCTACAGATTTTCTGCACAACTTGATATGCCCAACTCATGCAGTTTTGCCATGTTGTGGATTATATATGTCCATAAGAAAACTGAGAGTTTTATTTCTATTTTCCAAACAAACTTCCTTTGCAACACCTAATGCCCATGTCTGCACTTTATCACCTGTAAGAGAACATGTGGGACCAGAACACTTAAAAGGAGTGTTTCTCCCTCACCAGTCCGCCCAGCCACTGAGGTGGCACCATCCTGGAAGCCCTCCAGAGCCCTGTGGCAAGGTGTGAGTCTACCTGGAGAAGAACCTTAAGTGCAGTGCTCCTGTTTTGTGCCCCTGGAGATCAGGCAGGTACCAGCACTGTACTATTTCAGGCACCTCCTGAAAGCATTACTTCAGGGAGCCGCCTTGCCTGGCCCACCACCACTTTTCCTGCTAGCCTGTCTCTGACAAGTTCATTCTTTTATCTGTTTGTACTGTCTATCTTTGCCCTGCTCAGGGCTCCAGGATATGTTAGCTGTGGAGCAGGATGAAGAGGATGATGCTCACAAAGCATCAGGGGTGTAAGAACGCTAGCTGGAAATGGCCTTGATGTGAACAAAAAGGAATGGGAAACCTTCATGCCTAAGTCTAGGCACAGCACAGACTATTACAGAGGAACCAACGCTCCCTGTGGCTTGCTGTTTAAACAGCACGGTCATAATGTGGAGGGAAGCACACTAAACAGGATGGGAGGTGGGAAGAGAGGATGAAAGGTCAAAGGCTTCTGGGGAAAGGTGGCAGTCTCAGAACTGTTTGAACAACTGCAGATGCAGATGCCGGGAGACAGTGAGTGCAAGGGAAAGAGTGGCACAGGCATGAAACAAAGGAAGAAACCTGGAACTCAGAAAAGAAGAAAGCACCTGCAGTGCAATTGGGATGACAAATGAAGAGAAAATCAGAGGCCGATCGAGTTTAGTCCTTCACGGTTTCTCACATGCTAAATATCAGTATCACGTTGCCCTGAACGGGGCTGCAGTACCCTGTGTTTATGTATTTATACTGTGTGAGGCCAGAATGCTCCATCTGCACTGATTAAACTGTCTTTAAAGTCTCCACCTTGTGTTTTCAAGCACACATTTCCAGCCCTTTCAGCCAAAAAGTAACCTCAAAATGTGCAAGCAAAGTTTGAGTGAGGTAAGACTGATTTTTCAGGGAAAATGTTTGCTCGAAATGAGAAGCAGAGTACCTAAGTTCAACACATACACACACACACTCAGGCCCTAAAAAAAGATGTTCTGTGGGTGGTATGATAAACGATTTCCCCCAGATGCTTACTTTGTGTGCTAGCAACGACAACGGAACCATCTTACCTAAGTAACGGCACGGTCCCTTCATGCGTTTGCAACAAGCTATGGACTTGCGGTGCGAACGTCTTCAGAGACAAAACCACAAAGGGAACTTTGTAGGAGTCGGGATCAAAGTCATGCTCGCTAGAGAAGCAACAAAACAGTAGTTAAAATTGACACCAGGCAAAGCGAAATATTTTCTCTAGCATAACTTTGGCCAGTTGGAAAAAACAGCATTGTTACGTGCCTGCCGTTGAAGAATCATCTCATGTTTACAGCCAGTGGCAGGAGGTATACGGTGCAGTATCGCTGTAGTGCGACTGCTAAGCAGACGAGTGCGCTCTGTGGTCTAGCAGGCACAAATCAGGGGGACTGTATTTAATCTGCACAGGTCTGCGCTATCCTTCATCCCATGGAAGAATTACAGTGGCTGTAGCTCGGAAGCGAGAAGCATGTTTTGCACGTGGAAAGACCCAAGCATCTTCAGCTAGGGTTGGGAAGCACCCATGTCTGAAGCCATGGAAACAAGACCAGGCAGGACAAGCCAATAGTTTGACTTAGCATAGGGCTTATTCTTAAGGACCTAACTCAGATGCGGAAGCCAAGGTCATGTTGATAGCAAACATGACAGAATAAAACTCGCCACACAGTTGTATGGGCTTGTCTTGCCACCGAACCGAGCCCACTGATTCCACAACGATAAACCCAAACAGCCTTTCCAGACTTAGGGTATGATTGCAAGCATCTTCAGACCTAAAGAATCCTGCAACTCCCAGCCTTCCTCAGCTGGCATTGGTGGCTGGGATTGTACGGCTTCTTCTGTCCAGGTAGGCCTAGGACGGCACCTTGAATTAAAGCACCGTGTGCTGGCATGCTCAACCTCAATTCCAAAGTAAGATGGAAGACCTGAAAATGCAGCTTACTTGAAGTCTTTATTCATGCAGTGCTGTTTACAAATAGGCTCATGATACTCCAGTTCTTCAAATATGATCGGACTACAATTAGCAGAAGAACCATCATGGGACTGTGAGGATCCCAAAGGGCTTTGTCTTGCTTGACTACTTGGTAAGAGACATACAAGCCGTCCATTGCCTTGATCGCGGACTGCTACAACTTCAGTTAATTTATACAAGTCAGATACATTTATCTTATGTCCAAATCTAAAAATAAATAAAACAAAGATTTTAGGAGGAGAAGAAAGGGCTAAGGCAAGCTCTATTCTTGCAAAGAAGATCTGTTTCAAAGGTACTACTAGTTGCAAAGGATTGAAATAGAAACATTTATGATTCCTTACAATTAAAGGGGCACATTTCAAACCTACTTTTTCTCATAGATCTCTGTGAACTTGAAAAGAGGGAGACAACACGCAGGAGCATCTTGAAGGATTGACATTGCTTCTGAGCTGTGGATGGAAAAGTTGTGGCATGTTAGAAAAGCACAGTGGATCATGGTATTCTCACCCTTGTTCTGGATTTACTCTGGAGTCACCAGTCTTCCCTACAAAGTCGGACCACTGCCATAGCCCAGGAAAGGCATTTAACTCTTTGAGAGTATCGATACCACGTCTTAGGAAGACAGAAAGCTCATGGATTAAGTACAGCTGAGGCCACAAGTTGAAATATTACTTTAAGGCTGCAGGAGTTCCACACGTGCAGTGGGGAATACATTTCGGTAAACCAGTCACTCTTATCTTGAGGGCTGGTTCCCGCCTAAGTTTACAGAACCAACTTGCCTGGACAGTTGCTCTAGTGCTTATGTCTGTCCTAAGTATTTTTGGCTATTCCCAGAAATCATTACTTCTCATCTTCCCTGGCATACAAAGAAAACACACCATTTTCTCCACTTTCCTTTTAGTAACTATCTGAAGACGGGTGAGGCCCCTCTCACTACCATTCTCTATGCACCCCCCCACCCCCCGCCTGGATATATCCTCTGAAAATGATCCCATTTTAAGAACGCTCCATAACCCACCTCCAGTCAAAATTACCACAAACCGACGTTTACCTTTTGCTTTTGTGCTTTACCTAATTAAAGCAAGGGATTTATTGGTCGCTCCTGTTGCTAGTGAGACCTGGATCCTCTTGCCACCAATTTTGCACCTGTGGAGGTTGTTGACGGCACTAATCGCTTCTTGCAGATTCTCCATTTGAATTATTGCCTTCAGCTGATAATCTGTATGTGGACTGAGTTCTACAGTTTTGACCTGAAAATAAGAGATTAAAAAATAATTGCAGAGCAGAAATGCTGAGCTACTCAGGACATCCAGGATACCCAAGGAGGATATGAAACATGCATTGGCCATTATATGCATTACTAAAATAATATGAAGCCCCAGCCACCACAAGCTTTGGGTCAGAGGCATGTAAATGCTTTAAGAGAGCCAGTGTGCTGTAGTGGTTAAGAGAATGGGACTGGGACTCAGACGACCTGGGTTCAAGTCCCTGCTCAGCCATGGAGCCAACTGGGTGACTCTGGGCCAGCCACAGACTCTCAGCCCAACCCACCTCACAGGGTGGTTGTTGTGGGGATAAGATGGAGGAGGAGAACGATGTAAGCTGCCTTGAGCCCTTTGTAGGAAAAAGGCAGGATATAAATCGAAAAATAAACAAATAAGTAAGAGCAACTACTTCAGAGTGCAATGCACATGTGGCTTCAGATGCTGCAAAAGGCACTGGCACAAAGCAATTCCTTGGCCCTGCATCTAAGCGTTCTATTTTTGATTTCACTGTCGCACTGGAAGTGTCACACATGCACTCTGTTCATTGGCAGCTTCCACTCCTGAGCTGTGATTACAGCGCTGCTGCCTTAGGGAAGCCGCCTGCATTCATTCCGGCGATCTCATGAACTGAAACAAGTGGGTGCACGACCGCTTTGGCTTACCTTCCCGTGCTTGGAGAAGGTTTCGTGCAAGGTCTGTTGCAGCTCTTTCCTGGATAATCTGTAGTCAATGTTGCTAATCTGAATATCCACCCCGTTTGCAAAAGGATCTGGACAGTCTGCACTGCCCGTATGATTTAGGATGTTCAAGGTGAGCGGAGAAGACCTGTTCGAAATGTTTGGAGACACACTCCTGCGGAAACAGCATGGGGAAAAAAGAGAATTTCAGAATCATTCATGGTACTGCACAATACACACATAGAGCAATGATAAACCACTTTAGGCATTTTCAGATTTGCAAGTGAAAGCATTTTTGTCCTCAGGAGAACATCTTCAATCCAGTGGAGTAACATGTCAGACATAGTCATCTACCCTCTTTGTTTTGTGCCGGATGGTTTGAGGTTGTAAATTTTGGTTGCAATGAACAGATTAAACCCTGTTTGTTTGAAGATCTTCTCGTTCTTGTGCCAGTACTATTACAATCATCATCATCATACACTGGGGTAACTCTGCCTCGCTAAACCTGTATTATGCAGGCGCAGACCACTGGTCCGTCTCGTCCAGTTTGCCAACACTGACTGCCAGCAACTCTGCAGGGTTTCAGGCAGTTTTTTCCTACACTATCTGGAAACATCGGGGAACAAGCCCGGGGTCCTGCAAATCAGGCACACTGCGACTGAACTGTGGCCCCTCCCTTGAGGGAGCAGGGAATGCGCACCAGTGCTCACAGAATCTGCTCCAAAGTGGGACATACAAGGCATTCTGTGTTGTGTTATGCCCAACACATTTCCAGTGGTGAGACAAGTTGCCTCAGGTGAAGGATATGCCCATACAAAGGAAGGAAGGAAGGAAGGAAGGAAGCATCAAATACCTCCTCTACTTTCCCAGCATCTCCTGTCCCACTGACTTTGGTGTTAGGGCAGATTCACAGCCGTGCAAAAACATTCACGTAGTGCATTCGGAGCCATTCTGGTTCCAGGCTCTTCCCCAGAGTGCTTTGGCTTGCAAAAAGCTGCTTACCTTGACGACCAACAACTCTGAGAAATCAGAACAGGGCTGAGCTGCCTTGATGCTGTGAGCATGCTGAAAGCGGACGGGTAGCTAACTTGGAACATGTCATCCTTCTCTTTTCTCTCTATTGGGGAGTTGCTGACACTTCTGGCTACAGACAAATCCTTCCTGCATAAAGGAGAATGACGGCATCATTTAGATTTGCTACTTCGGCTCCTGCTGTGACAAAATTAACTCATGCTGTTGACATACTTTGGATTGCTTTTATGAATGGCGTCTCCTCCTCCTGTTTTTCTGGTTGCCAGAGGTGCAGAACTAGCTGCATTAGAATTATTTTGCAATGGCTGGTCTTGGCAGTTCTCTCTTGACTGGTCTTGGCGGTTCTCAGAGGTTCTTGGATTTTTTGACTCCATACGACACAGTTCCTGGAAGGAACAAAAAAAATAAGAGAGAAGCAGAGAAGATGTAGGAAATGAATTCTAATTGAGGGAGCTGAAGGGCAACGAGCCATTTATAGTTTAGTGATGCAATATGCAAAAATTAAGAACATTAAACATTTCCAGTGAGTGGGATGGCACACTTGTTAAATCTAAATCTCAGATCAAATACAACCAAAGTGTAAGTTATAAATCATAAAGGCTTGGATCCAGAGAAGCACGAGTAAGAAACTTCTTGCTTGATTGTGGTTTCCTCATGTCTTCTTCCTGATGTAACAGCCTCAGCACCATTTCAAAAGTCCCAAGGAGGCACAGGAAGAATGGGGGGATGCAGCTAGAGGGAGACAGTGGGGACACACCTGCACAGAGGCCAGCAGCCTCTCTGGCTTCCATCTTCTTTTTCAGATTGCATTCCCTAGAATGTTTTCCTTTTACTTCCCAATTTCAGTGAATCTATTGGAATGTTTATGCAAAGTTAAATACATGCCTCTAATGATTAAGGAGAGCACAGAGCACACTAGTGGATTAAAAGAGATTGGTAAACCTGAATTGGTTTTAGAGCAACCTGACGATGCTGGTGAAGATCAGTAAGATCAGAAACTAACACTTTCAAAAGATGTAACAGCATTCATACCTGTAGACTCTTTATGCTTGTGTTCTTCTGAGCTGACCCATATGCTTGAGAACCTTTTCCTGAAATTGCTTTGTTGGTGGAAGATTGATCATTTGATTCTCTGTTCACGAGGCACAGCTTTGTGTTCTTGTTGACTTTTTTGGGAGACTTAACTTTTTCTGCTGCAGTAGAACTCGTATTCTTGGTTTCAGAAAGTTCTTTGTTTTTGGGGGTAAAAGACACAATGATCCTATTGCCAAAGACGTCTTCATTCTCCATTCGCTTCTGAGCACGTTCAGCACTATCTTGATTTAAGAAGCGGAGGATTGCACTGCTGCCAGAAATCGTCAGTACCTTCCCACCACAGTTGTCTGACAAACGTCGGAGTCTGTAGCAGACACTTTTGGTGTCTCGGTTTGTTGGCAGGTTGTAAACATATAACAGGGTATGGCATGCCTAATTGTTAAAACAAAAGGTTTTAGTTGGCTTCCGGAGAAGCCAGGACACAGAACCACAACTGAAGATTTTGACAAGACTTTTGTATTAGACATTAATGCAACCCATAGCTTTATGGACTTGTCATGTCATTTCTATACCACCCAATTTCCAAAGCTCTCCAGGGCATTAACAATTTATACAATATAGAAAAAAAATACAAAAACACAACACAATAAAGCACAGAATTACAATACAAAATTTAATACACGCCTTAAGAAAACAAGCAATGACAACAAATTCAGACCTCCCCCCCCCCCCGAAGCAGCTCTGACCTTTCTGAGGAGGTCTCTGGAGGGGGAGAGCAGGTGATGGGGTCACCCACGGCGGGGCAGCATTTCTCCCCTGAATTAGTGCTCAAGACAACACTAAAACCTGGCCTGTAAGGGCTCCCTGGTTTGGCCCTTCTGCAGGTACCACTCCTGCATTTGCAGGCAGGCGGCATCCTTGGGCAGCCACTGCACTGCTGCCCCGGACTGCGACAGCCACAGGTGTGGCTACCCACGCTACCTCAGGACTATCTACCTGGAATGCCCATACACTAAGACCATGGCTGGCTCAGACAGCACAAGAAGCCACAATGTTTTTGTTTACCATTGTCAGTCTGTTGTGCTGTCTCAATCCAGGTGCGGTGTTTCACCAGGGTACACCTGGTCACTAGAAACCATGAGAAACAATGGTTTGTTGTATGGTTTCTTAATACCACCATGGTCTGCTATGTTCTCTAAACCCAGGATTGATGTTTCCACAGTCTTGGTAGGCAACTAGCACAGTGTGCCCTAGAAAGAGAGGCTACTTTAGCAGCCTTTTCAGCCATACAGCCTCTATGATCTCTCTCTGCCTACAGAGATGTGGACCAATGAGGAACTGGCAGGTAATTTCAGGCATGGTGATGGTCTACATGCCACCAGTGAGAGGCCTGAGTGGGCAGGATGGAAGCCATGATAACACAGAAACTTGCTTATCTGGCAGGTTGATCATGGTAAAACTGTGGTAACCACATTTGCTGTGTTGTGTGAACCCAGTCGAGGTGGGTAATCACAATGGCACTGGCCTTGAAACTTGCTGGAACTATTTCCTCAGAATTATTAAAACTGCACATTATTCTGGATCAGATTCTATTCTATTCATTTATTTAAAACTTTTGTATACCCTTCCAACACAGACATCCCAGGATGGTTCACAACAGCAACACAACAGAATAAAAATAAAAGTAAGAGCAGTACAGCATCCAGTATTAAGTGCATATCCACAGATTAAAACAAACTGGCAATTAAAGTAGTGGGAGAATAAAAAGGGTTTTGCCTGGAATTGGCACCAAGCGAACCTCTCTGGGGAGCGTGTTCTGCAGTCGGGCTGTCACCGCAGAGAAAGCCCTCCTCCAGGAAGCCACCCTCCTGATCTCTTTCAAGGAGGGCTCCCTTGAAAGACTTGTGTGAATGCACAAGAGTTTTACGTTCAACACCTGTTTTGACAACTGACGCACTTATTTCCAGAGTAAAGCTAGTGTATGCATTTACTGGTAAATTAAAAGGATCTGGAACACCGGAGGCTTTAACTGGTAAACAGTGATATCATAATAGCAAGAAGTAAAGGGAGAAGATACCACGGTCTGTTTAATCATGGCGCAGGTAAGTGGCTAAAGAAGTTCATATTGAGTTTAGTCACAGGTGATTTAGCTAAACTGAGAAATGCCTTGTTTTGGCTGAAGGGAAACAGAGCTCCTCCAGTTTATTCACCTGAACATCTCAGAGGAAAGCACTCACCGGTTTTTTCAGTGGTAATCTTGGAGGCAAATCTGAAATAAATTCTTCAAATCTGATGAGCTCATGGGCATGATGCAAGAGCGCTTCAGAAGCTTGGTTTTTGTGCACCAGGATTATGTGGAAACCATGGCGGTGTCTCAGGTCACTGAGTTCTAGTGCAAAGTTCACATCAGCTGAAAATACAAACTCAACATCAAGAAAAACCATTGGTTTAGCAAGACTGTTTCAACAAGTTCACCCTTATGTGGGCTGTTCTCTTCAAAATTACCAGCAACTCCTGGCAAACTTCTAGCTAGATTACTTCCCAAACAGAGACTCGGCTCCAATTAAGCCGCACACTAAGCAGAAAAAACAGAAGGCACAAACGCATCACTCACTGGCTGAGCAGAGGATGCTGCAGAGAGTAAAGAAGAGCAAAGACATTATTATTGCCCGTGTGCAGTGGGTTGCAAAGACGACAAGGTGTCGGGGACTGGTCGTTATTCTCACATAACTCCAGTCCTCTATCAGCTCCATTGGCTTCCCATTGACATCCGGGCTCAATTCAAGGTGCTGGTTATCACCTATAAAGCCCTAAACGGCTTGGGACCAGGATATCCAAAGGAACACCCTTTTCCCTATATGCCCTCCTGCCCCCTAAGATCGGCAGTAGAGGCCCTCTTCCAATATTTTAAAGTTAATTAATTTTAATTGTATATTTATTCATTTAATTTATTTTTAACCATGTCATTTTATACTCAGTTGTGGTGTAGCCAATTTATTTTGTTTAGAATAATGCATTGTAAGCCGTCCAGAGACGACAGTAATGGCCGGCCTAGAAATTTCCTAAACAAACAAATTTATTTATTTTATTTTTATTTTATTAAAACATTTTTATGCCGCCCCATTCGCCGAAGCCTAAATAAATAAAAAAAAGGAAACCTGAAGAAGTCCAGTGGAGTTTCTTTAGTCCACACAGAGTTCATGTGAGGTCCCAGGTCTCTGCACGTCCGACCTCGTCTCATTCTTGTTTGCACAGCTTTGTTTTCCTATCCCATCCCATCTCCCCACCAGTAAGTCTAGTAGCAAAAGCCTTAAGAGTGACGCTACTCAGAGCATCTCCTTGTGAAAGCTCCACAGACACAGAGGCATGAGGAGTTCTAGAGAAATCCTTCCCAATGTGTGCAGACATACCAGGAGTTGTCCGAGAGGCAATGTAAGCAAGGCAGCTGCTATTACAGACAGATGCCACACAGTCCGCATTGCTCTGAACCAAGGCGCTCACAGAGGGCAAACCAGTGGGAAGGCACATGAATGGGGCATTCACACTCAAGGGCACCTGCGCAGGGCACTCTCGGCAGGCAGCACGACATCTGTCTGGAGGACAGCGCTGCTCCGCAGCCAAGCAGCTGGCTTCATTTGCTTTGTGCAGATCCACTCAAGGTGAACACAAGCAGCTTTCAGTTGATTGCATAGCCAGAAACATTTAAACCCTAAAGAAATACTCTAAATCCTGAAGAAATACTTAACTTACAATAATTTAAGCAAGGTAGAAAAAAAAAAATCCAGCATCCAGCTGATCAGACATCAGACTGAGCCAGAATTTGAGTGAAACACTCTGTTCCTGCGATTGGCGTAATTTGTCTCTGATAGCCAGGTATTAAAATGAAACTGACCTGTCTGGTCCTTAAATCTGGGCAATTAAAACTCAAAGCTATATATGAAGTATTTCTTACACATACTTGATACAAGGACCACAGTGGCTGGTGCAGCGTGTGTATCGGCAAATCTTCGAAGACTCTGTCTGAGTTTGTCATCTGCTGCATTCTTCGCTGTGGCATTTATGTGTGCCACTGTTACCTGAAGAAAAACAAGGAGTCATTTCAATTAAAGCCAATGCTGTAGGGACTTGGTCCACAGTTGGTACCTTTCGCAGAAATGCAGCCAAGCAGGAGTGTGAGGTGGGTGGAAAAAAAATGGCTGCGTTAACAGAACCAAAGCCTCCCAAGTCATGAAAAGCAGTTCTCCTATTTTATCCCACACTGGCCAGACCACATCTAGAGAACTGTGTCCAGCACTAGGCACATCATCTTGAAAACAGAGACAAGTTGCAAGAAGTTCAGAGGAAGGTCGTGAAAATGACTTTGCATATGGAAAAGAAATCATACGCAAAAAATAGAAGGAACTGGGTGGGAGGACTAGATTTAACGGGCATAACTGAGAGGAATGTAGACTGCAGTAGAGCATGAGGAAACATGTCTCAGTAAGAGAAGTTCAAACACAGAACCATTTGCTCTCCTTCATGGAAGGGTCTTCTAGTAAAGGCTTGACAGTTGTCTGTTCTGAATATTCCTGCTTTGGATTTCCCACAATACACAGAGCTTGAGCAGCTGAAACAGATAATTTGGTGGCCTACAACATCCCCTCCAACTCTATATTCTTGTCTGCACTGATCAAAATATGAACTGGAAAGAGACTTATGGAAAGGCGCTAAATCCCAAAGAGCTTACCTGGCAGTTGTTCAGTTCTTCGATAACCTCTTTATTCTCCTTACTAATATCACACACACAAATGAACTCTGCCTCTCTGTGGCCTTTAAAACACTTCTCACGAATTCGCTGTACCACTGCTACAGCCGAACGGCCGGAAGGAACAGAACAGTTTTCAATGTCCCAAAAGACTCCAATGGGAGGCAGGTTTTCTAGCACTTGGTTTGTTACGGCAACTTCTGGAGGTCCTTTAATTGGAAAAGGTTAAAGAAACAACTCATGTGAAACACTATTGTCAAACGTGCTGCAGTTTCAAATGCAAAATTAGAAGAAGCTAGAACGTTCGTAACAATTGCAAAGTAATTGTGGACATTAATTGCACGGATAAAATGCTAAAGATCATTTAGTGGGAAGCGTTCAGTTCAGCACCAGTAAGTGACAACCCCACCCCCACATGATCTATGATCCACACTCCGCTTCAGAGTGCTTTCCATGGTCAGTAGAAATGCCAGAAGGGAAAGGCACTATTGCCACCTACCTGCTGGCATTACATGTTGCTTTGCCTTGAACTAGCTCCTATTTTCAGTAAGTTGACCTGGATGAAAAATAGCTTAATGAGGTTGCTGATATTCCAGGGCCAGAAGAGAACCGAGACTGAATTCAGGTTGTAACCAAGGTCTGCTCCTCATATTATGCAAAGATAAATCCAGGTCTGCCACTGAATATACTAGCCTTCGCCCCACAGATCTTTTAAATGACAATTTCCAGTATTTCTGGCCACTGGCTACAATGAGAGTTGACACAACTAGAAGGCTTTGGGAAGGCTGGAATATGTGATAAGAGGATGATCAAAACATTTTCCCCACACGCTTACTTCATCTTCCCCCAAGAGCCTAGATCAGATCAAAGACCGAACTGATTGGCCTCGGTTTCTCTGAGTAGCCATTCAGGTGCCTCTGAGAAGACCTTCAGCAGCACTATTATCCTGCTGTTGTTTCCCACTCTGGCTAGTAGCCATTGCTAGCCTTTATCTGAAATTACTTAACCACAAGCATTATGACTGGGTGGAACATGAACACAGAATTACTGAGACATGACCTGACATGCCATCCTCTCATGGCAAGGACAATTCACTTCTAAGAAATGCAGCTCTCATGCTGTTAGATGAAAACACAACACTTAACCACTGATGCGAAAGGCTCCAACTTTCACCACTGTAAAGCTTATCTGCTAAGACAATAGACTTTACCGTATTTCTGGGGCAAGTGGCCAAAGCTGCTGGCCAAAAGTGAACTCTTCTCCTTTCTGGCTCCTTTGGTTCCGCAGCCATTACATACCGGGAGGGAGACAGGTGCAGCCGGGGCATTTGGAAGAGGAATATTTGGCCATATTTTAGCTGCATCAACCGAACTCTCTCTGGTTTGCTGTTGGGAAAATGTGCAAAACTGCTTAGTGCATTCATACACGTGAAGAAAGAAAGAGCATGTTACTGATCCAACCACATTCTCCCTGGACTAGAAGAGCTCCTCTGGTTGAGGGGGGCTATTTAGGTTGAGTGCCCACTTTTCGGCCTTGAGTTGGCATTTTTGAAATAATATGGCGCTTCCCACTTTCAGGAGGTGCAGTAAGATTCTCCATCCTGCTTCTGTAGCAGCCTCCTGGCAAAAAGAGCCGGGCGTACAGCAGAGAGGATATGCTCACCAAGGCCAAAGAACGTAATTACTTCATTGGATGCAGACCAATGTTCTTCCAGCCCGTCCTCTGTTACCGACAGGCCAGAGAAGTGCAGAAAGAGCCACATACTAAGAAAATAATCTCAATGGTGCTGTAAATAGAATTCTATGTAAAAGACAGCCTCTCGTTTTAATGGACACTTAATACCAAGATCACAGGCTGCAAATAACCGATTCCTCATGTTTGTTCTAGGGTAGTGGAGCCTGGAGAGCAAAGGAAGCAACAAACCACGAGCCTTCCCTTCTAAAGTGCTTAGTTTTCCAGATGGCCCAAGAAACCAATGCTGATTGTCTTTGTCTTTTGATGCCATCCAGGCAATGGGAGAGTAGTTAAAAGCATTTAAGAGTTATTCTCAAGTCTATGAAACTACTGTATTTCTTCAGCCTGTAACATCCCATACATGCTTAGACAGGGGGAAAAAATCCTACAACGTCCCATTTTTCAGTCAACCATGAGGAGTATTTGTTTCAGACAATCAATTTCACTTACCCTCCCTCTACTTTTTTCAGTCTACTGTTACTAATCCCTGTGATGGCCCAAACAATAATATACCCAGCAAAAAAATCTCAGAAATACCTTTGATTCAGTGATGCTGGGAGGGGAAAAGCAAACAAACAAAACCACTTGAAGAAAAATGCACATCTCTGAGTAATCTTTTGTTTTGAATTTGTCACTTAAAATCAAAACTTGGTATGGTTCCAGATAGATTGGGGTGCAAAAAGTATCTTCCCCTAAAGCAGTCAGCAGAGAGATGCTACTTCTCCATGAACTGCGGGACGTAACGAGCAGACTCAGCAGATGCCTGCTACATCACAGAGAGCCTGACCATCCAACCTGGATCCACAGAGGGCTTGCGCTACTGCTGACCCTGAGATAATTGCCAAGCTGCAGGATGAAAACCGCACGCCATCAAACTCTGCCTCTTTCCCGTCAACATCCCACTGAAAGTTCCATGAAACACATTATAAATATGCGGAGGTACAAACCTTACTTAAACACTCAGTGCAGAAGTGAGAGCCCTTTAAACAAACGGAAGGTGCTACTTTCAGGTGCGAGTTGGTGCAAACACAAGACGCTCGCTCGGATTGTGAGAGGTGTTCCTCCAGAAGCCCTGCAGCCCCACTTCTGCATTCAGAACAGGAAAAGTAGCCTGAAGTTGTGCAGCTCTGATGTGCCGGGAACTGTTGCAGTTTGTGCATGTTACTATGACAGGACTGGAAGTGGAGCTTCCCACAGCACGGGAAGTGTGGGCAGGAAGAGAGACTATTTTCCAGGCATGCTCCAGACAAGTCACTGGCAACGTTGCTTCGAGCGGGAACATTCTTGAGGGAGGATGCGGACTGGTAAGTAAAACCCGACCCTATTTGACAAGTGATTGTGTCAGTGCCTTGCGAGTCTAATACTGTGCCAGTGTGAATCAAGCTACCACCACCGCTGCCGCCACCGCCACCGAAATGCAGCTGAGGAACGCGAGTGGAAGAGTCGGGGCCATGAGGACAGCAGCTTACTTTAGAACCAGAGGGAAGTGGCATTTGCTTTTGCTGGAGAGAGTGAACATCGGAAAGGGGGAGAGCTGCAAAGGGTTTCGAAGCAGCATGGTGAGGGGATGGAAAAGCCTTCAACTCCACAGCAGGTTTCTTCTTCTCCATGGACTCGTTCTGGGGAGTAAAGAGCCAGCACAGCGATCAGTGCCATGTAATACCAAACACCTCATCAAGTTACAGCTGTGATAGATTAATCTGATGGAGTACAATGCAGCTTTGCCACGGGGCAAATACATGAAGAATGCAATTCTGTCTGTGTGTAGACAGAACAAGGGCCTAAAGCCATCACCGACTGGGACACACTGGGTTGCATTTTCAAGGGTCCCTGATGCCAAACGCGGTAATAATCTCAGTCCGTTGCAGATATTTGCTTTCTTGACTTGGGTTTCCTCTTTTTGGGATTTTTAAACAAGGCAAGAGGAGAAACAGGATGCAGCCTGGATTACAGTGGCTAGCAGCAGAGATGGCAAATGCTGCAGAATTCAGGGAAGCTCTGTGCAGCCTTGCTCTGCCCTTCTCCACGGTCTCATCTAGTCAGAAACTTCATTAGACTCTTTCTTTCTTTCTTTCTTTCTTTCTTTCTTTCTTTCTTTCTTTCTTTCTTTCTTTCTTTCTTTCTTTCTTTCTTTCTTTCTTTCCTTCCTTCCTTCCTTCCTTCCTTCCTTCCTTCCTTCCTTCCTTCCTTACTTACTTACTTACTTACTTACTTACTTACTTACTTACTTACTTACTTAGAGTATTTGTATGCCGTCCTTTCACATAACCTCAGGATGGCTTACATAAATAAGGACGGCAGGACCTTCTTTTGACAGGACTGCTCTTGCTAGAATTTCACACCAGGGAAGACAAAGGTTTCTCTAGCAAACAAGACATTAGTTTAGAGTAAGAGAATAGACAGCCAAGAGTAATCTTGTCTGTTCCTTCACAATACAGAAAGCTGTTTCAGAGTTCAGTAAAGGCATTTTAGCTTACAATTTGGCAGTCAATTACCACCATCTGGCTTTCTCATCAAGGGAGCAGTAGAAGTTGTATGTAAATAAACCAACTCTACTACCTTCCCAGTTTTCAGCTTTATTTGACCCGGAACCAAAGAACATATTAATCACGTTTATCGAACAATCTTTCTCTCTGTGAGTATTCGCTGGATGCCTTATCAGGAAAATAGTAGGGTGGCTTAGCACATCAGCCCTTTTAAAGTTGAAATAAGGGTACTCCACAAACAGGGAGGAAAAACTGAGCAGGTTGAAGTCTGGACCATGAAATTCAGTGCAAGCAGAATTATACCAGAGACACAATGGAATTAATATGATGCTATCTCACTGGACTATGCCAACCACTACAGGGACGAAGACTACCGAAATTATTGATTAGAGCTAGCAATGAATAAGACATGAGAAATCAGAGCTATACCAAGCAAGGGAAGTATATATGGGGATCTTCATGCAGCAGTTTTTGGGGATGGAACAATGCTAAACAACTTTAAATACATGGTGCGTCCCCTTTTAGATGATATGAACAAAATCACTTATTACCCTAAGCGTTCCAGGTAGCATTCCATTCAGAAAATGTTTGTGCAAATCCTACCGTTTTTGGACTGAGAGGACAAGTCTGTTCAGTACCCGAAAAACAATTAGAGAATTTCCAGAGCCATGGTTTAGCATCATTATCTTGTCTCTGAAGCCATCCAAGCGATCTAGTACAAACGTCCTCTGTTATGTTTCCTTCCATTATACAACCAAACAGAGGTCAACATTCTTATACCTTCCCTTTCTTTCATTCTTTCTACCTGTGAAAGAAATGCACATTTTAAGCAAATATCTAAATATAAAATTTAGAAATACATGTAGATAAGGTAAAAATGATTAAGACATGAACAGGCTAGTTAACTTTCCATTGCAAATGCTAAATATTGAGTGTGGAACTAAGTCTACAAGCTCATACAATATTTTATTCTGTTTGTTAAAGTAATCTCCACAAAGTCTGTCTTCTCTAACTTAGCCCAAATGCCCAAAAGCATAGAACGAAGCAGTCTGACCCTGTGGGAATGTTGCTCAGACTTCGCATACATCCTGCAACTATTTGCCTAGGAGTCTGTTAGTTAAAGAAATAACAGATAACCATTGCTGCTTGTAAAGCAAGCACTAAGTTGGGAAAATATCTTACTGTCAACATGTATTATAAATGAGTAAGCTTTGCTTCTTTCTTTATAAGATACAATGACACTAGACAATATGTCCTCCGGTGTGCAGCAAGTTAGAAACGAAACTAAATAAAAAACACAGGCTTCCTGTCTTCTGATGATTTGCAGCAGTTCCCTGTTGGAACTATGTCCTAAAAATTCATCTGGTTAAGGTTGTGCTAATTAATTCTGTTTGCTACTAATTCATATGTCCCCTGCAGAGAGCAACCTCTTCTTAATATCATTCACCTTGAAAGGTTTATAGCTTTTAAACTTTAAAAAAGCATAAAGCAACATAATAAAAGCTATATTTGAGTCTCTTCCCTGTTAGAAAAGCAAGTTTACACAAAACAGTTTAAGCATAGCTTTTTTCAACATTCCTACACAATTCCTTGATCTCTAATCTTTATCATATTAGCATTCTTCTGTGGGCTATCAGTAAAATTTCAGATGTCCCACTGGCTATCACAGGGTCACATATTTCTATATAACTTATGCTTTGAGTATATGCCTCCACTTCACAAGAAAGATTAGGAGAAGTCCATATTAAAGGCACTGTTAATAGACACAAATTGCTATCGAACCAGTTTGCAATTGTGAACGGCCTAGAAAGCATTAGCAGAAAAGTAGCTTACATGTGGAGCTAACAAGTCACTCCTTTTGTTTTAAATAAAAAGAGGAAAAATCTACTAGAGTCTTTCCTTTGGGCCCTAGAATCTTCTGTAAGGAAAGAAGACTCCCCCATATGCTGGTAAGTGAGAAAACAGAAGAGGGAGGCCGTGAGGGCCACAAGAGTTTTAGCAGGAAGGAGAGGACAACGTGCAGGAGGGGCTCCAGGGGATAGTGAGGAGTTAATGACAACAGTAAGGAGGGGACTATCGGTCAGAAAGGTGGCTACTACACAATTATGAAGGGAATTGGAGGCATTAATGGAGGAATATGTTTTTATTTGTCTTCAGACTCTCAATGGTGTTTCTGTTTTCAATGTATATGTCTTGCTTCCTTGCTACTTCTGTGCTACATACAGCTGCTCAATCTAGCTTACAGAAATCACAACCAGCAATTTAAAAAAGTAACACATCACATATAAAATGTATTTGTGTATTTAACACCGACCCCCCCCCCCCCACACACACACACTTACTGTTAGCAACCATTGTTCCAAACTTTTCTTGCAAGCCACTCTGGGCAACTCAGTCTCTGGAAAATCTGCTAATAGTCTAACTATCAATACCTCAAAAGATTCTTAAAGTTTACACACAGAGAAAAAATAAATCAGTAATGCTGAAGAGAGGGGCAAGGAGAGGAGAAAGCACAGAAGGGCGGGCTACTCCTCCCTCCACATCCCTCCCTTCAGGCAAGACACAAACTGGGGAAAACGCTCTAGTAAAGATGTCCTCTGTGCAACCTCTCCAGGTGACACATCACCCCATACGCTGCATCACACTGGGTGCAAGAAGTACATCTGTTCTGAGAAAACGGCTTGGCTGATTTGAGTGGAGGAAGTAACAGAAGGGTCCCTAAGCACATACAGAGTAAACTACCCTCCAGGCAACACACCACGTATTCACCAGTACACGGGAGTGTACGTGAATGGAAACTGGCAGAGGGGCTCGGCTGACCGGGCAGTGGGTACAGAAGAAAACACAGAAAGGGTCCCTGAGCATAGGAAGACCAAAAATGTAAGTGAGGAACTCCCCCAGGAGAAAAGGCACTGTTCCAGTGCCTACGAAAAGGTCATCCTTACTGAGAAGACAACTGGGCTGACGGAACGGGCGGGGGTGGAGAAGAACAGAAAGGGTTCCTGAACATGTACAGAACAACTTAGCAACCCCTCCAGGGGACACAACACAACGTGCATCCCCACACACGCATGAAGGGAAAACTGACCGAGAAATGGGACGGGAAGCGGGGCAGGGGTTCCTGAGCCTGTGCAGACGGCACCCCCTGCTCTCGTCTCCCACACGCCTGCGGGTGGTTTTCTCCCCCGTGGGGCGCCAGAGGGAGGGGCAGCTCGCCCCCTCAGAGCCCCGCCACGCTCCGGAAAGGACCCCCTCTTAGCCAGCCCGGCCGACCACCGCTTACCTCCCCTCCTGGCCACCGCCTCACATTCCGCGCCCGCCGCGCCCCGCCGCCGCCTCTTTGTTTTGCTCCCCCTTCCGCTTCCCCGCGCCTCCTTCCGCTACGCTCCTTCCGCCGCGCAGAGCCGTCAAGCAGGGCGCGCGCGCCGTCGTAAAAGCGCGCGGCCGCGGTCGCAAACGCCGCCCGCCCGGCCTTGGCCTCGTCGCGCTCGCGAGACTTCGCCCAGGCGCGCGCGAGGTCGGAGCCGCGCGCCCGGCCCCAGCGGCGTCCCACGGCCCTCCTGGTCGGCTCGCGAGGGAGCGCGCACGCGCACTAGGCGGGGCGGTTGCGGACGCTGGAGGCGCCTCTCGGCCCCTGAACTCGCGTGTGGCCTAGTTATTTGGGGGGGGCGATGGGGGGCGCTGTACAGATATTAAAAGATCCCCTCGCCATGTGCAAAGCAGCCATGACTCTAAATCCGCGTGTCTAGGAGCCCTGCTTCCTTGCTTCATGTTTACTCTAGTGTAGGGGCAGGGTCCCTATTTTGAAAGCCTAGTCCTCACCCCCACCCCGCCGCCCATGTTAGGGCCCCGAGCTGACCCCAAACCAACCGTGGCTATAGATGTGGATGTAACAGGTGTGCCTTTTCCCCTGCCATTTTAGTTTCGATATGGATTGGGAGCTTGGGCATGGTGGGATATCACCCCCCCCCTAAAATATAGAAGAAAGGGTATGGGGAAAGCTGTATCATCTAGACACAGATTTAAACTCATGGCTTATTTGGATTCTCTTAGGAATGGTAGCTTGTAGTGGAGGGCGGGCTGTGAAGGTTTGGATAACCCTGCTTTGCATCTGCTCAGGAATAAAACTGAAAGGGGGGAAAAAGCAGCTGCTGGACACCTATAATAATGGCTGTTCTGGCTCTCAAAGCACACTCTTGGAAGTAAGTGGCACTGCCCCAGTTGATTCAATGGGGCTTACACCCCAGAAGGTGTGTGCAAGAGTGCAATTCTGTATGGGTCTGTTCAGGAAAGTACAGCTCCGGTGAGTTCTGCAGGGCTTACTCCTAGAGAGGTCTCAAATTTCTGCGCTATGTGGGAGTAAGTCTCCGTTGAGCACACTGAAGCTTAATTCTGAGTAGATGCGTATAGGACTGTTGATACATCTATTGCACAGAGGGCCATATCTATTAGGAGGTTTGGGGTTTGAGGAATACAGAGTCAGTAGTGAGGGTTCTTATATCTCATGCATTTGGCCAGTCACCAGTCAAAGGGAAATGAGCATCTCAGAGCTTCCTGTGCTTCCATTGTAGCAAGAAAGAGTTTCAGTGGCTGGAAGAACACAGCGGCCTGGTTTATGTGAGCACAGCAACTTGAGCCAATTGCCATGGCTTGTCTGTTTCCATTACCCTAATTATCCCTTCAGCTGTGGCTTGTTGCCTTGTCCAAACCTGGGTGGAATGGACTGTTTGAGGGGAAAAGTGTTCTCAAAAGCTGTGGTTGCTTACGCTATAGGGATCATGTGGACCAGGTTCTTGAGATGTCAGGAAGTACTTTATCATTTATTTAAATAATTGCCTACTTAAAAAAAAGCTTTCCTTCAGTAAATTTTAATTCTCTTTGCTGGAAATGTTACCTAAGAATTTTTAACCCTTTAAAAGAAACCAAGATGATTTGTATTGAACCTTATTTTGCTCTTTTGTTTGGGGTATAAAAGTACCCCACTGAACTATTCTTAAGGAGATTCTGTGAGCCTTTTAAACAAGTCCCCTCCCCCGGGGGGGAGTTCCTCTCTATCTTTCCATATGTTCCTATATGTCCTATTATATAGCACAAGGTGGCACTGTGTGGTCAAGTAGAATTTAGAGTTTATGTAAAGCTTCCATAGCAAATCATGGTGCCATCCAGGAAAATTCTGCATTATCCTTGCTCTTAAAAAACTCATGAAGATGGCTGGAAAATACAGGAAAGGCTCTGGGAGGGGGAGGAGGAGGTTGACAATGACATATTGAGGACCTAAAACCCTTTGTGGACCTCTGAGGTAGCCTGTTCCACTCTCGGGCAGGCGGGCTCAGACAAAATGGGTACTGCTGCAAAGGACTCTGGGATACATGGGTTACAGCTGGAGGACTGAGGGGGCAGCAGGCCATGCTGGGCCTGATGGTCTGTCTGGTGTGCCAGGGGTTGGTCAGTGGCAAGCGGAGCATTTTCAAGCTGACTTTCAACATGCTGGGGCTATGGAGCAAAGTATAGAAGCATCGAATAGTAGATGTATTTAGGGATGTTTTCCTTTTCCAGGTGTAGAAGTGATTGCTCTGGGTGGGCAGGGAGCCATCGTTAAAATATGCCTGCAATTCCCTTAATGGCATCTGTTGGAAGAGTGCTGGTGTTGGGTAAGCAACCCAAAGTGATCCATGGCATATGAATAGTCTACCGGCAGGTACTATACCAATTCATGCCTGACATAGGTAGAGGGGGAGCAGCAGACCCCGTCCCCACCCTTCATTATCTGAGGAGATCTGTTCAGCTGTTAGAACAAATCAGCATATGGACACTGTCATACTTCTACCTTCTCTTCAGGGGTGGTTCTAGCAGCCAAGCCCAAAGGAACAAATCCAAAGTACCTATTTTATATTTGTAAATCAATGCATTTTTTGTATTTTTATATTTAATGGTAATTTATTATGTACTATTGTATTTCAATGTATTTTATCATGTTGTAAGCCGCCCCGAGGTTTCGGCAAGGGGCGGCATAGAAATGTTATAATAATAATAATAAAATAATAATGTGCCAATTTACTTACACTCTAAAGGCTGTGCACACACTGGCACCGGAGGTCAGCCCTGTTTCTAAAAGGGGGTGCATGGTCTGGGGAAGAAGGCATTTGATTTCAGAAGAACAGCCAAGCAGAAGGATGTTGGTGTGGGGGAGGCAGCAGGAGGGGAAAGGTGGGCCAAAAGCCAGCTGATCCAGGGGATGCACAAATCAACAGGCAGAACTTTCATAGGTAAAATCAGGCCATCACTGACACATAACCATGCCTGAGAAAAACCCTCTTTTCTAGAAATCGGCGTGTGCATCTTGAAATGTAGCTGACACTGACCCCACGCATGCCAGTGTAACTTTTCGCTTATGTAACCTGCTGGAAAATTTTAACTGTGTCGTATGTAACCCTCAAATAATCCATGTATAAAAGGCCCACCTGGAATGATTCATTGGTAGCTGCTGGTTCTTGAGAGTAAATCCTTTAAAAGAAAACTTTCCCCTGTTGTGTATTTTGGCCATAGCACACGAGGACACGGACCTTTTGGTCAAAATGGGGATCTGATGCAACAGCTGGGACTCCCGTGTGCTTATTCCAGCAGGTGTCCATGGGCAGCAGGAGGCTGGCAAACGGTCTCCCAAGAGACCGGGAGGTGCAAGTGACGGATTTGGCATTCCAGCTATAGTGAGCCATGCCCAGCGCCACCTCTGCTTCTCTCATCCTTGTTCCCATATCAGATACTGTCTGGAAGCAGGACATTTGACCGTCACCAGAGTAGATGGAAAAGGGAATGTGGCTACACGATCTTCTGCTCCAGGGCAGCCCACTGATAATCCTTGGATCATCCATTTTTAGCTGAATGGTTTTGACATGAAGGGCTGGACCATAAAATGAAAGTAACTATCTGCAACTGGAAAAAGAGAAGGTTGATTTAAACCTTTTCAAGAATACAAAGAATGACCTTGTATCAGCTCCATCTTGGGCAATTTTACGCTCACACTTGTTCACAAGCCAGCATGGAAAAAAAGTTGTCTCTCTGATGATAGTGTTGTGAGTAAGTCAGCCTGATCATGGTTGAAAAAAGAAAAAACAATTGGGGAAAGTCACACCTTGGAGGGAGAGCACTCATTAACCGGGTTTAGACATGATAATTGACGGCCAGTGATTCTATCCTAGTTGAGTATAGAAGTATAGAGGAGACTCAGGGGATATGTTGGCGACATACAGGTATGTGAGGGGATGTCACATGGAGGTGGGTAGAGACATGTTCTCCCCTGCAGAGGAAGGCAGGACGCGCTCCAACGGAGCAAAGCTCAGGGAGCCAAGGTTCCATTTGGATGCCAGGAAGCACTTCCTGACAGTCAGGACCCCGAGGGTGTGGAACGGGCTTCCACGAGAGGTCGTTGAGGCCCCATCGGTGCGGGTGTTCAAGGACAGGCTGGACGTGCACATGGTGGGCATGTCGTGAGCGGAGCCGGCTGGTGCCGGAGGTCAGACTAGATGGCCCGGGAGACCCCTTCTGACTCGCTCTGTTTTCTATGTTTCTATGAGTGGGTTGTCCCTGGACCCATGTGTGGGTCATGGCTGGTTGTTGAAATGTAGGTTATTGCATTGTCTGAACTCAGCACTAATAAACCATTGTTTGCTAACCACAAACAATCTGAAGAGAATCCCATTTGTTGTTGGGTTGTGAACCATGGTTTGTTAGCCTACTGGGTTCAGACAACACAAGAAACCATGGTTCACTGACAACCCGTACTCAGCCCAGCAGTGAGGGTTATGTTGGCTGAACACGACAACTTGGTATGCAGAAGGTCCCGGGCAGGTTCAATTCCAGGTGTTGCTGGGTATATGGATGAAGGTGGCAGGAGAGAGGAAAGGCCTCTTTCCTGAGGAACCTGGACAGCCGCCAGTACCAGGCAACACTGGGGCTGGTGAACCTCTTTCAGCTCAAGAGCCGTTCTCCATTCTAGAGAAGAAGCTCTTGGGAGCCGCTTTCCAATGCTGGCTTGGGCCAAAATACGCAAAATGCTGGCATGTTTTAGATTAAAGCTCTTAGTGCTGGTACCGAAGCCTCAACGTGCGGGATTGTGCAACAGCCACGAGAGGGCGGGAGGAAGAATTTTGGGGGGTCAGATCGTGATCCCAGCGGGGCTTGGACCGACCTCTGGGCTAGGCGGACAAATGGCCTGACCAGGTATAATGCAGCCGCTTCTCTAAACATGTTGTGAGCTGCCCCGAGGCTTTGGCGAATGCGGCAGCATAGAAATGTATGTATGTATGTATGTATGTATGTATGTATAAATAAATAAATGTTTCCTTTTGCAAGGCAGCTGCCGTCAAACATTCCACAAATATTTGCCATGTCATCAGTGAATACAGGCGACACAATAGAAGCTGAGCTGGCTGCTCCAGGACCATGCGCAAATCCTATGAATCGATTCTGATTCCACAAAGAACAAGGATGTCTAACTAAATGGATATCCTTTTGGCTTGCGAGCCTTTGTCGGTTTATTAGAAATCCTACTTTGCCTGCTGCTGCTTTTTGAGCACAAAAGCATCAGAAAAAAGACAGTGGCCACGCAGAAGCAAATTGTGATGAGAAGGAGATGGAGCCAGTCTTAACTATTCCCCAGATCTCTTCACTAAAGCAACATGGAGGAAGGGGAACACACCATTTTAAGTAAATCAAGACCCAGGGTGCAGCCCGCTCATTAGAGAGCTGACTTTCACGTGTGGGAGACCGTGCTGGAGTCTCCTTTCCACCATGGACTCTGTGTGTGGTCTTAGGCCAAGCTGCGATCTCCCAGCCTCAGTGTCCCACCTGTAAAGTCAAAATGAAGCAATCATGAATAAGACATTGCAAAGTCGAATGCAAAATAATATTGTACAGTCTGGCTGGAACAGCCCCAAGCTGCAAACATCTCGTTGGAGATCGTTGGTCGTCAAACCAAGACTTCTCCAGCGTTCCCTGGTCAACTTCTTTGAATTTTTATTTCGGCTACTGCCAAAGCTCACCAGATCTCCATCTGGACCAGGTGGCAGGGGGTCTTTTTCTGCCCGAGGGCTGGATTATCACCCAGGAAACCTCCTGGGAATGCATCGCAAGAGCCCCGAGTCAGTGTGGCAATCCCGCTTTCTCGCTCATGCACAATTGCATGGTTCACTCAATACTGCTATTAAAAGTTTCTGGGAAACAGTTATGGCAAAGCACCTAATGGCAAACAAATTGATTCATTATCCTGATGAATAAATATGGAAAGGAATACAAACAAAGGTTCTCCACCACTGAGCAGCCCCATTCCCTTTGTTGTCAAAGATGGGGGCATGCCAAAGCAGATTTTCTGTTGATTTTCCCACAGACTCCTCACCCATGATTAAAAGGACAATTTAGATGGAAACAGTTCACCTCTAAGATTGAGGGAGAAGGAAGCAATGGCACCAAACAGCGCTCTACTTCCGGGCATAGCTGCCACTTTAAATTCCCACAACTTCCCTGATGTTGTGTCTTTCTGTGCCATTGTGAGAAATTAAAATGACAGCTATTCTCAGCCTCCCAGTGGTGATCAGGGCTGGGGAAAATTTAATGGGGAGGTTACTCTACGTATCAAGTCTTCTGGCAGTAGTCCGGCACGGAAACAAGAGTTTGTATGTGCTCGGGTTGTCCTGCCTAGGAGATCTCGACTCTAAACCCCCCCCCCCACTGCAAAACGCATACGCAACCTACCACATTGAAGTGGCATCTGCAGAGGAACAAAATTTCGGTTGCACAAGTGCACAAACGCTGCAGCCAGGGAGCAGGCTTCCTTTATGCTGTGCGGTTCACACATGTCAGTTGTGCAGAGTTCATAGAATGGTTCAGGATCCACCTTGACAAGAAAGATGAGAACTGGATGGAGATCGGTTTGGTAATTGTAAAAATTTTGTTCTCATGCGGGCTCATTTTTCACTACAGCACAGAACGATCACAGAAAGAAGGCAACAAGTTACGTAATGTTCCTTGGATGCAGCCCTCACTGCCTGCACACTGTGTGAGCTAGTGGTGGCAGAACTGGACAAGGGCCCTTTAAGGAGAAGACAGCTTCTCCCAGGTTGTAGGAGGTCCCAACAGGTCCAGGCCTAGTGGACTTCACAAGGCCTCTGCATGTCGCTGAGGCAACAGCTATTCCTGAGCAGGTTTGTTTGTTTGTTTGTTTGTTTGTTTATTAAAACATTGTTATGCCGCCCCATTCGCCGAAGCCTCGGGGCGGCTTACAACAATAGGTTCCAGCTAGTATAGATCTGTCCAGGGTTCTGAAAAGCCTTGGCACTGCTTTCTGGCATGGTCAGTCTTGACTCTGCCTTGCCCTTCTAGGAAGTGCATCTTCTTCAGATGCTGAAGACTCATGGGGAACCTTGAACTGAGCTAGTCATGACCGTTTCAAGCCAAGGCTCGAAACACGACTGCCAGTAAAAACAGACAATACTGAACTGCATGAACCAATAGGCTAACTTAGCATCAATTTGCTTCCTAATATTTGCAGAGTTACCTCTAGATAAGGAAGACCTTTCCTTTCCTTTCCTTTCCTTTCCTTTCCTTTCCTTTCCTTTCCTTTCCACTGTCCTATACTACAATACAACTTTCTTTAGCAGTCTTCTGCAGAGATCTGGCCACACTGGCAACCCAGTGCCCAAACAGCAGCAAATTCATAATGTGTATCATGCCACTTACTACTTTGAAGCAGTTCCTAAAGAGGGAGCCAGGGTCTTGGAAAAAGGCCTTGCAGGTCTGGGAGCCTGGTATATTGAGACACGGCTTGTCAGTTCTTGTCACCTGGCTGCAGGTGTTGCTCACCTGGAACAATGAAGCAAACGTATGGTGCCAGTGTTCCTATGCAGGATCTTTGGTTTTGCATCCTGCATGGTCCTCACAGCTTGTGCATCTGAGCTGTACTACTTTGGAAAACAGGAATCTACAGAGATACTTTGCTGTTACTAACAGTTCATTAAATTGTTTTCATTTCCCAAAGCATGCAGATAGGAAGCCCCTCCTTTCCCTGTCTCTCCTCAATGCCTTCTTCCTCCGTAACGTTTCCCATACTGTATGTTGTTGTTCTTATTATGTTGTATTCATATCCCTCCTTTTATCTTGTAAGGAACCCAAGGCAGCTCACACGGTTCTCTTCCACTCCATTTTTTGCAGGGTTTTAAAAAATGAACGATGGATTTATTAGATTTATATCCCACCTGTTTTTCTTAGACAGAACTCAGAGCTTACATAATACCCCTTCTCCTTCTCTCAGTCTTCTCCCTCACAACATCCCTGTGAGGTAGGCTGAACTGAGAGTCTGTGACCGGCCCAAAGTCACCCAATTGGCTCCTTGGCAGATCTTGTGAGGATAAAATGGAGCTATGTAACAAAAATGCCATATTTCTTCATTTCCTTTCTATACCTACAGCCGAAGCTCCCTGGGCAGTTTGCAACAGTGAAATAAAATAAAGGTATCATGAACAAGAACAAAGAATGACTCCAATAAAAACCTGGGGTGGGCAATTCCTTCGAGCCCCTGGTATCCAAGGCCTTCAAAGGCTTCAGCTGCCTTAACCTGATGCAGATACTGGGCAGGATATAAATGCAATGTAGTGGTAGTAATAAGAAAAATATGCTCCATTCTTTAGATAAGAATTAGCCAGTTCAGGTGGGCCATGCCCATTCACCTCCTTGCCTAGCAGCACTGAGTGCTTTTTATGAGGCAGAGAGGTGTCTGTAAAACTCCTAACAATGCTGGATAGAACAGACTTCCTCCTTGAGATGAAGAGTGCACCAGCATCCAGGTCACCCAGCACCCCCAGAGTGACCGCCATCGTACAAGGAAGTCCCGTGCTTTGAAGGGACACATATGTGAACCTTTCTTTGTTCACCAACTGCTAATCTGCTTCTACAGGTCATTAAAATAATCATTGCCGGCAAAGCATTTACCATCTGCAGCACAAGCAGCTTTGCTTCTTCCTAAGTATCTTCAAATCTCAAGTACGGTGCCTTGGTTGGAGCGGTCCTCTGGGGTTAATTCAGCCATCCCTCGGGGTGCCTTCTCGGTTTAGCTGCAATGCTCTCCATGGTGTGTGTGCGTGTGCGAGGATTATCCAAGCAACAATATATTGCTGGTTGTAATGCAAAGTAGTTTAGGGTGGTTTGAACTAAAGTGGTCAACTGGGACTCATGCACTTCACAAAAGAGCTCTTCCCGGTGGAAAGGAAAAGTTCTAGGACTTGCTTGTGGATATAGTTTTGCCTACATTTTGATCTCTCCCTGAGGATGCGGCTACCGTGGCTATCGGGATGAGGGCCTTCCGCACACCCCTGGCTTAAGGAGGGCGTCGCTTTCACATCAGACCGCTGATACTCAGCGTTTCCCCCACAGCGCACTGATGTCGCTGGCGTACCTGCCATGCATCTATGAATTCCTGCAAGCTGTCAGCATTTGAATGATCCGGCAGCATCCATTCGTTGCCACCTTCATTGTCATTGGTACCCAAAAGGCCAGCAGAAGCTCCTAAAACAAGACCAGGAAGAACAACTCTTAGAACCTGGAAGGGCGACTGGGCCAGAACTATGAGATGCCCCATGATGCCTTTTGCAGGGGATGGGATACCTCCTTAGAGGCATTTGGAGAGGACCTCTTAAGTAGTGCTGCAAGCTTGAGTTGCCGAAGGTAAAGTGGAGATGCACGACCTCAAGGTCTGGAGAGCAAATCTGGCCCTCTCAATCCATCCCTCTGGGCTTTCCTGAATGGGTTTGGAAAATCTGGCCCTTTCTTTGACCCCACCCCCCCATCACTTGGTGGCCTCCCAGCTTTTGGGCAGTCTAAGGATTCCAGGTGCTGATGCAACCCCGAGTAAGTGGCTGGAAAGACCAAATGTTGACGAACCGTGAAGCCGTCCATCCAAGGTAAGAGTGCAGAGTTCATAACAGAGGTCACATGAAAACAGAGCCCCTTTGCTTGTGACAGACACTTCTGTGTGGTCTGACTCTCTTTGAGCTGCAATGCCATTTTCTCTGAGTGGAATACCAATGTGCTGGCAGCTGTCCTCCAACAGGGAATAGTTGTACTTCTTGTAGATCTATTTTAAAGCAGGAGGGAGCAGAAGTTCAGATTACACAGAGGGAGACTTCAAGAATTCCATGCAATGGGGGAAACGCAAAGGCATCCACACCATGTTGATGGCTTGGCTTGGCTTTCCCCAGCCTGTGCCGCCCACCACCCCAGCCACTCTGGTTCCAGGCTGTCACCCAAAACACACCTGGCTGACACCACATGCTAGAAAGCTGAGTTTTAGGTCCTGTTTTTAGCATCTTCCTGCCAAAATGTCACCTGTAAGAACCCATTCCTGGAAGCCCTTGGGACAGGCCCCTTGTTCCCTTGCCCTGCTGCAACCTTCTCCAGTCTGGTGTCCTGCAGATGGTTGGGCAGCAGCTTCCCATCAGCCCCAACCAGCGTTTGTGGTGCGTGCCTGCTCTTACCTTCTCTTCCGGGTGGATAATGACAGCTGTTCCATTCATCTCGATGTGCAACAGCTGCTCACCACCTCTGTTCACGTTTAAGATCACCGCGAATGCATCGCGAAGGAAGTCCTTGGCCAGCAGCACACTGCAGTTGGAGCTCAGCCTGTACATCTTCCCGTCAAACGTGCGCAGATGCTTGCTTCCGATCAACAGGGCATGATCTGGAAGGATGGAAAAGGAAGTGCCGCTCGTTCACCCAGGATGTAGTTCCTCAGTCGGGTGTCCACAGAGGGTCACAACCTTTTCCCATGCTCCCCCTTCCCCATTCTAAACCCCCCACACCACATGTTTTCAAGCGGGATTTTCCCAAGTCATTTGTATTTCTATTTGCTGACAAACGGAAAGAAAGGTGTGCTCTGGTCTGCCTCAACCTGGTGCACGTTTGCAGATTTCTTTGTGCAGAGTTTCTTTGTGCAGTGCTAGGTACCAAACGACTCTAGGGCTCAGGCCCACACATTTGCATAAGTTCTAAAGACTCTGGCTTGAAAGGACCCCAAGGAAACCCCCGCTGTGGAAAGGGATGACAGGACAGGGGAAAGGACGGCTTGTGATTTCAGAAAACTCCTTAAGAGGAACAGTTCAAAGGTGTGGGCAGCAGGCAGTGAAGTGTCTGCAGCCCAAAACTCAGCACATCCCGTGGGATCCAACATTATGGGGATGATCAGGGCACCGGTTCCCTTCTTTTATTCCGCAAGTGCCCACGGAGAGCAGGGCGGTGGGGCACATGGCCCCCCAGAGATGCAGGGCTCCAGGTGGGGTGGCCCCAACCCTGCTTGTTGAAATGCCTCTCCCAGGGCTTAGTTACAGGCAGCTGGAGCATTAAGATTTGCTGGCCCTTCGCAAGGCCAGATCTAGGATGGGGCCAGTAGCATGGCCTCTCTCTCTGGTAAATGCAGGAAGCACCCTTTATATGCTTCCAGGGCGAAGAGGGCCAGGGATGGTTCTGTTCCTGCAGCAACGCTTTTGCTCTGCAGGGACACTGAAAGGTAGTGAAAACTTCCAGTCAGTTCCTCCCAGTCTGTTCTCTAGCCTGGCTTTCTTGATCTTGGAAGGGCCTTGAGATGTCCTAATCCGGCCCTTGGTAATTCTGTATCCTCACAGGGAGGTGTCTATGAACATCCAGACCATCTGGTGAGCTGTGCCCCGAGGGTCTCAAGCGAGCTCTGTCCCATCCCACCAGAACCTTTTTCAAACTGGGAGTGTTTAGGATTGGACCTGCGAATCTCAGCAGACGGAAGGCAGCATTTTGTCATGAGGCCGTAACGCACGTCTCCAATTAACTCACACAACAGCCGGCAATAAAACTAAAGACTTTTACTGCTATTTGCTACAAGATTTATGATGCAACAGATAAGCTCTGGCGAGGAGCTCCTCGCAGCTCAGCTGCCCCCTCCTTTCTGAACCCTACAGGGAAGGTCACGTGAATTTCAATCTTCTCTCACATCTGTCTGCGCATGGGTGGGACAAACTTCTCTCTCATCGTCTCAATTGGTCTAAGCGACGCAATTTCCTCCTGAGCTGGGCGTCCCCTAAATCACCTGCCACGTCTTCCTGTCTCCAGCACTCCGCCCAGCAGCTGCAGAGTCAGGAGGTGGGGAGCAACTTGCTCAAACACCTCAGAGTCAAGAGGACGGGAAGCTGCACCCTGCTCAAACAACTCAGAGCCAGGATGTGGGGAAGCTACTCGCTCGGAAGCCTCAGAGTCGGGCGGCGGGGGGCCGTTTGAGCCCTGGGCACCAAGTATAAATCCTCCTGCTCCAACGCCCGACTCTCACTGTGAGCTTCTGGCCCTCTCTCGTGTGCCAGCGCCTCTGCTGAGCCGTTGGGCACAACACATTTCATTGTTGTAAGCCGCCCCGAGGCTTCGGCAAGGGGCGGCATAGAAATGTTATAATATTATTATTATTATTATTATTATTATTATTATTATTATTATTTCTGCTTGCAAAACATGGGAGCAGCCCTGTTTGTAATCCTGGACATGAGTGCATGAAAATGTCCACCCAAACTGCTTGCAAATTCTCAGAGATGCAGTCATCTTTGCAAAGTCCCCCAATTTGGTAGTGCATAAATTTCAGCCAGGAGCAAATTTTACAATCGCCAACGCAGTCGCTTTTCTCAAGGTGGATGTTTCCAGGTCACCCACCGCTGACATTAGTGCAAGTAGAAAGAGCTTCACACTTTAGCCTGGAGGTAATACTGGCTTGACTTCTGAATTTGTGCAAATCTGGGGAACTTTTGCAGACTGCTTCCGTTTGTGCAAAATGAGCAGTGTTTGCTTCTTGATTTGCACTGACATTCACAATAAGCAGAGTGCTCGTGTTCAAAGGATCTTGGCGAGTTCCAACACTGCTCAATCCCCCAACTCTAGACTGAAATACAGATCTGGGCTGCGGCAGTACAAACGAAGTATCCAACCACTACACCATGGATGGATAGCTTCTGGCCTTCTTAGAATAACTCTTTTTTACTAGCTCCCCAGAGTGACATATTGGTTAGTATGTTGGACTGGGATTCTGGGGATCCAGGTTCTAGTCCCCACTTGGCCATGAAGCTCACTAGCTAACTTTGATTCAGCCACTGGCTCTCGACCTAGCCCGCCTTACAGGGTTGTTGTATACATAAAAATAGGAGGAGGGAAATCATGTAAGCCAACTTGGTTTCCTTGCAAGAGGAAAAAAGTGGGATATAACTAACTAGGTTTCCTTGCAAGAGGAACGTAACTAATGTTAGATATATGTAACTAATTAACTAGGATTCTCTTTTATACCTGTCTAGACCTTTCATCTGTCTAAGCCGGGACTGTTGATGTAGATTAGCAGCCGTTCTCTAGGGTTCTGCCACATGAATAAATTATGCAAATAAAGCACATATGCATAGCATGCACATTCCAACGCCTCCTATGATTGGACCCTCCATCCTTCCTTCTGGGAACTCAACAAGAAACGGGAAAAATGGGGAAATCGGGGGGTTTTAGAGGACTTACGCTCAAACGGGCTCTCCACCATGCTTCGCTTGAACCTGTAGTATTCTGCAGCCAAGGCGATGTGATGAAGGCTCCGGAGAGGCTTTATCAGTTTCTCTCCAATGAGATAGTTCGTCAGGTTGGTCACGTGCAACGTGGGCTCCCCTTGGGGCATCACTGGCAGTCTCACCACCACAGAGCAGTTTCTGCAAAGGTATCCAGACTGGATCACCTACAAGGATGTAGGCTATAAGATGGCCTTCCAAAGTGGCCCTCAAAAACCGACTGTGCTGGAGAATCATTACTAGCCTGCTGGGTGTTACCTGGCTGAAAAATGGTACAGGTTCGATAAAGACTTCTGGAGCTTCCTCACCGCTCTGGAAAACTTGGCTTCTGCCCAGCTGAGCATCTGCTGCGTTGCCTGTTCGCAGGTGGAATGAAAGATGGGGGGGCAGGGGGATGGCTGAATCAACCATCTGGCCTACAAACAAGCACTCTGAAATACTGCCAGTGCTGAAGGGCCGTGGCTTTTTAGGTGTTTTCCACCCAGCTTCGAGATCCTGGGGATGGAACCCCTGGACCTTCTGCGAGTAAAGCGTGCCATCTGAGGCATGCTTCCACCCCTCTTCTGAAGCCCCAGAGGGTGCATGCAAAGGGGCAGCTTTGAAATACCAACCATGTCTAAGCCCATCTTCAGTGCTCTTAAGGAAACCCGAACCGGCTCCATCAGCCACGTGTCCTTCACGATCGTGGGCACGAACGCTTGGAGCTTCTGCAGATACGCCTCTGTCTTCTGCTGCCACACTTCATCAAAGCGTTTCGAAGTCACATCGTAATAGACGTCCTTCAGTGTTGCTAACGGCTCTTGCAAAGAGAAAAAAGACAAAATGCACCAAGAAATCAGATGGAAAGAAATCCAGCTTGTCACTGGGCTGCTTCCGTTTTGGTACTGATCACGGATTCTCCTGGGATCCAAATCTGGCCCACTTCTGTTCCCCAAGTGCCCACGCCCCTTCCCCCAACCACCGATCCTTTGGGGGTTTCTTGGTTCGTTGCTGTCCCGCTACCCCACCATTCTAATAGCTGCAAACGCCTCTCTTCTGCATCATTACCAGCACAAAGAGGTTTAATATGCTGGTATTGTTTTTCAGTTTTGGCCTCACCCACTTCAGCACCACCCACCAAAGAAATGCGGCTACCGAGTCTTTGAATCGGAATCAGCGAAACACTTTCCACCTCTTGTTTTGGTGCAGAGTTAAAAAAAAGTTTTGAGACTCCCAATTTCCTCGTCATCCTCCAACAGCAAACCCAATTTAGAAGCAAGGAGAGACGCTGAAGGAGTCTTTCCCACTGCAGTTTGGAGGGTCTCCAAAGTGCTGGTGGGCACCTTTTTCCATACCTGCCAGGCTCTCTGCTCATCCTGACATTTACTAATTTTTTATGATTCTTAAACTCCGGACATCAGTATGCTGTAAAGAAAGGTGCTGCCAAATTTAAACATTAAATTAGGGTCTGTGCTTGGGGTCTTGGCTCCTCGGCAAGTTACTTTTTTTGAGTCTCACTGGCAGTCATTTTGCGGATGGACAGATTTCTGCAGACAGCATTCGTGTAAAGGACCCCTTAACGGCCCCTCAAAATGCCAAAGGTGCCCACTCCCCAAAAGTTTGGTGGGGGTTCTCTGACTTCATTTGCTCACACTAACATCATTTTCAGAAGCCATCCAGAAAAGGGGAAGAGGAGGAGATGAGAGGAAGGGATGAGGCCTAGCCAAACATCTTTTGTGGCCTGAGGTGAAGGACTAAGTGGAAAACATTTCCTTTCACTTCCACGCGAGTGAAGGACTAAGTGGAAAACATTTCCTTTCCCTTCCACGCGAGTAAGTCAACTAGACTGGTGGTTGACATCTGTAAATGGCAGGGGCATTGTCTGCTCAGCTCCGTCCTTCACCCTCAGTTTTTGGAGCCTGATGTGGTCATTGCACTCCGCCTCATGGCTAGGCCAGCCTGTGAGAAAATTTACCTCAGGCAGAGACCAGAAAATCTGGACTCTGCATGGTGGAAACGGGGCAGCCGGAGCGTGGAGGAGCATAGATTTCATTCTGAGTCAACTGCAGATTTAAGTGATGCTGGCTCAGGTGGTAAAAAGCCAAAAAACTGTCTTCAACTAACACTCCACTGGGGCTTGACATACGAGTCCAGAGCTGTGGTCTTGGGAAGAATCCAAGAAAAAAACCCAATCCTATTTTATATGGATGGGCATCTCACTGGTCCTTCCAGCCGGAGGGCTGAGTACCATTTCTGAGAGGCACTTGAGGGCCACATTGCAGGGCAAACATGGTGGACCTTAAAAGACCAGCCTACCTTATTTTAGATCTCCTTCTGCTGGGAACCAAAGCTCAGGAAAGAGATTTCAAACATTTAAAATGAGAAGGGGAAAGAATCGTGTGAAATCTAAACAAGCACTGAACCATCGGTGGTTGAGAGGAACAAGATGTTGCGTGGCCCTCTGTAGGCCAGATTTGGTCCCCTACCCGGTTATATCTGGCCCCCGGGCCTGAGGTTCTGCACTCCTGGCCTAGCCTAAGTCCCAGGTCGTCATTTCAGTCATCCTATCCAGCCCTGCTTACTTCGCAGTTCCATCTGCACCTGCTGCATGATGTCCTGAAGCTTGCCCAGGTAGAGAGGGAGGTAGTCCTGTAGCAGCCGCTTGACCCCGCTCTCCCTCCACACCTGGGTGATCTCCCTCATCCGGCTTTGCAGGCTTGCCGCCACTTCCTGGGAAGCCTTGATGGGCCACCCGAAGGCGGCGTGGAGGAATTCCACGTGTTGCACCTGCAGGCAGCACCAAGCAAGAAGCGGGGTTGGTAGGTCGGCTTTAAACTCTGAGACATTCAAAATGAAGAGTAGGAGCAGCAGGGGAAGGTACAGCCGATGTGGCATAAGGGACAAAGGAGGGCTGTCAACACGCTTTTAGGGGAAGGGTCCGATTTCATCTCCCGTGGTCAGCAGGGCTGAAAGCAAAACCGGATGGGCCAACATGGAAAAGGGGGCAGGGCAAAAGACCAAAAAGCAACACCTTTTAGCTTGGTCGCAGCAATGGAGACTCAAGAAAGACATTTCAGTCTTTGGGAAAGGGAGGAAAAGCTGCACAAAAGCCACCGCGTGAAGGGGGAAGGTCCTCCGGAGCATTCCGGATGGCCGGACTGAGGCCCTAGGCAGGCTGAATTGGGCTTCCAGGCCTAAGCTTCTTCCTCACTCCTGGGCTGGAGAATCTGAGGAAGACGGTGGAGAACCAGTCTTGGTTCTCCACTCAGCCATGAAGCTAACTAGGGGGCCTTCAAGCAGTTGCCACCTTCTACCCTAATGTAAAAAGCTAGGTTGTAGAAACTTTGGCCCACCGGGTATTGTTGGACTAGAAGTCCCATCATCTCTGATGATTGCCTATACTGGCTGGGGCTGGTGGGAGTTGGTGTCCAGAAGGCCAGAGATTTCCCAGCTCTGCTTTAGAGGAAAAGTAGGGACTGGACTGTGAAGAGAAGACTGAAAAAGCAACGCCAACGATGAGATGTTGGATCGTCACAGCCAAGCAAGGTTGGCTTTAGCATGAGGCGTATAGATGTGGCAGGAGAGAGGGAGGGGCAGGAGGAGGGAGCGGCGTGATGGAGGTCAGAGCTGCTTGGGCTACACCTGAGCCCCGAGGCTTCCTGGGAGGTGGACCACATCCCATTATCCCCGTGGAGTAAGACTCAACCGCCCATCCAGCTGGCATCTGCACATGGAATAGGGAGGGCACCATCCTCCTCCACACGCAACCAGATGTTGCAGGCTGGTCCCGCTAGCAAGACACGCTACACTGCCCTTCCTCTTTTTCGGGCAGAACAAAAAGGATGCGCTGGGGAACCTCCCCTGAGGCTTGGATGTGATAGGCCTGGACCCATGTAATGTGGAGGAGCTTTGTTCATGGATTTATTTCATTTTTATGCTGCCCCACAGCCTGGGGGCTCTCTGGCTCTCTGGAAACTCTAAAAGCAGACACTTCTCACAATAGAATGATAGAAACAGAAAGGTTGAAATCATTGCTACAAATGCCTGGAAAAGAAAAAGGGCTTTGCCTGGCGCCGGAATGAAAAAAGGGTAGATGCCAGGGCTACCTTTTTGGTGAGCTGATTCCATACCTGGGTGCCACAATTGAGAAGGCCCTTCTTCTAGTTGCCACCCTCCTTACCTCTGATGGAGGGGGCTCCTTAAGGAGGACCCCAAAAGATGATCTTAGGCCTGGGCAGCCATATATGGGAAGAGGTGTTTCTTCAGATAACCAGGCCCTAAGCCGTCAAGGGCTTCAAATGTCACTCCTAGCACTTTGAATCGGTTGGACTAAAGGAGAAGTGGATTTCTTTCAGTCCTTCCCTAGAACTCTTGAGTTGGACTCCCTGGAAGGTTGACCTCCAGAATCACTCAGCCCCCTGCTTGGATGGTGAGCCAGAAAGGCTGCAAGAGGGGAACCGAGTCCTCTGGATGTGGTCACTTCGGGTTGTGGTGGAGCTACTGACAGAGCCAAGAGCCATGGGATGTCTGAAGACCCCAACATGAAGCTTTTGCCCCCTGATGTGTATCACTAACCTGGCATGCTCAGAACATTGCGGGGGGGGGGGGCTTGAAGGGGAGGGCATCGCAAAGCGTGACTGTGTGGTGGTATCTCTGCTCCATGTGGCATCGGGGACCTTCAAACCGTCACGAAACGAGAGCATTCCTCTGCAATCAGTGTGCACATTGCTTCATGCCACCCGCTTACCGATTTTCGGAAACCCTCGAGGCGATCTTCCAGCTTGTTAAATTTTGCCACCAGTCTTTGCTGGAGATCAGACGCAATCTCTGCCAGTTTTGACTGCAAAAATCAGAAAGAAGGCTTGCAAACTGTGGGCCCCAGAGAAGCTCCCAAATGCGTATGCTTTTTTTCTGTTTCTGTGCAAATATCAGCTGCTAGGAATCTTGTATAATTTTCAGCTCAGTTTTGCTCCTCTGCCTTCACATTTGCCCCATTCTCTCTTTGGTACCCTGCCCTGCCACAAAATGTGTATATTCTTAGCAGTGCTTTTTTTGTAAGAAAAAAGGTGCCGGAACTCATGAAATTATTTACCTTTTGTACTTAGTCAATCACTGCACACACACCCACACATGTCAGTTGTGTAATGAAACATAACGGTTGCCGCCCACAGTAAGCACTCAGTGTGCGACCACACGACCAACCACAGGCCGAGCAGCGCCATCACAACCAGCGTGGACGAAGCACGCACGCATCGGACTCGACACACAAGCAGCCCACATGCACCGTTTTAATGATTTTGCCGCCGACCTGCTACGCTCGAAGGGGCGATTCAAATCCACGTGGACCAAACATCAAATTTTCAAAAGTCACTTTTAAAACTTGGAAAATCTGTGGAAAAAAGGTGCCGGAACTCCATGCTGGTGCGTTCTATGAGAAAAAAAGCACTGATTCTTAGTAATCTGCCTCATTGTCTGTCTTGGAATTTGCCTGATTGAAAACTGCTGTGTGTCCCTCATGCGGACCTGGCAACTCACAAACCACAAGCACGAAAGTGGGGTGGGGTTTGGTGAGCTAAAAATGGCAGTTGCTCTAGGAGGGAAGGAACGGAACTTGAGGGGCAGCTGATCCCACTTCTGCAGAACAGACGCCGTTGCGAGGCTGTGGCAAAGGGCAGCATAAAAATGTTTTACTAAAATAAACAAACATGAAGCCGCCTTTGAAAAGGCTGATCAATAGCAAGGGAAGCCTGAAAGTGGACAATGAAACAGTCAAGGGCACTGACAAGAAGAGGGCAATGCCATGCCTGGCCAATAGTGAGCAGAAAAATGCCAGAGAAAAAAAATGTGAGCGCATTCCTATATTCTTAAGAGCTCAGAAAATGATTTCTTCTTTGCATTCTGATGCAGGAGTTTCCTTCTGGGAGTGCTGGAGGATAAAATTGACAAGAGAAGAATATTTCTACTTTGGGCTCAGCAGCAGACAGGTGGCCTTGTGGTCCTGCACACTTATGCAAACTAAACAAAACAACGCAACACAACGATAATTTTTTTTGTGATCTCATGCTGGAATGGGGAGAATTTTCCTTCAGGAGCTGGCAACCCCTGTTGAGCAATTGCAGAAAAGGGAGTGAGGAAGCCAGAACGAGGGGCTGGAAAGCCGCTGGGGTACGTCTCACCCCATCCTGGGGGAAGGAGGGAGAAACCAGCCCCGGCAAGCCACCAAGTGGGTGGCAGACTCCTGGGAGCTACAGACAAGCCACCCCTGCGGGCTTTTTCTCAGCCAGCTCAGCCTTCCAAAACGCCACGTTTTTCCAAAGTGTCTCACCTCGGTCTGAAGAGCTGGGCTGCCGCAGCCGTGGGCCCTCAAGGCCACGCTCTGGTTGGAGGCCTCCAGGGACAAGCGCCCGACTTCGTCACGCCTTTCCCCATCCGCAAGGCGGTGGACACGGAGAGCAGCGTGCTGCCAACTCTCCATGCAAAGGGCGGCCTCCAAGCCCTCCTCAGAATTCCCTGCAGGGAAAGAAGAAGCACCAAGAGTGCTTTCTCCCGCCACTCGCCTTCTGCAGACGTTTCAGCCCCATGGAAGGGATCCTGCAACATCCAGTACAGCACTGGACTGGGGACCTGGGAGACCCGTTCTGGTCCCCCATCAGCCATCAAGCCTACTGGGCTTGACCATTCAAGCTCAGCCTAACCTACCTCACAGGGTTGTTGTTGGGAAGGTAAAATGGAGAGGAGGAGGGCTACGTAAACTGCCTGGGATTCTTGCAAGCAGGAAAGCATGGCAGCTTCAGCGCCTTCTAAATATGCCGTGTTATCTAGGACTCACCTTTCAGGTACCCCATGTAGTAACGGAGACACCCCTTTCCTCTGAAAGCCTCAACTCTTACTTTCTCCTGGGGGTCCATCTTTCCCTCCACCAGGATTTGGCTTTGAGCAGTTGAGGAGACCACCCTCCCCATTACATCCAGCCAAAGAACATCGGATGCTTGTAGCTGTGGGGAGAAAAGAGAAGGGCTCAGAGAGAGGGAACTAGAGGGAGGCATGCAATGAAGGAAGAAAATCAACATATGGGGAAGAGTTTTGCCAGCAATTTTGCTGATGATCAATCCTGAATCTTAGTTCCAGATTCTCAAAATGTGTTTTTTCCCCTTCAGGTTACTTCTACAGGGCAAGGGAAAAGAAGAGATTGTATTTCCCCACTGCTGTTGCTTCCATCTTTTCCTTTACCAGGAAAAATAATGGGAAAGAAGGAAAGACTGAATAGCTGCATGAGTTGTTTGCGTTTCCATTTGGAAATTCTCTGTCAGCTTTCCCAGACTGAGCGCCCCCCAGAGGCATAGGAGTTAAATTCATGCAGCTCCCAGCCGGCATGCTTCAGGGCCATATTGGCTGGGAGTAATAGGATTTGGAGTCACCAATTGTAAAAAACCCACCTAAACCCATTCTCCAGTTTTTTAATACAATACATAATTATGCACATCAGCAACTTGGCCACTAGGTGGCAGTGTGCCCACGCCAACATTTTCTAGCAGTCTCAGGGTGTAAGAGATACTTGTTCCTGCTACCAAAATATTCAAGCATGACCCGTACTCAATCCCCAAAATGAGCAGGAGGATGCATCCATCTAATATGTTTGCAAATTCTCAAATGTGTGTTCATGTACAATGTGTGCAACTTGGAAAATCTGTGCAAAGTTGCGATGTTTTGGCACAACTTTCCCATTGGTTTTGGTGCATTTTTCCTGTTTGTGCAAAAGACAGGGTTTGCAGGCATGAGCAGGTCAGGTTCTTTTGTCCACACGTATTTTCATCCTTGAGTTGAGGGACAAATCAAGGCTTAAATGGGATCGAAAGAGATTTCACAGCTGAGAAGGGAATGGTTGGACTTCTTTTTAAATATATGGCAGCTTTGAATGTATTCCTGATAGAGAGAAATCAGACATACTTGGTTCAAACAAACAAAGATGGCTCTTTTTCTCATTAGCTTCCCACTGCCACTCACTAAAATTTCCGTTGAATAGTTCTGCACTTTGGCTTGGCTCTGATTCCTTAAAGACACCACAATCAACCCCTCATCACCAGAAAGGGTCAGTCTGCCTTCGGATTGCAAGAGAACATCTCCCTTGTTCAGGTGATGTTTTCCAGAGAGCGTGATTGCCTGGATGGAAAGAAAATAAATAGAGAGAGACTTTTGGACATATATAGGAAGAGCGTTGCTGATGAGACCAAAGGCTATCTAGGCCTATTTGGGTGCCCACAATCCCCAGTGGGGAGCCCACCATCGAGATGCAAGCATAGCTGCTGTGCTTTTCTACTCGTGTGTTCTGCAGCAGATGCATTTAGAAACACGCTCCTCCTGACACTGGCAACAATAAGCACGCATTGTGATTTGTAGCCCCTGTACTCCACGCTTTTGTCCATTTGCCTTTTAATGCCATCGCCACAACTGGAGGAGCATCACCATCCCCCCTGCCAGCCAGTTCAATGGCTCGATCACGCTTCGCGGGGTGGAATACTCCCTTGTATCTTTTTGACTCCTCCAGCCTGTGTTATTCTGTCCGCCTCTTCCACGTTCTCCTTTACTTGCCTTTTCTCCTAAGCCAGATTGCTTCAGACATTGCAATTTTTCCTGGCAGGGGAATCCGTCCAGCCCCTTGATCAAAAGGGCATTCCAGACAAGAAAACTGGCATGGACAACAATGATGATTCTTCTGTATTCCCTAGAAGTTTCTGAATACAGTGCAAACCTATGTATGTCTACTCAGAAATAAGCCGCACCCAGTTCAGTGAGACTTACTCCCAGGAAAGGGTGCAGCAGATTATCCCTGGCAGGGAAGGATGCCTGAACAGACACCAACAGGACTGTGCCAAGGCCACCTGGTGAGCTTCACCGCGACTGGGACCCAGCATTCGCTGGCCCCTTCTAAGCACTAAGCCGCACTGCCATTCCGCTCCCGTTTTCGTCCCACAACAGCCCTGTGAGGTAGACAAGGCTGAGAGCCAGGGACTGGCGTGGACTTATTCAGGGAGCTTTCGTGAGCCAAGGAGGACTCCCAAGCCCTAATCCGACTCCTCGCCTTTCTGCTCACGTGTATTTCAGGGCCACAACAGAGAGCTTACACCTGGAAGGCCGCAGAAGTCGAGGCTCATGTCATGAAGCAGCCAGGCCGAGTAGTCCGTTTCGACTCTTCCAAGAATACGCTGCCCGGCACACGAAGGCACGACGGCGTCGTCCAGGATGACTTCTACCTGAATTTTATCCAGTCGCGACGGCTGGCCTTTCTGCATGGAAACAAGGGGGCAGGGGAAAAGAATGTGGCACATGGGATGAGGAAATGAAATGGATGAGTAATGACTGAGGAAACAAGCAAGCACTTTGGCTGCTGAAAGCCCGTAAACTGTGCCGGATGCAGGAGACAGAAAACGTAAGATGCTGGGAAGAGTTGCTCACCCACAGAAATGAAATAGCTCACCCACCGGTTGCAGGAGAGAGCGAGCAAGCGAGCTCAGTGCTGGAGAACCTTCTTCTGCATGCAGAAGGTCTCAGATTTAGTCCAGGATTTCTGGGCCAGCTGGAGCGGGGGGTCAGACTAGATGGCCTGGGAGACCCCTTCTGACTTACTCTGTTTCTGTGTTTCCAGTTAAGGAACCAGAAGGGCTGGGAAAGATCTCTACCCTAAAGAGCTGCTCCTGGTCACAATAGACAAAGGCCTGGTTTGCCCAGAATGCTAGCTAACACCATACTTTGTTTCCATATTCAGGGTTTGTCTGACAGAAGGTCGAACAAACCATGGCTTGTTTTCTCCGCCTCTGGCTTGTTTGCATCCTCCCTTCTTTGCCTGCTTCCTCCAGGTATTCCAAATGCCTATGAGGTACTGTAATGCACCCATCCAAAATGTTGCCCTTTGGTAAAGCAGGGAGGAAAATAAGTCAATGGCTTCCTGAACTTCAGGTGTTTACCAGACAACCTGTGCAATGCTACTTTAGACACCTGACCCTAATGGCCTGTGCAGTGCAGCCAGAATATTGTTGCCTTGAATCTACCTCCTGCCATTTTTCCTTTTGGGAGGAATCCAAGGTGGCTGGCATAGCTCCATTTTTATCTTCACAACAACCCTGTGAGGCTGGTGTGAGAGTCTGTGCCTGGCCTAAAGACACCCAGTGGGTTTGATGGCCAAGGGGGGACGAGCGCCCAGATCTCCTGGGTCCCCAGTCCGACACTCCCCAGCAAACCTCACTGGGTCTCAGTGTGCATAAAAGCTAAAAACAAATCAGGCATGAGACTAAGGTTCCCCCCTCCCCAGAATCGAAGGAATTAGTACAAGTAGTACATAAGTCTCGCTGGCAGCAATTGCTACTAACAGCAATTCGGACTAGTAGCAGCAACCCAGGTGGCGTGAGTGAGTCACGAATGCAATACAAATTAGACAAAGGTTTGGGTATTTTCTGCCATGCCCTGTGATGCTCCGGAAAGTCCAATTCTCCCTTTGCAGGAAGATCGCCAAAAGGTTTACTGATCGCCGGAGATTCCCTTTACCTCGTAAGTCAGAGTCTGTGCGATTTTCCTTCCGTCCCACTTCAGATCGAGGTGTTGGTGAGACTCGGTTGCCGTCTGCTCCAGGGAGCCGCAGGCCTGGAGACTTGTCGCAGGGAGAATGTTCCGAAGCTGTGGACAGTTAGTCTATGGAGCAGCGGTTACTTTGGGGGGTGCCGCCCCAAGGAAGCAAAGAGCCCCCATCAATTTGATCGGCCCCCTTAAGGACTGCAGGAGGGACACCCCGAAAAGGCGCTCTTTGCATCAGCGCAAAATAGGGTTCCTCCCCACACATCAAACACAAGCTTCAGGAGACGTGGCGTTCCTTGGAACCACAGCAAGGGAGGAGGCCGCTTACGTTCCCTCTCCGTGTCTGCTAAGATCCCGCTGACGATCAGCTGCTCTCCATGGTTTTTAAAGACATTTAGCCTCACCTGCCTAGCTTAACCTAGGGGGTGCAGAATCCATGCCACCGATCTGGCTCTCCCTGGTTCTCAAATGGGCACCTTTCCCCCCTGGAATCTCCAGTCAGTGGCTTCCTTCCCGGCTATTGCATGTTTCCTCTGCACTGCAAAAGGTGGAAATGCTTCTTGCAAGGTGCAGTCAATGTGGGGAGCCTGAAGTGCCCGATGCTGCCTGATCTTGGAAGCTAAGCAGGGTCAGGCCTGGTCAGAATCCGGATGGGTGACCTGAGTGTATGGTTCTATGATTATTGCTGTAATCAGCCAAGAGAGAGCAGCATGTGGAAGGACCCACCCTGAAGGCAGGGTGTGAGCTGGGAGTCCAGCTGGCTTGACCAGGGAGGGCTGCAGTAATCTGGGACTAAAGGCATGTCAACTTTTGCCTGTGAAACTGCAACCGGGAAAACACACAGGAAGCAGAGATGGCCACTAGTCTGGCTGGCTTCGAAAGGGGACGGGGCAGTTTCGTGCTGGAGGAGGTTTCCTGCAGCTGCTGGCCTCGTGGGCTAGTAGCTATGGGCTTGCTCTGAGATCAGAGGCGGTATGTCAGCATTCACCCGTTGCGGAGGAGCTTGGGCAGGAGGTCGTCTTGCACCCATCCTGCTTGAGGGATCCCGTGGGCAGCTGGTTTGCCACTGTGTGTATGGACTGGATGGTCCTTTGGTCTGACCTACGTTCTTATTTCCTACACTGGCTTTGATCCTTAGTTTGCGTGTGGATGTGCATCTGCAGCCTGAAGCGATGCCTGTTGGTTTGCAGCTCCTGCAGAACAACAGCTAATCGACAGGAACTACAACTGACTAGGCTGTCTAACGAGGAGGCGCATCTGGCAGGCAGGAAGGGCCTGAAGCTCATCCATGCAGGTATTTTGGCTCTTTGCCTCTGCCCCATTTTGCCTTTAGGCCCATCCTGTTGATAACCCATCGCTGCAACATGGCTCCCAAGAGCGTCTCCACAAAGGCATTCTGTGCTTGCGCGGAAAGCATGGTTGCTTCAGGCCCAGGCACTGCCTCTGGTGGTCTGGATCTTTGCGCCTCTGTTCTGGATGGGACCCTAGCCAGGCCCACTGGTATGTGGCCAGTGCCTGAGATCAGGAAGCAGGTGTCCATACCTGGCTCGAAGGTGTCCATACCTGGCCTCTCCAGTGCCCATACCTGGCTCGAAGATGCTGCGATACAAGCATCCCAAAGAGTGATGTTGGCCTTAGACTTGTCCCCAAAGCTGTATTTCAGATGGGCTGGCTCTCCATCATCCCATGCAAGCTGCATCTAATAGTGAGCAACACAGTAGGTTTGAGCCAGAGCGTTTAAAAGAGAACTTCATAAAAGAGGTCCTTGGACCGAGGGTCTCCAGGTCCCGGCATGTTGCTTCCATGGGGAGGACAGTGCCCCAGGGAAGTGCGGACCCGTGATGCAGCCAGAGACCGAGAGAGAGAGGATGGTACAGAAAGGGATGGTGCGGGAGGTGAAGTGGAGACAGTGCCTGCCCTGACTTCCATGATGTAAAAGTCACGTCACAAAAGGAAAAGGGAGTTGGGGCGGGAAGAGAAAAATAAGCACACTCAGACATAGGTTCTCAAGGATAGTGTTCCTGTGATGTTCAGTTTCTATGGGATTAGCTCTGCGAGAAAAGGAGAGGATGCCGATGGCTTCTGCTGTCTCCTTTCTTCCTCTGCTGCACGTAGGATGCAATATGCTTTCTACGTTTATATTCCACACTGACATTTACGAATTCCTATTTGGTGCCCTGGGGGATCGTTTCCTGTAATTTCGCAGCCCATATTTCATATATAGCAATCTATTTCCACTGACTGTGTTAACGAGGGCATGCGGAGTATGTTTCCTCGTTTGTATTGCTCATTATGTCTGTGGCAGCTTTCACGCAACCCCATTCACATGGAAAGTTCCGTCCTCCGTTTTCAGGAGTTAAGGCAGCTTGGTTTCCTGGGAGCAAGCCCCTTTGAACTCGAGGGGACTTAATTTGGAGCAGGTGTGCCTCAGAGTGCCTTGCTTTTTGCTGGTTGGTAGCCCCTTGGGTCAACTTACCTGCTGCTTGTAGGCGCCGCTCCTTTGCTCAGTCAGGGAACTAACCTCCACGTGTTTCACCGTGAAGTTGAAAGGGTGTGCCACAGAGGCGTCGTAACTGATACGGTCCTTTCCAAGCTTGAGAGAAGAGGAGACTGACACCTGCCACGATCATCACAGAGAGATGTCACCCAAGGGAACCCCCCCCCCCACACCACTCCGACGAACAATATTCACAAATGCATTAGTAGATTATTTCGCAAGATTGAATGGAACTGGCTTTGCATGGGCTTGAGCAGCCCTTGGTTGGATGCACAGGGAAGCCTTCAAGCAAAAGTACACAGCTGTCAAAAGGGGCCACGGTATGCCTGCCCCATCTGTGTGACACCCCAAGGCACCCCCATTTTATGCTGGTGCTTACAGCAGTCTCGGAGACTTATTTATTTATTTTATTTATTTATTAAAACATTTTTATGCTGCCCCATTCGCCGAAGCCTCGGGGCGGCTCACAACAATAAATTAAGAAAATAACAATTAAAATATATACATTAGAATAAAATAAGCCACCCTGGCCAAATAAAATTCAATAGTATTAACATTTAAAATGCCGCTTAAATAAAAAGGTCTTCGCCTGGCGCTGAAAAACAAATAACGACGGCGCCAGGCGGACCTCTCTGGGGAGCGCATTCCATAGATTGGGCGCCACCACAGAGAAGGCCCTCCTCTGAGTACTCACCCTCCTAATTTCCTTCATGGAGGGTTCCCGAGAAGGGCCTCTCCCGCTGATCTCAGGGGGCGGCTGGGCATATATGGACGTAAGCGCTTCTTCAGGTAACCAGGACCCAAGCCGTTTAGGGCTTTATAGGTCATCACCAACATGTGCCCAAGGGCCTACATGGTTTGGGACCCCTGGCTAGGCGTGTATAGGGTGGAACTCTGGCTCTTATTTCTGCCTGCATCCGGTGTTACCTGTTCCTTGCTGTTCCAGCGGACAACAATCTCATCCCTGTGGGTATGCGCGGAATGCTTCGCGTGCATGCTGAACGCGGAATGCTGAGGGAAAGGGATCAGGAAAGGGTGGCAGATCTCCACTGGGAAATAAAACAAGTGATATTTCTAATTAAGCATTCTGGCCCACATGTCCAAGAAGCAGGAGGCTGTCTTAACTGGTAGCACTTATTCAGATCCAGACCCAGCATCTGGCCAGATTGAGCACCTACTGGGGTCCTCAAAGCGAGAGCCAGCTCCCTGTTCTTTTAAGATGTACTATGAACAGCATTGTACTAGAGCTAGAGCTTGTACAGTCAAAAGTGCTTTGGGGTACTTTATTCCTCAGCCAGCTTTCTAAAGGCCTCTGTGCCCTGCTGAGACAACTGCTCCTTTTGGGAGAGTTCTGACCAGCACCCACCAGACTGATTTGCCACAGGCCTTGCCTATAAAAAAAACAAAAAATAAATCTTCATAACTTGACTCAACTCTCTTTCACTGGACATGGCCTGATCCTTCCAAGAACTGCCACTTTTCCAGCTCAGCCTTCCATGTAAACTGGGAGTCAGACTATGCATATCAAAAAAGCCCGTGCAAGTAGCAGGGCCTGTGGTAGATCATTGTGGTGGGTTCTGGCTGAAACTCACTCAGAGGGGGTTGTTGTCTCAGCAATATGCAGAGGCCTTCTGAAATCTCACTGGTCTGGACCTGCCATTAACCCAGTTCTTTAGCCACTGGCTGCTACAATGTGCGGTAACTGAGGACTGCCCTTTGAGTCTGAAGACCCTAATAAAGCTATAGGCTTGGAAGATCTTGGAGTGGTGGTCCACTAGGTGATGCATTTCCCCTTTCTGAGTCCTCCTCTGAGCCAGAGGGAGAAGTGAGCTTGGAGAACTCGAAAGCCCGTCCCCTTTGGTTTACCATTTCCTCTGCAGTGGCCAGTAAACATTCTATTCCTATTGTACTGGGCTATATTTCAGGGCAGGGGGTTTCTAAAGAATGTTTCTCCTTCTGCAAACATTGCTGATGCTTCCACCTGTGGCTGAGTGGTCTCATTCTTCCCTAGCTTGGAACAGCTCTGTGCTTGTACTAATGGCTCCTTCACCCTGCTGGCAAATACACAGTCCTGGTATTGGGGGAGTGGAACCCCAACCACATGTTTAGGGAACCCATTGTAGTTGAGAACCTACTATCTTTTCCTTCAGTGAGGCCTACAATGCTGAATTTGAAGCCAAGTTTCTGAGCACTGGCTCTTCCTATCACGGGATGCTTGCAAGAGAGTTTTATAAACTTACCCTTTATGTTGTGGCTTCCCAACATTTTTGGGAAGAGCCCAGTATAGATGCCTGTGGCTGAGGCCTCTTGGCCATCCCACAATGCATTGCAACTCCATCCTTGGATCCTCCTGCTCTTTTGGTAGGCTGTTGTGAGAATAAATTGCCTTGGAAGAATTGTGAACTAAGGAAAGAGCAAGAGAGACGGGACATCCTTTGGCATGCTGAGGCTTTTGAGTGGTACACTCCGCTCTGGTTCACACATAATCCAAAGCCAGGATTTGAGCTTCGCACACATGAGCGTGTGTGAACCTCAGTGTGGTCTTAAGCTTGGTGCTGTGCTACCACCTCCTCCTCCTGCAGGATAGGAAGAGGGATAAACTATGGTTTGTTTCCCCCGATTCCTGGCTTGTTGTTATGTATGAACTAGAAATCATGGTTTCAAAGATGGTCTGTTTTAAGAAGGTTCCGTTTTGCAGGGAGGTGGAGAGTGGCCTCGCTTGAGAACGCACACTCATCACTCAGCAACGGCATGCCAGGCTCTTCCCAGCGCTGGCTGAGTCGCTCCACCGCTTGCTTCACCACTCTTACCCCCAGCCTGTAATTGGAAATAGCAGCTGGGATTCCCTCGCTCATCACTTACCCGCGTGGGACGCTGGGACACGGAATGGGAACATGGAGTCTGGCGATGACGGCGGGGAGGACAGTCCCCAACTCCTGGGGGATTTCAGAGACCCTCTCCAGGCTCGGTGGAGACCCTCTGCAGGCAGGCTAAACCAGGGTCACAGCTGCCCCAGGGCTTCTCTCTCCCTTGCCGAATTCGGGGAAGGGATTGCTGTGCTTCCAAGGCAAGGAGGAAGGTTTGCCACTGCCACGCCTGGTGTCCCTTGCCAGCCATTTAGATTCAGCCCCAGGGAGGCGGCACTGACACGACCCCACGGCTCCAGCCTCTTCCCCCGCTTCCCTCCTTTCTCCTGCTCTGAGGTCCAGCTGTAGCCTTGGAGGGGCAGCCTGGGCAGATCTTTCCAGCCCAGCTGTGGGAATGCAGAGCAGAGGTAGCTCTGATCTCATGGGAGCTCAGAAGTGGGACTCTCAGGAGCCTGATGGGCTCCCAGGTGACCTCACGGCTTGCGTAATATCGAGCTGGAGATGAAGGGCCACTCGCCCACTGGGTTATTTTGCTCTTCATACTTCTTCTGCAGCACCTTCTTGCTTTCAAAGGAACGATGCAGGGGTAACTTTGCCCCGCCTGACTTCCTTGTTTGCATGGATAAACATGCTCTAAATAGAGTATTCGAAACGTTTGATACCAACCTGGGGTATAGTGTGACTCAGCTGAAGAACGTGTGTTTGGTTGGTCCCAGTGAATGCTAGTTTTGTCCAGACCTGGAGATCCTGGTTCTCCATCTGAACAGAAAATTTCCCTTCTCCTTCTTTGGTAGCGTAGTTTACCTAAAGGGGTTACAGAATCATGTTCTATATAAATGCAAAGTCTTAATTTGATCTACACTACTTGGACTTACCCTGGAGTAACATGCCAGTTCTGGGACCTGCACTTTAAGGATATTGACCAATTGCAGTGTTTTTGGATTTTGGATTTTTCCAAAGTTTGGAAAAACCAAGCTCAAGGAGGCCAGGCTGAAGGAACCGGGTGCATTTTTAATATTTATTTATTTATAACCTGCCCTTTTGCTTGTCAAGGAACTCAAGGCAGCTTATATAATGCTTTCAATCTTATCCCCACCACAACAACCCTGTGAGGTGGGTTGGGCTGAGAGTCTGTGGCTGGCCCAAAGTCACCCAGTTGGCTCCATGGCTGAGCGGGGACTCGAACCCGGATCGCCTGAGTCCCAGGCCCACATACTTAACCACTGTACCACACTCGCTCTTAGCCTGGAGAAGAGAAGGCCAAGGGGGATATGATCTCACTTTCAAATGCTCGAAGGGTTTCCACACAGAGAATGAGCATGACTCGTCCTCTGCAGCTCCAGAGACCGAGCAGCACATAAATCAGCTGAGCCTGCAACTCTGCACATGTTTGCCTGAGTTGTGGCACCATTAAAATTGAAAGAGAGCATGAGAGTTCTTGATGTGAAACGTGCAAGGTTCTCTTTTAAGAAATCCAAAACATGGATTGAAGTATTCCCCAAACTGTAGGATGCATTATAGCTTCCCACACTGCCTTTTAACTTCCCACATTTAACTTCCCATACATACTGTGTACGTATTTTTCTGATGCTAGAAGTCTCCCGCGCCTTCTCTTATTTTCAGTTATAGCTGGCCTAGGATAGTCCCTTCCCTTACATAATCAGGCCACTATTCATCCCTTACATAATCAGGCCACTATTCACAGCCTTGAGAAATAAAGCGAGCTTAGCAAACATTGCGAGGAAAATAGCTGGTGCATATTGTGAGCGCTCACCTTGGAGGTAACCTCAGCCATGGTGGGGAAATACGGTAGGAGAAATGGCAGATTCTGGAGACATTGGATATGCAATTCTTCTCTAGGGAAAAGAGAAAGACTTCTGCTCTTCAGTCATTCCTTTTGTTCCTATGCTGAGGCTGTGAATGCCATTGTAACAAAATGGTCCCATCCACGCGGAGAACAAAGCTTGGGGGAATTCCAGCATTTGGAAAAATACGGGTTTTTTTCCCTGAAGAAAACCCTCTAAAAGATGAAGGATAATTCCTGAACAGAATGTCAAGTGACTAAAAGTTGATTGACTGGGAGGACAGAGGATAGAAAACAAGGGGTGTAAAGTAGCCGGCATTCTGCAGCGCAACAGTTTTTGCAGGTCCTCTTTGCAATATTGCAAAATATTGCAAAACCCATTATAAATGCACAGAATTATATCTAAGTTTCAAATTCAGGATGCATTGGTTCGCTCTCTCGTGAACGACTCACTCTGCCTCCCCAGTTTGATAGTGTTGATTCACACACAGGACCTAACCAAACCTCAGAGGAAGCTAATCACCTCCTTCTTATCAGGGATGCCCCTGAATTCCCTCTTTCCCCTGAGCTTTGCTTCAGTCCTCACAGTACTACTTTCTCTCTCTCTCCCCCATCCACTTTCTCTCCATCTCTGTGTGTGTGTGTGTGTGATTTTTTTGGGAACAATATATAGTTGTGAGCTGTCCCTGGTGCGATGCAAAATATATGGGAATGGTTTAGTCTAAACATAGGCAATTCACTTCCAGAAATATTACAAAGTAGCTTCTGAGAGATGAAAGTTTCAAGAGTATGTTTGTTCATGTGGATTAATACAGTGGCCTGGGTTTTTTTTACTCTCCTTGGGGACGTGGCCTAGTAGAGTTTAATGCACATCAAAATTTACCACTTTACTGCTTGATTGGCCAGAAACTGAGGATGCTGCTCAATGAGAATTCTGCCAGTGGAACTGGTACGGACAGCAGAGCCCTCTTGAGTCGGCCGCCCCAGTTCTGCTTGCGCATCCCAAGGTGAACTGTGCGAGCCAGACAGCTGTTCCCAGCCTTGCGGGACAGAACATGAACAGGATTGGGACTTCTGGGTATCTGTCAGGATCTCACCCTTCCTGGGGCTTTGAGGTTCAGGTGGAAAGCCCAAGGGCTCTCCCCAGTTCATCCGAAGTGGGGAACAAGCCTCCATCTCTTCTTCTCTAGCTCTGGACTCATCAGCACCAGGCAGGGATTGGGGAGAGATCTGTCTGGCTTGCATTTTCACAACATCATACCAAATGTTGCCATTTCAAACTTGCAGGTGATTAAAAACTTAATTGTCCCTTGATATTTGCACGTCATGGAATTTTTCAGCAGTGTGTGCCAATCCAAAATAAGCACGCCGAAGTTACCTTGTTAAGGAAAAGTCATCCAAAATGCATTGTATTTTCCAAATTTTCCAAATGCATTGTAAAATACCTTGTAAAAATGTGTGTACTGGGAAAAAATCCAAAACGATGCATGTGTTAGCAGAAATGTGCACAAAAGCTCTGATAAAATTCTTGCAGACTTATTTTGAACAACTTTAAGATTTGGGAGGGACAGAACTAAAAATGGGGCACATGCTCAGAGGAGCCCAACGATGGTGCTTATTTTTCATGTAAAAAGAAAAGCATGGGGTGTGTGTTTAATAGGACATTTACCAGAGGTGTTTACCCTGCGCATTCCTACCTTTGCCATTTACTTTTGGCAGTGATGTTGAATAAGACATTTAGGTTTGGCTCACAAGACAGTTTCAGGGAGGATTCCACCTTGTTTGCAGAAAGAATCTCACGAAGTGTCAGCTGAAGGAATAAACAAGAAGGAATCAGCAAGAAAAAGAGCAAGACTTGGAAAATGCATTGTAAGGTCTTTCCACCCTTCATTGCATTACTGCCCAATAGCCAAAGGGTGCCTGAGTGGTTCAAACAGCTGCTCATTTATTTATTTATTAGATTTATAGCCTGCCTTTTTCTTTTTTTAAAAACTCAAAGCGGCTTGCATCATCCTCTTCCTCCTGTTCTCAATCTTATCCCCACAACAACAACCCTGTGAGGTAGGCTGGTCTGAGAGTCTGTGGCTGGCCCCAAGCCACCCAGTTGGATCCAAGGCTGAGCGGGGACTCAAACCTGGAACTCCTGAGTTCCAGTCTCGCGCTCTTAACCACTACACCACACTGGTATGGTTTCCCTATGTGCCTTCCCAGCGCGCCCTTTCAAGATGAGGTTAGCTAAATTCACGGAGGATGGGTCTATTGGGACGGCCATGCTTGGGAGCCACTGGCGACGATAGCGTCATGGCTTCCATGCCTATCTATTCAAGCTTCCAGAGATACGGCCATCTTGCTGGCTGCCGGGGCCTGATCCAAACAAGCTCTTTTTATAAACACACATCTTTCTTAAAATTATCCGTCTTCTGCCTTCTCTCCTCTGGTAACCAGGTTGGTAGCACCTGCATCCCCAAAACTCAAGTTGCTGCAATGGGCTTTGGATGTCTGGCTAGGAGCCACACCCTCACCGAGAGGTGTGGCATCTCAGGTGTGGCCTCGTGGGATCCCCCTGAGGCCACACCGATGCCCCCTTCCATGGCCGCCAATGTTCTGGTGGTTCCCAGGCCTGCACACCACCCTCCCACTCTAATGGTGGAAATGTCCTTCCTCAGAGCCAGCTCCTGGCAGGAAGAGCTTTAAGCGAAAAGGCGCTGGCGTTGGGGGCATCTGGACCCCAACCGTTTGGCCATCAGCCGCTGGTGCTTCCTGGGGTCTTGACAACATGCAGCTCACCATAGGCCTGACAGGAGGCGGGCTCCTCCCCGAACCCCGACTGGTCCTCTGTCTGGAAGGGGCTACACACCCCTGCCTCCACGGGCTGCCCACCCAGATCCACGGGGGCAGATAGAGCCTTGGACGGAAACGCCCTTCCTCACCTTGAGGGCAAAGGGGAGCCCGAGTCGCTCAAGGTGATGCAAGGAATGCTTGGCTTCCGCCACGAGTTCAAAGGGTCGAGACAATCCAGAGCCAGCAAAGGTGTCCGTGGTCACTGCTGCACTTTTGGTATTATTCTGCCCTCGAAATGCAGCTTTGTTCTCTGGCGGGGAACAAAAAGAACACATTTTCCAGAGGCAGGAGTCATCCATTATTCAATTCTCATTTGATCGAGAAAGGAGTTATTTTACTGTGGCTATTCTGTCCTCCGTGAGCTTAGGTGGACTCCGGGGATGGTGGAGGACAGGAGGGCCTGGAGGAAGGTTGTCCACGGGGTCGCGATGGGTCGGACGCGACCGCGACTAGCAACATTCTGTCCTCATTGGGCTGTTTTGCCTGATTTCCCCCAACTTAAAGCATCCACCCAAAGATTTCTTGGACTTCTGGAAAAGTTGGGGTTCCCCCCAAGCCTGGCAGCATGTCCCTCTTTATGGCTGAGCGAAGATAAGAACCCAGGTGTTATTGCTATATGAACAGCATAGGTCCTACCTAATTTTCGTAGGGAGAAGCTCAAATTGATTGCATTAGGGTAGCTAGATGCTGGCACTGCTGTATCATTATGCAGACTGCAGCAGAACATGTCATGTCGCCGGTCCTCAGGGACAGAAGGAGCGGTATACGCGATCCATGTGTGTCCGCTCACAGCCTGCACCCATCTCTGCAGAGTGATGTTACTTTCCAGGGACATCTTCATCTAGGAGACAGTGTGCATCAGGAAATACGTTCTCGAAGTCACCCGTGGGATAACTTTTCCTTTTAATTCCTGTGATGTTATTCTTTGCACAACGTTATATATGCATCCCGCCTTTCTTAACAATGGCAAGGTGGCTGATCAAAGTGGGGAAAATACAAACCAAGTATGGAACCGATACAAAGGCACAAAACCGAGGTGCTGTCGACAACCTCTGGCCTGCGGAGAGTCTCACAGGGGCTTCCGTCTCCCATCCTGTCACCTCCACCAGTGCTGTCCCCTCTGCAAACCTGACCTCTGATGGGACTTAGAGAACAAACGGGGAGCGGAACGCACACCGCTGTCTCCGATCTGCCAGCAGCACGTACCCCCTGGCTGCTGCCATTCCTGGTGCAATGAGGGATGATCTCACGGAGATGCAAAGCTGACTGGGCCAGCCTGGCTTGGCTCGCCCGGCGTCCCTCCGAACTGGCGGGTGTGCAGTGCAGGCAAAGCTGCTTCCGGGCCAGGGGGCCTTGGGTCGGATGCGGCTTTCATTCTCGCACTGTTGTGCCTTTAGTGGAGTTTTAACACATTTGCTTCCTTATTGGTTCGGCCCAGTTTTATTTATCGTAATAAGCTTCCTCAAGTGCCATTTTGCACTAGGAAGGCCAGCTACGAATCCTATCGATGGAGAAGACAATCCTGCTAGGGAAAGTCGAAGGTAGAAGGAGGGAAGGACCAGCTCCGGGATGGATCGGTTTCATCAAGAAAGCCACAGCCTTGAGCTTATGAGAGCTGAGAAGCTGCCAAGGACAGAGCAATCTGGAGGGCCGCCAAAAGTCGGAGATGACTTTACGGCACACAACAACGAATCAATCAATAATTTTAAAGTAAAATCGACAGCAGAAATTCTCTCCTTCCTCTCTCTCTCTCTCTCTCTTGCACACCTGCACACACACCCTTACCTGGATGGCTTCTGGGATGTCAGATTTGAGCATCCACGCCCATTTGTGGCGCAGGCCCCCTGTGAAATCTAGTCTTTTGCCAGTCTTTTGCATTTGTCCTCTGAAAATGACCCAGCACGAGCCATACTGAAACTTCGCCGTTAGGTTCTTCACAGGCAGCAATGCAGCAATAGCCTGGTTGTGATAGGATAAGTTCATTATTTATTTTGCATGGACTGATCAAGTATATTCTCAATCTGCCCGAGGACCCACATCCTCCAGGTGGATTGCAAACAGGCAACGGACAGCCAGCGCAGCCCCATGATTCCTAGGCAGCTTTTGGGAAGACACGGGATAATAGTGGACCTTGCAAGGGTCATGCGTTAGTCACCAGTTCTTGGGCCTGGAAAGCAGCTTTCTCTGCCCCACATTGGGCAAGCAATGGGGGAATGATCTCCACTTTCCCCATTGCAAGATGAGCCCTTGTAAATGCGCTGATCTGAAGATGCATGACTGCTCTGGTCTCATGGAATCACAGAACAGCAGCACTGGAAGTGGCCTTGAGGGCCAGTGGTCCAACCCTCTGCTCTTGTAGGACACCAGTTAATACCATCCCACTCAGAGGGCTGTCCAGTTTCACCTTGAATGCCTTTAGTGTGGGAGAGCCCATGGCCTCTCCGGGCAACTGGTTCCACTGTCATATCGCTCTGACCGTGAGGAAACTTTTCCTGCTATCTAGCCTGAATCTGGGCTGATAGCATCTGATTGTTCTGTGTCTTACACTCTGGTATCAGCAAGAAGAGATCTTGACCTTCCTCTTTTTGACAGTCTTTGAGGTACTTCTAGAGGGATACCATGTCCCCGCTCAGTCTTCTCAAGGCTGAACATGCCCAGTTCTCTGTCTCTCCTCATACATCAGTGTTTCCAAGCCCTGGATCATTTTTGCTGCCCTCCTCTGGACCCTAATTCCTCTGCAGCTTTCTTAAGTCTTAGTGCCCAGAACTGGACGCAGTACTCCAGATGAGGTCTGACTAGTGAGGAGTATAGGAGGAGGCAGAGAAAATTTATGGGGCCCCATCCCAGCTATAAGACTGGCAACAAGCCAGTCTTAGCCCTTTTTATCTTCAATAGGGACCTGTTTTTGCTAAAGAGAATGCATTCCATGTGCCTGTTCAGGACTGAGCCACCGCAAGAGACTTGGCATTGCAGCAGTTAATAACATACTGCTGTGGAAAAATGATCCCCCCTCCCCCCCGCCCCTGCCCTTGTCCCCGTGAAGACGGCAGCTGTGCTCAAAGGGAAGCAAGAATCCCGGGCAGATGGAGGTCAGAGTATCTGGATCAATAGCTGGTGAAGGGTTTGTACCATCAGTTCCCCGTGTCTGATGCAGGCCTTCAGTGCAGCCATAAAAGCACCAAGCAGAGCTCCAGCTATTTGGTGGTATAAAAATGTAACAGATAAAATGGTTGATTCAGTGGCTGCAAGAAATCTGCAGAGCCCCTGCAATAAGACTGCGGATGCAATCCCCTTTGTGTCTCTTCTTCTGGCAGCTTTTATCACCTTCTTGAATTTGGGGAAACATCGGTAAAATCTATATAAATTAGTCATTTTTGGCTTGAGTTTTGGTAGATTAGTATCCAAGCAACTCAGAGCTCCAGAGCAACGCTTAGGAAGCCCTGGAACCAGAAGGATGTGTGAAGAGTCATGCCTGCGGTGGGAGTGCCTCCGATTTCTTCTGCCTGGCTCCTTGGACTCTGTCCCGCAAACCTCAGACCGCCTTGTGTTGCGTGTTCACGTGGGCGCACAGGACGACGTGCGTTCAAGCCGAATTCTGCTCCTGCACACGTGACTTGCGGGCTTGGTGTATTTTGCACAAGGATTTTGCACGCTTTGTGCAAAGAAGCCGCTAGCATTCCTGAGTGTTCATGGACTAGATCTCAACTTGACTTGCCACCTGGGCAGGGATGGGCATGGGAAAGCGGTCTGGTGAGCACAGGAGAGCCAGCGTGGAGTAGCGGTTCAGAGCACAGGACTGGGACCCAGGCAATCCGGGTTCGAGTCCCCACTCAGCCGTGGAGCCAGCTGGGTGACTTTGGGCCAGCCACAGACCCTCAGCCCAACCTACTTCACAGGGTTGTTGTTGTGGGGACAAGATGGAAAGGAGCATGACGCAAGCCACTTTGAGATCATTGTAAGAAAAAAGCAGGATATAACTCTAGTAAATAAACAAATACATACATACATAACCCAGCCAGATTTCAGCATGATCTTTGCACCCCTAGTTTAAGCTTCCCTTCACCCGTGAATGAAGGACCTGCGGCTGTTTTCTAATTTTGCATTCAACAAACTGTAATGTTATTTTTCACCCAAGCTGTTTTGTTCCTCCTAAGTATCCTTGAAACCAGAGTGAGGTGGCTTTGGCAGGACTACCACCCCACTCCCAAAATAATGTGGCTGGCTAATGAAGAGATACTAGCCCTGTGCCCTTGAAAGCCCTGGCTTCGAGGACCTGATTCTGAAAGAGTGCACTCAAGCATAAAATGCATACCTGCAGCTCAACCCGGTCTTGTATCCACAGGGCCTGCAGAGTCTCTAAGTTATGCAAGAGTCTGTAGTTGAGAGAGATGCGATCTGACTCCTGTGTAAAGCTCAGCTCCTCTGCGATCTATGGGAGGGCAAGCAGGAGTGGGGGAAGAAATGGATTAATTTGAGTCTGCTGAAAGGAGACGTCTGCTAGGAGAGGAAATAGTTCTCTGTTGCAAAGTCTGGATTGCTTACAGGCAGCAGGGCAACGGACACCGGAGGGAGTGAGGTGGGGTGTGGGGCAGGTATCTCCCCCAGAATCGTCTGGCTTGATTTTAGATGATTTAACTGGATTTTATGATTTTAAATGAGAATGATTTTTAACGAAAAAGCAGGGAAATCTACGCAGATGGTACACACAGTTCTTCCTTGCGCAGCACGGTTCACCTGTGGAATTCTCTTCTACAAGATGACCGTGGCTCTGGACGACTTTAAGGGCAGATTGGACTAATTCATGGTTCCTAGCCCTCACGGCTCTTTCCTACCCTCAGTATTAGAGACAGTGCATTTTGGGAAGTATGTAGGAAAAAATGGACAAATGAGAGAAAAAGCAGTTTGGGCTGAAATAATTAACAATTACATCTTATAATACTTCTTTGTTTTTGCCCATATTATCATCGAATCAAAAACTGATCTAAGCATTTACTTTCTTGTAATGCATAGGAAAAACAAATAGTTCAGTTCTTGGTGGGATTTTTGGCGTACGCTAATATCAAGCCATCGGTGTCATAAAAGCCAAGCCTCGTTGCCTTTGATATGGGTGCATTTATTTATGACTGTGAACCCAGAAGCTTACTTGTGTCACTGGTGCCCCCAAGACCACCCCTCACTCTTCCTCTGAAGTCACACTTCCAGCCTTGAAGGAAGCTTATCGGTTCTCTCCACGCTGGCTGCCATGTGGGAGGGTCTGTGAACAGCCTCAGATCTAGGAATATGAAGAACCCTATGCCAACCTAGGTGCTGTCTGGGGGGCCATAGGATCACTCTGTTTACCCACAATCCTATGCATGCATGGATAGGAAAAAACAGTGCTGGCTGGGGCATGCTGGGAGTTGCAAGCCTTTTTTTCTGCCCTAGTCCAAACGTGGATAAAACCACATCCTTAATTGCATTAAATCAAATCATTTCTGCTGATTATCAATCCCTGATTGCCAAAATGATTACGAAGTGCTAAGCTTCTCAGTAAAAAGTATTCTAAAATATGTCTTCACCAGGAATCGATTAATTGAACTATTTATTTTGGTTATCCGAACATAAGAAGCAAATATATAAAATACAAATATATATGGCTATGGTGTAGTGATTTGGTATTAGATCAATTAAAGCCAGAGAGGATATTATGCGATGAAAATTCCAAAGCAAACTTCAGTGTTTGCACTGAAATAAAAGCCATGGTCAACTGAAAGCCAAGAGAAGGAAAAATGTACACAAGTAAAATCCATGGTCATCCATCAACCAAACTGTGTTCTTTTAACTTATCTCAGCTTTAGCAGTTGGAATCTAGTTTTGATGGGCACAGCTAGAAATCTGGCTGCCTTCATGGAACCTGCAGATTAAAACATCAGCCGGCAGAATCAAAGCATAAAACTGGACAGTCTTTTAGGGAAATTAAATGGGGACTCCATTCTCTATAATATTCACAGTGCGGTAAAACCAGTTCAAAGGGGGATGCGGTTACCTGTTTTTCATCCACACTGAACTGAAGCAACCTTTTACAACTGGTAGCATCCCTTTCCAGAATTAAATCCACCACTGTCCTTCCAGGAATGCCAAGCAGGGCGGCTCCTTGGACATTGTGGCCCAGCTGTGCGTGAAAATCCTGAGTCCTCTGTGAGGAACGAGATCAAAATAAGTCGGGGAAGACCCTCAGAAAAAGCCAACTTGCTCGCAGCAGAGCCAAGCTGCTCAGAGGTGCTTGGAGCCCAGTTCCTACCAGCCACAATGAACTAGCCAGGCACAGTCAAATAAGGCCTGAAGGGCCATGGATCCCTCACCCTGGCTCCTCAGTTAAGGTGCAGAATGTCTGCCAGTACAAATCCAAGTAGGATCAGCAACATGTTGTAGTACGAGGACATTATTTTACTTATACAGTAGATTTCTAAGCACGTGTTCTCAAGCTACCAGTTAAATAGCTAATATGCCATTTGAAGACACAGTTAAAGGAATACAACACAAAACAAATATGTAGAAAGAATGAAAGATGATATAATAGAAAATAATACCCAACACAGAAATTGATCAAACAGTATAATCACCTGGGACTACATCTCTGTTTAGCTAAACACGGATCCCGTTTTGGAGAATGACTTTGCTGCTAGTGCCAAACCGGCCCCAGACTGATGCCCGCCAGGTGTTTTGAACGATAACTCTCCCAGTCAGCACAGGGGAAGACTGGTGCACAGGCATGTGATGAAACCCACGTACAAGAGGGAAGAGTTACTAGCACTGCCCCAGGAGGTGCACTGGGAGAAATTAAAGCTACACATTCACAATACAAAACAGGCAAGCCACAAGACCATGCGGTAATGGAAAGCGGTACAAGCATCCTTCGGAGAGGAGAGAAAATAAGGAGCAGCAGGCTGGAAGAAATCTCTCTTCACTGAGAAACTGTCGATGGGGGCCAGATGGATTTCTCTTGGCCTGCTGTTCATGCTTGATTTTTTCCCCGTTTTAGCCTTTGAATCTGTATTCAAGACCAGCTCAGCCAGTGATGGGACAAACTCATTTTCCAGGCTTTTTTTTTTTTAATCTGGGGAGGAGCCATAGACAGGGAGGCAGGTGTCCTATTTTCTGGGGAGAATCCTCTGTTTGAAGAGCTGGGATCAAGAGTGGGCATAATTGATCACCTGCCAAGGCCCCGAACTTCAGCAGGGCCCATCAGCAAAAGGTGAGTCTTTGCAGCGGCTTGCTTGCTGCCCCTTGCGCTGGCCCAGACCTCATGGAGGTGGGCAGGAAAGGCCTGGCCTGCTTGCTCCCTGGATCTTTGCCTGTCCAGCGAGTCAGTGGCACCCGTGGCAAGAACGAGGAGGAGGGGCGAGGACAGTGGTGAGCAGGGTGGCCTGGAGGGCGACTCCTGGAGCGAGAAGACCCATCGGGAGGGTCCTTCCCAGAAGCCCTCCAAAACCTGAAGCTGGCCACTGGCTGTCAGGGAGGGCAATCCTGCATCTGAAGGCCGCCCAGTCCTGGACTGGTGGAGAGATCAGGGAGGAAGCAGAAGAGCCAGACCTAAAAACACACTGCACACACCAACATGATTTCTTACATTTGTGACTTTCAGCAGGAGGAGTCCATGTAGAGTCTTTTCACCCAAGGTAAGCATCACCTGGCAGTCCAGGTGCATTTTACCCATGGAAATGTGTCCTGATGCATCTATTCTAGTTGGGACTTCAAGCTCCTGTGATAAAAGAAGAAATCCAAGACACCATCGTGAAACATCCACTTCTTAACACTGCCAGACCTGGCATACTGCTCGTTCTGGGTTCACGGGGTTGTTCTGCTAGATGAGGGGGGTTCATTTCACCTCCCGATGTCCAAATAGCCTGGAGCTCAAGTAGGGAAGAAGGAGCCATCCTGATAACCATTCCAGTGACGTTTCACAGATTGTCAGACGACCTCTGTCCAGTCGTCTGTGCAAAGATAGACTTTGATGTGATTTGCACAAATTCACACTGCCCCCCCCCCCCACACCACCCAGTGTGTTTTTCCATGCTTAAACCACGGGGGACTTTTGTATCTTTCATCTGTGCCTTTTTAAAAATGTCCCATCTTTTCCTTTGGCTAAATTTCTACACTCTGTTGGGAGATCCTGATGGGTCTGAAGTAGCCCAGTAGCCTCATCATTTTAGCCCGGGCCTTCCTTTTCTAGCCAACACTTCAATCCAGGACCTGACCTAATAAAGGAGGGTCGAAAGTGAGGGTGTCTTGCTCAAAAGCCCTCAAAAAACAGGAAATGTGCTTGATCGGTTTCCAGATGGGCCGAACGTTCAGTTGCTAAAGCTACCTTTGCCTGGTGCTTGGCCCTCTTGTCCTCCTGGAAGTCTTAGCCTTTTCTAGGTGAGCATTGAGGGTTCTACTTGGCAGCTGTCTTGCTGAACTGATCCAGCCCACTGTGAATGTCCAGGGCTGCCGGGGGCTTTGTGGGAGACACAGAACCCATTGTCCAGCTTGTAAACCCATTTCAGGACAACTCATTCCTCCTCCCCTGTCCCTGGAACTTCTCAAAGAGCAGGATGATTGTATTTCAATCACCGGGGTAAAATGAGAGGCTACAGAGGCTCTAGCCCTGTTTCTCAAGAATGCTGGCCAAAGGGTTGTGGTGTGGAAGCTCTGGGGACACATCTCATAACTCATGCCTGTCAAGGGGCACCGTGCCTGGAAGATCTGCGCTGTGCTGTGCGGTGCCCCAGAGCAGCAGGCTTTCCTGGAAGACGATACCCACCAACCGACCCACTCCTGGGTGAGAGATGGCGATGCCGGCTGCACCGGAGGAAACACAGAGGAGGCCCATTCCATCTCGGACCGCCCTGGAGGTGGGACTGCAGCATCCCTGGCCCCTATTTCCAGGGTCTGCATCCAAGGAAGGAAAGGAAGGAAAACAAACAAGCAAGGACATCAGTGACCTGCAAAGCTGTACAATCTGTTTCCATTTCCAGTGTCCATTCCATTCTGCCTTGGGGTTGGATTTCTCCCTGAGCCACCAGGCTGCAGCTTCCCACATCTAGAGACAGACGTCCTCCAAGGATGGAGCTGTCATTGGTCACAGAGAGGGCCACTGCGTTTTTGGGAGGTAGCCCTAAGTCATGGAGGCGGGAGACCGAGTGAGTCAGTGTCCCTCGCAAGGTGTATTTCTCTACAGAAGACATCTCCAGCTGCACATCAGCTGCTTGGCCGTCACTCCGGAAGTACGAGGTTAAAGTGGCATTGCCGTTGTTTTGGAGGAAGGATCCGCCAGAGTCTAGATTCAGCGGTATCTTCACATTCTAGAAGACCAGAGAGAAAGAGGTGAAAGTTTGCCTTGAAAAAGAATCTGCTCTCATCTTGAGTTTATTTCACAGAATCACTTCCTCAGCTGACTACTTGAGACTAATTTAACAACTCGGTACCCATTAGACTTTCTGGAATTAAAGTTTCCTCCTGTCTCGGCCAGCATGGCCAATGGGCAGGAATGCTGCAAAGTGAGATTCAGGCCATTCAGAGAACACCAGGCTGGGGAAGCCGGCCTTAGAAGAAAGACTGAAATAATCACCTCCAAAAGGTCACATTTATTCAGAAGAATAACTCTCCATCTCACAGCTGTGGCTTCACCCATCGGACTCAGTTCTCCATTGCCTGTGAACATGCATCCCCCAAGCGCAACTTCCATAAGGCCTTTGTACGCCTCTCCTTCCACAGCAGATAATTTTATCCAGTTCTCTTGGGCGAGGCCCAAAGACCCGAGGTAAGGCCATACATGGCTAAGGTGGATCTCCGCCGTATGCCTGGGGCTGCGGGCTGGGGGGAGATGGGACTGAGCCAAGTTGTCAGCAGAAATGCCCTCCTCAGTTGCGTGGGATGTGCAGTTGCTAGAAAACATGGATCCATTCAGCAAAATTCTTGCTGGTGCCTAAAGAAACAAAGAAGAGTCAGGCTGTCAGTCTGGCTGATGCTGTGGATTGCATGTTAGCCTAAAAGGGTGCAGCTATTTTCTTGCTATGGGCATCCACAGCCATTGGCATGTGCCCAAAACAAGCAGCGGCCTATTGATTATGGTAATGGTGTAGAAGCTCCAGTCTGGAGACCACGCCTAGCTCACTCGGAGGCCCCCGAGGGCCGCATCCTCCTCCCTCCCCAGCACCAATCATTCAGTGTTTCTCTGAAGTCTGTGTAGTTTCCCCCCTAGTCTGAAGTGCTTCTTTGAAGGCTTGGACACTGGCAGCAATACTTCAAGCTGAAATACGATGGCCTTCCCAGAGATTTTGGCCTTGCACCTTTGGTTTTCAGCATTGCCCACCATGGGAGAGCTTGTCAGGGACTGAATTCAGCATTTGGGCTGGAAGAGGTCCCTCACCGGTGCGCAAAGTGAGTTTCATGAAGCATCAATCTCATTGCTCTCAGATGCCCAGAAGGACCCTGGGGATCCCAACCATTCTTGGAGCTTAGGGGCTGCAGCCATGAGAACATGAGACTGACCATTGGTGGATTGCGAAAACAGGAGAGGTCCTTTCGGGGACAAAAGCCTCAGGGCAGAGACAACAACCATTGAACAACCACCTCTTACTTAAGGCTCAGTCTGGCTCTGCTTCTTGTTGGAGCAAGGCACAGGCACACTTGTGTCCGGTAGTGCGAGATATCGAGCAAGCAAGTGCCTGAATGTCTGCACACGCAGACCAGGGAATTCATCCCATCTCTGTGCTTAAAACATCTGCCAAGATGTAGAATTTCTCCATGATATTTATTTATTTATTTATTTATTTGGAACACTTCTATGCTGCCCCATTCGCGAAAGCCTCGGGGCAGCTTCCAATACAAATAAATAACTATACAAATACAGAAAAATACATAAAAATCTGGAGACAACCCGGCATAAATATAAAATCAATAAATAAATTCAACAATTAAAATGACGTTTGAATAAAAAGGTCTTGGCCTGGCGCCGAAAAACAAAAAACGGCGGCGCCAGGCGGACCTCTCTGGGAAGCGCATTCCATAGGTGGGGCGCCACCGCAGAGAAGGCCCTCCTCCGGGTACTCACCCTCCTAATATCTTTCACGGAGGGCTCCCGGAGCAGGACCTTTACCTCAGATCTCAAGGTGTGGGCGGGCGGTCACATAGGGAAGGAGGTGCTCCTTCAGGTCCCAAGCCGTTAAGGGCTTTATAAGTAATAACTAGCACCTTGAATTGGGCCCGGACTTCAATGGGGAGTCAGTGGAGCTGACGGAGGACCGGGGTTATATGAGCACAACGCCCAGTCCCCGTCAGCAACCTGGCAGCTCAATTCTGCACCAACTGAAGTATCCGGACCGTCTTCAAGGGCAGCCCCACGCAGAGCGCGTTGCAGAAGTCTAGCGAAACCTTGAAATGGCAAATTGCTGCCAGCCAAGCTTAGAAAAAGAAACTTGTACCTCCAAGAAGTGGCTTTTAGCTTCTGCGCTACAGTAGCCAGATAGCTGACAAGATGTAGATTCACCACCACACCAGACCTGCAGAAGATCAATAAATACGGAAACAAAAAGATGGCTTTAATATGAGAAATGATTCATGTCTTGGTGTGTGATGAGTAATTGACAGCCATTTCTTGGGTGGCTGGTTATTTCTCTTTCTGCCCATATCCCATCCACCCACCCCAGATGCTGCAGGAAGTGGTCAAGATTTATTCATTGTTTATGTTTATAGCCAGCCTTACTTGATCGACTCAAGAGGGCATGCAGGGGTCTTCCTATCATTTTATCCTCACACAACCCCGTGAGGCAGATGAGTCTGTGAATGCAAGTGTGTGGACATAACAGTGAGGTTCTTGGCTGAGTGGGGAATTTGAACCTGGCCCTCCCCAGTCCTAGGATAACACCTGTAGGGTTCCAGGTTCGATCCCTGCCTCCTCCTGTTAGGGCTGGGAAAAACACCTGGAGAAGCGCTGGCTCTCAGTGTAGATAATGCTGAATTAGAAGGTGCGATGGTCTTGCTCTGCTTAAGGTGACTTCCTGGACAAATAACACAGCAAAGGATTTTCTACTGACCTGTATTACTGATGGGATGATCTGAAGGAGTCCCATGTTGTGATGGAAGAATAGGGAAAACCCAGCTGCACTGTTGTTGCCTCGATTCTCCAGTTCAACCGCAAACTCTTCTTCACCAGCCTGGATCATCACCCCCACTGCAAGCTTCTGGCTGAAATTCTAACCAGGGGAAAAGGGTATGATGCAGAAAGACACTGGTTGGGCAAGTGTCAGGCACCAAGGCCCTGGACTCTTGTCCTCAGAGGACCCTGCCTTCTTGTCTCAAAAGACACTCCAGAGGCATCAACCTCATGGGAAGACATGCTCATGAAGAATCAACCACATTGGGCCCACTTCTCCAGAAAGATCTCGGGGTCCTTGCCATTCTTGGGCGGTTGGTTATCTGGGTGAAAGTGTTCAATTCAAACACACTAGCCTGATCTAGCCACTCCCACATCACTGAGAGTTGACTTGAACAGCACTGGCCACGTTAAGAGGTCAAGTCTCAGTGTAGTGGCAGGGCCGACAATTCTAAAGCAACCACATTCTAATTTAAGGCTCAGTCTGGCTTGGCTCCTTGTTGGAGCAGCTCATGGACAGCCGCAGCATCACATGGAGCTTCCCTATTTCCATCAGGCTTCCACATGGAACCTGACTGACCCATATTCCTGCTCAAGGCTGGATCCGTACCAGAATTGTGCAAACCAGGCTTCAGTAACGCTCAGTGATGTGATGTCCTTACCAGCACTCGCAGTGCCTGGCCCAGTGGGCCTCTTGTCCGAAATGGAAAGAGCAGGCAGAATCCATCCTATAAACTGTCTTTGATCTCTGCGTATTCACATGCCCCCAAGTCATCACAGAACAGATGCATCCAAGGAAGCACAGAAACGGATCACAAGGAGGCAGAGCTCCCTGGAGAAGGCAATCACGCGAGGGGAAGTTGAAGGGTAGAAAATGACGGCCAAACGTGAGATGGGCGGGACTCCATCAGCTCAGCCATAGCCTTGGATTTAGAAGAACTGAGCAGGACTGTCACGGATGTGGCATTTTGGAGGGCTTTCATTCAGGGGCTTGCCATAAGTCAGATATGACTTGATAGCACATGACAACAAAAAACATACAGAGCCCTGAAAGGGGGCGAGCCTGAAACTCTGGGATGGAAACGGGGAGATTTTGACAACTCTGATGGGGAAAGGAACCTCTGGGCAATTGCCTCTGGGCAATTGAATGGCCTCAGAGGACACACAGGATAGCTTCTGGTTTAGCTATCTGAAGTAGCGTATCGCTCACCAAATGTGTTGCGCTCCCCAAAGGGGGCGCTCAGTCCCTGATGGCCGCACCCCCCCCCCCAGCCAGATCATCTCTTTCCCAGACCAATGGGGTCGTGATGGCCAGCTGAAACCACCAGCATGTCCCTCATGTCACAGCCTGGCCAGCCGCTCCTGAGCCACCGCATCCATCCTCTCAACCGGATACTCCTGCCAAAAATAATTTTAAAATGATGCTCCTCTTTCAGTGGTCCCAGAGCACCTTCAGTCCTCTTTACTCTGGAGGAGGCATTTAGTTTTCTGCTGAAGGAGGGGAGGAATTTAGTTTTTTTTGTCCCTCTGCAAGCCTTGGGCATCCCCCGATCATACGGTTCTCTCTCCATATTTGGTTTGCAGAAGAGCAAAACTCCAGGCTGTGCGCGCTCCTATCATTAGCCCATGGAGACACCAAAAGGCCTCGAGAACGGGCTGCTGCCTTAATTATGCTCCATTTTCATTTATTTGTTGGTGTTATGTATCTCTTGTTCGAGGATCTGACATTCTGAAGCCTCCTGAAGTGCTGCCTCAGAAAGAAGATTTGCTGTCCGCGCATTACTGGATCTCCTTACTCGGTAGTAGCACGTGCCTCCGGCGCTGAAAGGCATCCCACGTTGCTTGAGCTCCGCGAGGTTGTGCGTGAGGCTCATGGTGAGCTGAGCTTGGAAGGGTGAGGGGAGCTTCTCAGCTCTGAATGTGGCCGTGAGCCTTTTGCCGCCTCCCTGAAGTTTGAGAGTGCCAGTGCGGTTGCTCTCCCTGTGGCCATAGGTGGCTGCGATCCTATTTTCTGTAGGGAGCCCTACAGAGAGAGGGAGGGAGGGAGGGAGCAAAATGAAAGTGTGTGCATGGGTGTAATTGCAGGCGTTTGCCCCCAGTGTAACCAGAACCTTCAGAGGATTGCAGCAAGGGAAGGAAAGGCTCGGCCCCCTTGCTCACATCTGCCGAAATCCCAGGAACGGCCAACCCACATGGTTTACGCTCTTTGCAAGTTTTAAAACAGTCCGTGTTGAATGCCCAGGTGCCTTCCAGCAGACGCCCGGGGGGGGGGGGGGCATTCCGAATTCATCCACCAGGGCGGTGCTGCCGCCCTGAGGGCTCGTCTGGACGCTGGAACTAGAGCAGAACTTGCTGAGTGCAGCTGTTTGCGGGAGCTCCTCCCTCACTGCACTGGCTGCCGACATGCCAGGGCAACTTCTTTTATATTGTTATTTATTTTATATTGTTATTTCATATTTTATATTGTTATTACTGTTATTTTTTATGTTGTGAGCCTCCTCGAGGCTTCGGCGAATGGGGCGGCATATAAATGTTTTAATAAAAATAAAATAAAATAAAATGCTACCCGGGCAGAGCAGAGGTCCTGGAAGTGGTGTGCAAAGCAATACACCACCTGGGGCCAGCCAGGTATCCTGGAAAGCCGCTTCTCCCGTACTGATCTGCCCAGTCACAGAGGTCACCAGAGGACCGCTTGGTGGTTCCCTGTGGTCCTACGGTCTGGACCGATGAGAGTCCAAGCGAGAGAGGGGCCTGCAAGTGGGGCAGCCCCCTTTCTGGGGATCTTCCTGCCCCTGGAAGTCAGGCAAGCACCAGTGCTTCAAAACCTCAGGAAGCATCTTTGTTTCAGGAAGCCTGTCTGGATGGACCAATCACAATTTTTAATTGGCATTCTGTTGGCTTGGCTTTTATCTCTTAATCTGGAGTTTTATTCTTATTTATTTATCTATCGCATTTGTGTGGCGCCCCATAGCCAGAGGCTCTCTTTTGTTGTTCTCTACTGTGGAAGCTGTTTCAATGTGAAGTGGCAATATAAATTTGTAAATATAAGGGGTCTTTAAAAAGTTTCCGCACTTTTACATTTTATAAATATATTTCATATATTTTTTGCTGATGGCATTAAAAAGTTGGTATGACGCTCGGAAAAATGCTTTGCAAAGGAAAATGACTATGTACAAAAGTGATGTAATTTGTTTTTGAGAGTCTTAGTACATAAAGTTTTAGAAAGTCCAGAAACTTTTTGAAGAACTCTCACACATACATCAAGTAAGGACATGGAGCTTTGCATCTCAGAAGCAAATCCCTGCTCCCACTTTTAACAATCCTTTCATTTTCGAGCAAAGATAGGCAAAAGCAGATCTTGGTAACATTGGATTTCAGCTCTCAGCATTCCTGATCATTGGCCAAGTTGGCAGAAGTTGCTGACAAAAGTGCGTATAGTCAAAGCCATGGTTTTCCCAGTTGCAATGTATGGCTGTGAAAGCTGGACCATAAGGAAGGCTGAGCGCCGAAGGATTGAGGCCTTTGAATGTGGTGCTGGAGGAGGTGCCTGAGAGTCCCTTGGACCGCAAGGCGATCAAACTGGTCAGTGCTAGAGGAAATCTACCCTGACTGCTCTTTAGAAGGCTAGATACTGAAGATGAAACTCAAATACTTTGGCCACCTAATGAGAAGGAAGAACTCCCTGAAGAAGAGCCTAATGCTGGGAACAATAGATGGAAAAAGAAGGGGACGGCAGAGGATGAGGTGGTTGGATGGAGTCACTGAAGCAGTTGGTGTGAGCTTAAATGGACTCCGGGGGATGGTGGAGGACAGGAAGGCCTGGAGGAAGGTTGTCCATGGGGTCGCGATGGGTCGGGCATGGCTTCGCGAACAACATAACATAATGGGAGCTAAAGTTCAAAACAACTGGAGATCTGTTTTCTGTTTATCCATGTTCCCCTGTCTTGGACTACAGCTTGTTATTCTCCAGCAAGCATGGCCATGGGCACTTCAATCCACTCCCCGTTGCTCACGAGCGTCAGATGTGGGAAGTTGTGGTAAAACACATCTGGAGAGCACCAGGCTGGGGAAGACTATTCCAGAATATCTTCCAGATGTTCCCGAAGGAGGCTTGTAAGCCCGCTCCTCTCAAAAGGACCTGGCAAGGAATAAAATGTTCATTTGTATTGAGTGGTAGCCTTTTTGCTAGTAGAAAAGTAGAGCAACCTTTTGAAGGTAAAGTTTACTTGCAGTTGGAACTGAAAATATCCCTCCTGGTTTGAGCCAACTTTGAACTATTATTTCCACTCAGCTTTGATGTTGGCGTCTTAAAAACATCATTGAGTTGGCTGTGAACCAAGTAAAACAATTGTTGGCTTTAAGATACTTCGACTGATATAAAATGCACTCTCAAAAATATGGCCGGGATCAAAGCAAAGGCACAGTCTGAAAAGCAGGCTTTGTGGGAATATATAACATAAAAGATAAATGGGAACCATCCTTGTTGCCTTTATGGAGAATAAAGCTAGATGGGGAGACCCAAGGGCCCTAACTTAAGATTCAAGCAAAGTGAGTGAAACAAATTGAAGAATTTGGAGTTGTAAGCAGCCATGCCTTCTTCCAGTGGGCCATCCCAGCCCAGGGCCATCTCAACAGCATGATGGGCCCCGGGCAAAGCAGTGTCCTGGGGCCCCTGCGACAACTACGACTACTGTTAATTCTGGAAGTTTTCCAATTTTCCAAGGGTTAACATACACAGATTAGTATGGGGCCCAGGGCAAGCGCCCATCAGGCCCACGCACTAAGACGGCCCTGTCCCAGCCCTTCTGTTCCTCTACCTTTTTTTGCACGTGGGGCATATGCAATCCTCACTAGGTTTGCCTTTCTAAGAAGGTTTTTCCTGTACTTCTGAAAGTGTTGGGGCTTCCAGGAACATGCCGGTCACCCCATCCTGTTTCTCGACAGCTCCATTTCAGCACCCGTGGCGTTCGCTGTATCTGGAGTTTGCAGTTGGAAGGCGCATGGCCAGTGAATGACAAGAAACATAGAAACAGCGTGAGTCAGAAGGAGCTTCCTGGGCCATCTACTCTGACCCCTGGCTCCACTCATGACACTGGACCAAGTGCGTGTCCGGACACCTGGCTCTGCACAAGCGAGGCCGATGGCACGGGAAAGATACAGAAGGTGGCCTGATCTGGGAAGCCCAAGTAGCCCTGACGGGAGAGTCTGGCTGCCACTTATTTTATTATTTATTATTTATTTATTAAAACATTTTTATGCTTGAGGACAAAAGACCAGACCTTCACAAATGGCATTTTGTTCTTAAAAACGGCCAAGCTTTCTGTACCTGCCCAGGATAAAGTGCTGAAGTTGTGCACGACCGAGCCCGTGACACCAATCTGCTCCTGAAGGATGAGGTTTGAGAGATCCACGCAGAGAGCTCCGGTGTCCATCCGAATGCTGACTGCACATTTTTGGAGGCCTCTCTGGAGCTCCAGCTGCCCTCTGATCTTTGCCTCTTTCAGGAAAGCCTGACTGACATTCTGTGTCATGCCCACAGTGATGTTGTGGAAGCTTGCATTCCCAAAGGCATTTCGGGTCCGGATGTGTATCCCAAACGCGGACTGGTTAACCATCACTCTCAGAATGCCTGTTAAATGCCAGAAAGACAGTCCCCAAAAAACTGCTGTTTTCAGCTGGAAAACACCTCAACGTTCCCCAGCTAGCTGCTTTTTCTGTCTAAACAGAAGGCCGGTGTGGTGAGATTGTTTGACTGGGGGATTGGGAGATCTGGGTTCTAGTCCCCGCTCAGCCATGCAGCTTACTGGGTGACTTAGGGCCAGTCACTCACTCTCAGCCTGTCCTACCTCACAGGGCTGTTGTGAGGATCAGATGGAGAGGAGGAGGAAGAGGTTTATGTAAGCTGTCCAGAGTTCTTTGAAGGAAAAAAGGAGGCATATACATATCATAAATAAATAAAATGAACCAACATGTTTGGACCACCAATTGTTTGGCAGTTTTGTGGTTTCCCCCATTCTAAAAGGCTGAGAAGCTACGTCTTACGAGGGTAGTACAAGCTTTAAGCTAGAACATGTGGGTATCCTCCATCATCATCATCATCTTGGCTGCTGTTGAGGTCCTTTTTGCCTTCAGTCCTACCCCCAGTGGAACGTGGTCCCAAGAGCATCTCCAAGCTGAATTCAGCCCACCGGCTGCAAGAGGTTTCCCACCCCTGGAATAACGCGCTACCTTCGTGAAGGTTGTTCTTGCACTTGAGAGAGCCATCCAGGGAAAGCTCCTGGGGCACCAAGCGCGTCACCCCATCCAGGTTGTGCTGGATGCTGCTGTGGAGGGTGAGCACCGGTCCCCCTTTCTGCTCCTTTGACCCAGTAACGCCCAGGCGAAAGGACTGCTCGTTCAGCTTCACTGCAGAAGACAGCGTAACCCTGGGGGCGAGAGGGAAGCGGACGTAAGCGGACAAGGGCAGTTGCCTCTGGAGGAAGCAGCCACCTTCACTGCCAGCACTGCCAATTCACAAGGAGAATCAGTATGGCACAGTGGTTAGAGCACGGGTCTAGGACATAGGAAATCTGGGTTCTAGCCCCATTTGGCTGTGAAGGTCACTGGGGACATTGGGCCAATCGCAGTTCTTAGCTCAAGAGAGCCACTGTGGAGCAGCGGTCAGGATGTGGACTGGGACCTGGGAAATCCCAGTCAGTCCTTCACTGGGCCACAAAGCTCACTGGAGCTGCTCAGCCTCACCCCCCTCTCAGGGTTGTTGAACGCAGAAAACTCAGGTGCAGAGGACTAGGAAAGCCCCCTTGGGCTCCTTACAGGGAAAACAAGGCAAATCGCCTGCAAACATATCAGCCTCATTTGCCTGAGCATGTGAGGGCTTAAAATGGGTACACAGTGTGTGTGTGTGAGGGGGGGCACTGTTTCTGGGCACCCCACCCCTGCCCAGCTCAGTTCGCACTTGGGCATGTTGCATCAGCCAAGGTCTGGAAGGGGGTCCTGCCGGGTTTCTTCTCCAGGGAGTTCAATGCACGGTCAAGTGCGCAGCACAGAAGCCAAAGGAGCGCATGCCTGCACAGCCTCTAGTTCCCCTGCCCACAGCAGACGTGGTCCTTGGAGTCAAACTGGGTTGCGTCCAGCTCTGCACTCTTGGCTTCTTTTACCTTGCTGGCGACCTCTTTCCTGTGAACTGCAGCCATAAACATTCCGGTTGGGTTACGATGGCCTGCTTTAGGAGAGTGCTCGCTTGGAGAGTTTGGGTGTTCTTCCTCATCTCACGGACAAAGTCAGCTTCCAGCATGATTAGATCTTTTCCCCCGGAATGAAGGTAGAAGGATCCATTGTGGTTCTGTCCACCATATCGACTTGTGGTAGCATGGACCTAGCCACAGGGGAGCAAGGAAAGAAGGACCTTCTTGAGTTACAGAGTAGGGCAGCCCTTGCTAAGGACCCGTGACTCTTCTGGTTCGGGGACAGCAGAGACAAGCAGGCTGACTTGGTCCTTCTCCATCACTGGCTTGGTTGCCCTCCATGAACTGGAGGGTGACTGTGCCCAGAAGGTCACTCTGCTTCGCTGGCCTCCGTGTGATCTTAGGGAGAGCTGTGCTGGATCAGATCAAGGTTCGTTGAGTCCAACCAGCTGCCCTCATTGGAAATCTCCCAGCAGGATACGTGTCCAGCACCCCCTCCCCCGCCAGTCATGTTCTCCAACAATTGGTGCACACAGACACATACTGGAGGTAGCACATAGACATCAGAGTGAGCGGAGCCGGCTGGAGCCGGGGGTCAGACTAGATGGCCCGGGAGACCCCTTCTGACTCGCTCTGTTTCTGTGTTTCTAGTTAGCTGTTGAGAACCTTCTCCTGCATGCAGTTGTCCACTCCTGTTTTAAAGCCATCAAAGTGGTGGCCATCACCACATCTTGTGGGAGCGAAATCCATTGCTTAACTACACGTGGTGTGAAAAAGTCCTAAATCTCCCACCAGTTCACTTTATGGGATGACCCCGAATTCTAGTATTATGAATGCTTGTATTAGTCCTGGAATTATGAATACCAGCATTTTAGTTTTTCCCTACATCATGCATAAGTTTGTATACCTCTACCATGTCTCCCCTTTTACTCACCCTTTTTCTAAGCCAGACAGTCCCAGATTTTACAAACATTTCCAGCCCCTTGATCATGGTAGTTGCCCTTTTCTGTACTTTTTCCAGCTCTCCAACATCCCTTTTTGGATGTGATAGTCAGGCTTGTACACAGTATTCTAAGTGATCTGAGTAGCTGTATTTTCAATGCCTTCCCTAATTATGCCTAACATGGAATTTGTCCTTTCCACACTGGCTGCATTGAGCTATTCCACCATTACTCCAAGATAGATAGATAGATAGAAACAGAGTGAGTCAGAAGGGGCCTCCGGGGCCATCTAGTCTGACCCTCGACTCCAGCCGGCTCTGCTCACATGTCCACCATGTGCATGTCCAGCCTATCCTTGAACACCCACACCGATGGGGCCTCAAGGACTTCCCGTGGAAGCCCATTCCACACCCTCGGGGTCCTGACTGTCAGGAAGTGCTTCCTGGCATCCAAATGGAACCTTGGCTCCCTGAGCTTTGCTCCATTGCAGCGTGTTCTGCCCTCCTCTGCAGGGGAGAACAGGTAGATAGGGAGGAATCTTATAAACCTTAGTACCTTAAAACTTGGAGCAAAGTTTGACTGATTCAGGTGAAGAAGCTGGGAGGAGATTCCAAATCCAGCATCCGATCCATTCAGCCAGGCACTGAACTGTCGGCACAAAGATGTTGAAAAGAAGTAAAGTCTCAGATTGTGCGTAAACGTTGACGAACGATACTGTACGGAAGAAGGGTAGGTTGGAAGTGACCAACATCTACTGGATGATGATTTGGGGAAAGCGAATGAACAGAAATCGTTCTCGTATAAGGAGGCGTGCTCTTTTTAGACCCCCTCCTTCTAACTGTGTAAGGAAGCAGTGAGACACATGGTTGGAACTCTGTTTAAGTAGAAAGCAGGAAGCATCGGGCCTTTCCCAGTTCTGAAATTCTATCACGGTAGAAAATCATTATGAAACATTGCAGTCCTGAGATGGATTAAGGTAGGAAAACACAAACTGGCACTTGGTCCAGGTGTCCAAAAAGGAGTCCAGGTGTGGAGCAGAAGTGTTGCTCCAAGTTCAGAGACTGCTGGCACAGCCCCGCTTGGGGATAGCGGTGGGGGAAAGAGCAGGAACTGCTTGGTTTGGATATGTTTGCCCCTTGAAGCCATGAACAGAAGGGGGCAGTCTTCTTCGTGAACAGCCTTCCAGTTCTGGGCTGACTCTACCCACCCAGGATGTCCACTGGATGTTTCTGAGTAGGAAGGAGTGTAACAGGGCTTCTTATTTCAGGTGACCCTTGTCTGAACAACGGGTTCTCTTCCAGAGCTCTGCTGTGTTCCCGGTCTGCCTCAGCTTTGTCCTTAGAGGTGACTTTGGCCTGTTCTCCAGCCCTGCCTCCTGCGTTGTTCTCTGACTCCAACTAATTCTTTGACTCTCGATTCTGGCTTGTTTCACTGCTCCTGTTTCCCTGCTCATCCCTCGGCCTATGGCCCAGCTGAGATTAATTTGATAATGTCTCCACATTGCATCCCATGAGTTAGCAACATGAAACACGATACCTGACCTGTGAAATGCCTTGTTGGTTGATTGTAGTTTTTACAGCCACCCCCCAGGCAAAATTGGCCGGCTTAATTTCCCTTGAGAAGAGCTTTCCATTCACAGCAAGTGACTGTGGAAACTTGAGCTAGTAAGGAGAGAGAAGCCAGAAATGCACTTTAGAGATTTCCTTTTCCACAGCTTAATAAAAGGCTTTCTGGTTCATTTTGTCCAACTTGGACAGGCCCTGCGTAAGAAAATGGTTAGGTAGTAAAGCTGAAACTAGGAGGCGGAGTTTCTGCACAACAAACAAACGAAACATTGCTGGATTTGTGTTTAGATCTACTCAGGGTAAAGGGAAATGGAGAACAATTGCTGAGAACAATTTTAGCTCGTTCATCTCAACAGCAAAACACCAAATTACGTGGCACGTTCATATGATAATTCAATAGTTCCCATTTTCAGGAGCTTCTCTCATGGGACCTGAAAATTGTCAAGAGTATTGAGATTTTGCTGCCAAGATCTTTTGTCATTTCATAGGAATTCTGTTTAGATATCACACATTGACCATGATAAGATTGTAGACTAGAAGATTTAAGGAAAGCATTTAACTCTTCACCTGAAAGAAAATTGATGCAATGTAATTAAGGGAAAGAACTCTAAATTATTTGATAAACCCCTCAAAACTCCAGGCAGAAAGACAGAAACAAGAGAAAATGCAGCCTCTTCCGCAAGTTTGATACCAGTACCTGGAAGGAATGGGCCATATTCATCTGTACAAGGTGTTGGGAATCACCTGCTCCAGATTTGTTATGGTACTTCCCCAGGAAGCTGAGTATCTCTTCCCCATTGGTTTTCAGGTTCGCTTCAACCTCTCTTTTAGCCTGTGGGTTGACATTTTGAGTTTTTAAGGGGCATCTCTATTTGAATATGAAGAGGGGACAAGGAGCTAAGATGTGATCCGAATGAAAGTATGGGCAATTGAGCAGCCCTGGGCATTTGCCAAGCCCTGGTTCCCTGCCAGCCCGAGGAACCTCCTGCTTAGGTGGCCAGGTGTCCTCCTTTACAGAGCACTCTGCACATAATAGTGAATCGGCCCTTCCTCATCAAAGAAACTCACCTGGCTGAGAGTTCGAGCCGCAGTGCATAATTCAATGGTTTGGGGGAATACCTGGCTGTTGTAGGGATGAGCCAATCTAGCACAAATCTGGAAACAGAGGGTAGGGATGGGGGAAATGTACAAAGATGAGTTATATGCAACATCTTTCTGGCCTACATTATGACTGAAACTTTCAGGATGCTGGTTTTGACCTATAAAGTACTACACAGCTTGGGACTACAATACCTGGCAGAATGCCTCTCCCAACCTGTATTTGCCCGGACTCTGTGATCAAGTTCTGGGGCCTTTCTCTGACTGCCACCTCTGAGGGAGGCTTGGATGGCGGCAAGAAGGAGAAGAGCCTTTTTAGTGGTGCTCTCCTGTCCCCCGGCCCCATTTATGGAATGAGCTCCCCATTGAGGCCCACCTGGCACCAACTTTACTATATTTTCGGTGCCAAGGAAAGACTGTACTCCTACTGCCAGGGATTTAATTAGTTAATAGAGCCTCTTGGTTCTTGGACAGGGTCTTTTGAAAGTATAATTTTTGTTTTTCTGTTTGTTATTTGATTTAAAATTTGGTATTGCCAACTTGCCAAATTATTAATTTCTAAATTAATGTTTAATTGGTATATTCTATATTGTTTTTAAATATGTTGGCTGTGAACCACCCAGAGACCTTTGGTTGTTAGATAATATAGGCATGAATCAATTAATTAAAAATAAAACCTGTAAGATATCCACTCACATAGGGGTGTTCTGCTTGATAACCAAGCGTGAGAGTCTGGACCGACTCTTCCACTCCATTTACCAGCACTTTGGTTTCCAAGTAGTAATGCTTCTCCTTTTTATTCACAGTAAAGGTTTCCTGGATAAGGAAGCTTCCTGGAATGGGCAGCTTAAACGGATGCCTACGTTGTGAAGAAAAGAAAGCAGGATCTTGGGTCAAAGCAGAGAGGTGGTGGGGGGGTGGGGGGGGGGATTGCTGGTGCTTACTTGCCTTCGGTCCAGGACTACTACAACACCAGTCTTCCCCAACTTGGATCCCTCCAAATGTGCTGGGTTGCAACTGCCATCATCCCCAGCCACTGTAACCAATGGCTAGGATGGCAGGGAAAGTTGGAAGTTGTCGTTAAACAGGCTGAGGAACATTGTACAACAATGTGACACATATTTTCATCAGGTGATACTGAGAATTCAGCCCGAAAGGCTTCACACTCAAATAGTTGAAAAGGAAGCCATTTTAGATGCCTCTGAGTCAGCATGCGGTGCTGGGACCCCTTCTGCCTTCCCCAGTCGGCCCTGCCCCAGCTCCCCCGTGGGCTCACTAGCCTTCATTAAAATGTCCAGCACACCCCAGTATGGCACAGTGTCAAGCAGTCCAGGGCCCCGTGGGACATTGAATGGCACCTCCCAGCCCACTTCCTGTTGCCATTACTAGGAAGGCCTGAGCAGGTGGACTGATACAAGAGAGAGACCACTGGAAGATGTGTCGCCCACGCCCAGCCCTGGCTTGGTGCTGCATCCACAGCATTCCTTTCAGCTTTGCTTCGTTGCTTTTGACCACTCGCTTCTAGTTATTTTCTTTTACTGTCTGGAGAAAAAGAAATGGCTACATAGGAGGATATGCCATTTCGGTCATGGGTTCTGATGATGTCCTGTGAGGGAGATCTGGGTTTGCAGAGTCTGCGAGGGAGCAGGTCTGGTGCAAGGGTCGGGATGCTCAGGACGTAGGTGGGGAAAAGATCAGCACCACGGAAAGCTCCGAGTGGTGCTGGGGCTGGGGCTGGAAGCCAGACTGGGTTGTTGGTGTGTTGGTCCAACAAGGATCGGAGGCAGACTGAGGTTGAAATAGAAATGTTGCTGGATTTCGGCTGGCCCTGCTTTCATATTGACTGAGGCTTTGTCTTTTAAAGGGGCCTGGCCTGTTTTAGCAATCTCAGACTGCAACGACCTGAGAGCAGTCGGGCCATACCAGTGCTCTCATGGCTACTCAGAAACTGAAGATAGTAGTGCAGCTTTCTTCGGAGGCAGGGGATCTGGCCCCAATGGGTCTTCCTGAAGAACGGAGTCCCAGGGAGGTCACAGCCCCATGGTGCTTTTCTCTGAGCCCTGGTGTCAGGATCAGGACCTGAGTGGCCCTGCAAGGGCGTGTTTGTGGGCACTTCCAAGGAACACTTGTGGAGCAATTATGCAGTGCAGCTGGAGACCCTGGTGACCAGCATAAAAGGCTTCCCTGCACTGCCGCTCTTTGCCACAGCAATGCAAGTCGTCTCTAGGCCCCTCTTCTGCTCTGGCCCCTGCATCTCCATGCCTCGAATCTTGCTCCAGTTGTTCTTGCCTTACTCCAGCAAGCTCCTGCCTTGTCCCAGACTGTTCCTGCCTTGCTCCTGTTTGCTCCTGGTCTGCCCTTGCCCTGCTCCTGTGTGTCTTGCTTGCTCCAGTTGTTCTTGCTCTGCTCCAGCCCGCTTTTGCCTGGACCACCCTTACATGTCTGTTTCCCTGGCATCAGACCACTGGACTATTTCTGGACCGTGCTCTCTCTCTCTCCCCACTCTATATAATATTGGACTGCCTGCTGCCTTGGCCCTGACCCTGGACTGCTGACCACACCACCTGCCTCTAGCCCTACTAAGCTGCAGGGCCTGGCTTCCCACCAACAGCCTGGTCCCAGAGCCCTGCCTGTCCCAGCTGCCGCCCATGTCCTGGCCCTTACACCTGAACCATTAATTCTGGAGCGTCTTCCTCTGAAGACAAGGGGTTGGAAGAAGGATGCAGTTCAAGAGCATGTGAGTAACTTTTTCATAACTGGCCACATAGATCATATTGGCTGGAAGGAATATCTGAGCCCTGCTTGCATATCTGGAGAAAAGGAAGGGGTGGAAGAAATGGGACTGAATGCACCTGAACTGGACAGTTCCACGTTTCTGGTAGAACATTTTTTCCCTCCTCACTTCTTCAATCTGAGCCTCAAGCTGCAGCACGAGTGCTCGGCTCTTGTGATCCATCCACACGCCCCGTACGGACACATTGGTCTTTTGTGGCTGCAGACAAGAAATCACCGTCAGGATATTCTTGCTATATTGCTGACACGGAGGAGAAGGGAAGGGTGCGGGATGTACAGAAACTCAGAAAGAGAGCAGCAGGATGCATCCAGGCGTATGAGTCCATTAGTGCTAAAGATGTTGCGGGAGAAGAATCCCACAGAAGCCACCTATGCCCGAGCAGGGCTGTCCAATGCACGCCCACTCCACTGTCTAGCTGCTTGCACATTAGCCGTTCACAACCAAAGATTCAGTAGCGCTCTGCTAATGCTTTTTGCAACTGCAGAATAACACGCGTGGAGGCTGCCCATGGAAACGAGGAGGAGGGGATAAAAAATACAAGGCTGCTGGCCACCCAAGAGAGGAAAACAAACCAGTCTCAATGGAAAAGCAGTTCCGCAAAATACATCGAAACCTGCTCCTATCAGGTTTGACTGGTCTAGGGAAGTCATTCACAACTTGTTGTGCTTTAGATGTGTTGGAAGACATCAGGTTAGGGAAGGTCCATCTATGGATTTATCTTCAGTAATAGTGACTTTTCCACATAGCTTGAAGTGCCTCATCCTGCCTAATCTTGGAAGCTAAGCAGTGCCAGGCCTGGTTAGAATCGGGATGGGAGACTTGAGTTCTTCACCGAGCATGTGATTGGACTCAAGGGCATTCTAGGCCCCTTCTAACTGTATGATTCTATGATGTGTTTTATCCATTAGGGTTCACAAGGTAGTTTATTCATTTTTTTATGTAATCTTAAAAATAGTAGGCAAAACCCTAAGCTGGCAACATCAGGGACAAACTATTATTAACAACGATAATAATAATTTTAAGTGATGGAATAACTCAAACTGCAAAATGAGTCATCTGAGTACAGAAGCCACACTGAGAGAAGGGCTCTCTCTCTTCATTTCCCTTGGAAAGAATGAAGAGACTGTGAGTAAAGGAGTTCCAAAGCAGAGGTGCCAACACACAAAAGCCCCTGCCTATTTTCTGGGGTGTGCATACACTTGCTTAATATCGATCTAGCTGCCTCTTTCACAGCTTTCTCTTGGCTACACTGGCTGGGGATTTTATTTATTTAAAACTTTTCTAGACCATCTCATTACTGAAGTCTCAGGACAGTTTAACAATACAAAATGCAAAAAATTTAAAGTGATGGTGGGAGCTGTCGTCCAAGACATCCTGAGGATCCAGCCGGAGGAAGCTGCTCTATCTGCTCCCTTCTGAATCACCTTTTGCACCCTAAACTCGAAAGCGTGAATCGGCATAGCGCTCCAGCAGTCTCACCATCTCCAGGTGGAAGTAAGCTGCTGTCATGTTGATTTCTTGCTTTGCGGACTTGATTGTGAAGTGGAAAACCTTGGCCTGGTCGTTGTTCTCCAGGTGGATCTCATTCTTGATGGGCTGGGTCCACAGAGACCCCACTTCACTCTGGCTGTGCAGAAAGCCCTTCCTGAAGCGATTGACGGTGGACGCCTGGAAAACAGAACGCTCTGTTAGGTGTGGGTGACGTCCACCAATTCTTTCTGCTGCAGAAGAAACAGCAGATCTGAACTGGAGGCCACATGTAAGTGGAGGATGGGGCAGGGTTAAAACTCTGCAAATATCAGCACGGTTTGATATAGATCTCCAGCTGGCAGGAACTAAGGTTTAGGAGAGACCTTTTAGAATGGGTGGGGGGATCGTCACAAAAGCCGGGAAACCCCCAAACAGCTGGTGGTCAGGGAAAGGGGGACAGTGCCCGAGGAAGAGTGCAGGCCCACCTGGAGACCCTCAAGGGCCAGACTGTAACCACCTGTGGGCCAGATTTGGCATGTGGAGCTGAGGTTCTCCATTTCTGATCTACTGTACTTTCCACGGTGCTGAGGGCAGCACTTGCCCTCCCATCTTGTCCAACTCATCATGCAGACAACCCGAAGACGAATCCTATGGGGTGAGGCCCCTATCCCATGCACAGGGGTCCAGTTATACCTGTCTAAATGGATTAATTCTCTCTCCCTGACTAGGTTCAGGCAACATGAATGGGTTAAGTGGGGGTTATTGTTGGACCATGGGTTATCATGTTGTCTATGCCCAACAGAGATGACCAACCATGCCGAACAACCCTCAAGTTCACCAGAACCCAACCACAAACCCTCAGGACAAACCAACCACAAACCATGGGTTCTCTCAATGAGTCATTTGCAGTAATAAGCCACAGCTGGAAAGCACAGTGGGGTTCAGGCCATATGATGGTCCGCACTTCAGCAGCAACAGCTCAGGGGCTTCAAGCCGTGTGCAGCCCTTGGGTGTGGGCTGTGGTGCTGTCTGAACACACACACGCTCTCTTGCTTACAAGCACAAACCTCTCTCTCCTGAGTTCTCTGTTCCTTTTCTACGGGGGCTATCATGTCCAACACTCATGCTCATCATCCACAGATGCAGAGGCTGAAAAGGCAAGAGAGAAGGGACAAGCTGACCTGCAGGTAAGTCGTCGCCGGTGCGTAGATCCGGATCCGCCCTTCCTGTTCCCCGTCTCTGTCTCTGCAGAAGAGTTCCAGTGCCAGGCCCTTGAGGACGAAAGCTTTCCCGGCTGCTAAGTCCACGGTGGCCACATAAGCTGAACGCTGGGGTTGGTGTAGCTTGTGAGCTGCATACAGATACAGCCAGGGCGTGTCCATGTTGAACGTTCCTAATAAAGAATGGAAAACGGTGTCTACCTGGAAGCGTCTGTTCTCCATAATGGTGCCGACTCGCTGTTTACTGTGCATAAAAACTTCTTTAGGAACATAAGCGCTGAAGGCAGAATCGAAGTTCCTTGATGAATGGATGGATATCTTTGTGCCTCTCTCAAAACAAGCAAAGGTGCTTAAAAGCAGAGTGTGACTTCGGGTGTAAGCTGCCCGCTATTATCCAGGAGATCACAGCATTGTCCAGGGTCCCAGCTGTGAGATTCTGCGATCCTGCCCGGCCCCATTGCCGCTGGTACGGACAGCAGGATGTGGGCAGCCCCACTTCTGAGGGTGCAATTCGGCTTTGGGGCGGGGAGGGTAAGACATTGGAGCTGCAGCCCTGCACCAATTCCAAGTAGCGCCAAGCTTCCCTCCCTCCCAGGTAAATCCGGGTGGCTGGAAATGGCCAGGTAGAGAAAATGCCCAGTCCCATAGGATGCTCATAAGCCTCCGAGTCGCAAAGGCACCGGGCAAATCCCTGGAGGAGCATCTCTGGCTATCGGTCCCGAAGGTCCTGGGCTACCTCCAGGATCAGGGCAGCATGCCTATGTCCACCAGTTGCTGGGGAACATGGGTGCGTGGGTGCGGTTGCACTCATGTTTGCTTGACGGCTTCCCATGGGGGCCGGTTGACCACGGGGTGAAGGGAACACTCGACTGGGGGGCACAGGGCTCGGCCGATGCGCTCACCTTCCCATTTCTTCAGAGGGTGCCTTGACGAGTCTTTCCACTGCAGCCCAGCCACGACGGGCGTGCGGTTGTTGTAATGCACTTTGAGGCTGGTGCTACTTTCGGGGTAGTTCTGGCTGGCATGGGAGTGCTGCAGCTGGGTTCTGTAGTCCACTTGCTTCTCCGGCACTTGGACTGAGAACTGGGGGAAAGGGGTTGCGTTTCATACACAGCAGCCTTCCCAGGGCTGGGTGCCCAAGGACACCCCGTCAGGGATCCCGGTGGGACCACAGCTGGGAATGCTCCTTTCTATCTGACCCATCGCCAGCGCCACCTTTGCATATGAAAGAGCTGCTGTCTGACGTGGTCCAGTCCTGAAAGAGGGGAGCCATGCGCACCTTGGTGCATTCTGAAGTGAAGATCTGAAAACGAGACTCGCGGAGGATGATCCACTGCTATTATTATTATTTATTATTTATTATTTATTTAGGAGACTTCTATGCTGCCCCATTTGCCAAAGCCTCGGGGCGGCTCACATCCATAAATAAACTTCCATAGAATAATATAAATTAACAGTATAAATTAAGTCGCCCTGGCCAAAGAATAAAATGAATAAATACTATTAACAATTAAAATGACATTTGAATAAAAAGGTCTTCGCCTGGCGCCGAAAAACAAATAACGACAGCGCCAGGCGGACCTCTCTGGGGAGCGCATTCCATAGATTGGGCGCCACCGCAGAGAAAGCCCTCCTCCGAGTA